GATAATAATAATAATAATAATAATAATAATAATAATAATAATAATAATAATACAGCTGTGTTGCTCTATAATACATTTTCAGATCTGTCTATTTGAACACTTGGCACAAAGAAATAGGCAAAAATCTATGGAAGAGAACACAAACCATTACAATTACAGACCACAAGCAAAAATTTCATTTTCCCGCCAAGTTTCTTGTTTGTGTAGTAAATATGAAATTAAAAGTTTGCAGACAGGGTAGGGAGCCGGTTCTGTGTAAAGCGCTTGAGGAGCAAACACAAAGATCTAAGTTCGCCACCCTATCCCGTCCTGCGCACGCGCACATTGTCTCGCGCACGCGCCTACGGCCCCACGCGCTCGCCACCTTCCCTCCCCGCGTCTCGCGCACCCGCGCTCCTGTGTCGCACGCGTGCACCAGCGCCTGGGTCACGCGCGTGGCTCAGGCACGCGGCCCCGCACACCGGCGCCTGCTCCCTTACCCCAGGATTAGGAGCGCGCTCTGCAGCCGTCTCCGCACTTCCAGGAACACGCGCGTTTCCGCCGCAGCCACCGCCATGGCCCAGTCGTGCCCCCACGCGATACCGAGCCCGCAGTTACCAGAACCCGGACAGAGTGGGAGCACGTGTGGCAAGCGGCTCCCAGGCGGCGGTGGCAGCGCGGTGGCCGGGCGGGATCCGACGGTCGGCGTCTGTCGGCTACAGCGCCGCCTTCCGGGCGGAGAACGCACTGCCAAGGCACCCGACCCTGGAGCGCACCTTCCTCTAAAGTAGGAAAAGGCACAGGGAGCCAGCAGAGCTGGCCTCCGCTGTAAGGATGATGGATGGGCTCCATCTGAGCGCTTCTCTCCCTGAAATGAGCAAAAAGCTCAGACTTGGAGGCGGAGGAGGCTCCTCTGGATGGCTTGGGTAGGGATGAGGAAGATAAGGGAGCAGAGACGATAGAGGTGGGTACTTTCCCCAGATCCAGAGCTGAATTGTCCGCCCCAAAGCCCACTTTATCCGAGTCTCCTTTTTTTTGGAATTAGAACTGTTTATTAGCTTCCATCTCATGCAACAAAAATGACAAAGATTGATGGCGCAAAGATTGTTGCATTCGCTTTAGACACGATAGCTCCAGGACTGAAACAGTTGCAAAAAAAAAAAAGAAAGAAAAAGAAAAGAAAGGAAGGAAGGAAGGAAGGAAGGAAGAAAGAAAGAAAGAAAGAAAGAAAGAAAGAAAGAAAGAAAGAAAGAAAGAAAGAAAGAAGGTATCTGTAAGCCATGAAAAGCCAGTGGATGGAGTCTGGCATCTTGAGCTGTGGGACCAATCATTCATATAACTTTTTTTTTTTTCGAGACAGGGTTTCTCTGTGGCTTTGGAGCCTGTCCTGGAGCTAGCTCTTGTAGACCAGGCTGGCCTCGAACTCACAGAGATCCACCTGCCTCTGCCTGCCAAGTGCTGGGATTAAAGGCATGCGCCACCACCGCCCGGCGTTCATTCATATAATTTTTGAGAAGTAAAAAATATGATAATGATGATGATAATAATGAGTAATTGCTGATGTGCACACCCACCATACTGCGGAAATAAAAGACTCAAAGAAGTCATAATTTCAGTGCTACTACAAGATACATTTTGACAGTTTGACACAGTAAAGGATATGGTGTGGTGTAAATAAATATATGACAACCTAGACTTTCAATAGGACTTCTTTAAAAACGAAAGGCTGTGACTTCAGTCAATGATAGCGTGTATAAAGGAAACCGTCCTAGTAAGGGTTAGTGTTGCTGTCATGAAACACCGTGACCAAAGAGACGTGGGGAGGAAAAGGTTTATTCAGTTTACACTTTCATGTCGTTGTTCATGGAAGGAACTCAGCAGAAATCCAAACAGGGCAAGAACTGCAGGCAGAAGCTGATGCAGGAGCCATGGAGGATGCTGCTTACTGGCTTGCTCCCACGGCGGCTTTGCTCAGCCTGCTTTCTTATAGGACCCCGGACCACCCACCACGGGCTGGGCCCTCCCCGGTCAATCACTAAAATGCGCCTAATAGCTGGATCTTATGGAGGTGTTTTCTCAATCGAGGTTCCTTTCTTTCAGATGATTCTACCTGGTGTCAAGTTGACCTAAAACTAGCAAAGACAGAAATCCTGTTTATTGTTATTCCATCTCATAATTTCATAATAGTCACAATTACCACACACCAAACAAACCTGACGCATTTCCAAATAAGTTCTTTAAGCCAACCAGTATGGCACATACTGTAATCCCAGCATTTAGGAGGCCGAGGCAAGAGGATTGCTGCAAGTTCAAGGCCAGTTTGTTCTATATAGTGAGTGTAGGGCCATCCAGGGCTATGTGGCAAGACCTGGCCACAGAACAAAACAGTCTTCGGTGTTTGAACAACGTCAGAGAAGTTTTCTAATTATTCTTTGAGGCGCTTTAAGTTCATCATGCTGCATAAATGCCCATTTCCTCCCAAACCATTGGTGGGAATACTAGCTTAAAAAAATAAAAGCTGCGGGCTGGAGACGAGGCTCAGCAGTTAAGAGCACCTACTGCTCTTCCAGAGGACTGGGAAACGAGGTGTCCAGCACTCACACCCATCCGCTCATTGCTGGTCATAACTCCAGCTCCAGGGCATCCGACCCCGACCCCGACCCCGACCCCAGCTGGGTTCCAGGCAGACACATACACACCTGCCGGCACTCTCACACATAAAATATAAGTAAATAATCTTTGGAAAAGCCAAACCAGCGACTGTTCAGTGTCAGCTCATTTATTTGAAGGACAATTGTCATCTTCCACTTTTAACCCTTAGGAATATAAGGAATATAAAATGCTTAAATACTGACACATAGCAAAATACACGGTGAATCGTATGCTCCTTGCAAGTGACTTAAAACTTGTACACCCGCCAGGCGATGGTAGCGCACGCCTTTAATCCCAGCACCTGGGAGGCAGAGACAGGTGGATCTCTGTGAGTTTGAGGCCAGCCTGAGCTAGTTCCAGGATAGGCTCCAAAGCTACAGAGAAACCCTGTCTCAAAAAAAAAAAAAAAAAAAAAAAAAAAAAAAAAAAAAAAAAAAAAAAAAAAAAAAAAAAAAAAAAAAAAAAAAAAAAAAAAAAAAAAAAAAAACACCTTGTACACCCAAAGTATTTGAAAAAAAAAAAACTTTCATTTTCTTTCGTGCTATAGTCCATACAAAAGTCTTTGGGAGTAAACCATACAAAAGTCTTTGGGAGTAACTAAGTTTGGAAGAAGTCTAGACCAAAATAGTGCTAAACTACCTCTCAATTCCACACAGACTCTGAAGCCTGAAATTATTCGTATAAAATATTGTTTTCAGTTCCCCCTATCCATCATCCATCCATCAAACCCAGGTTCTCTTCTGGCTGGTTGAAGACACCTGCTCCCTCCCGCCTTCCTCGCGGCCGCCTCCACGATCGCCCGCGTGGGGGCGCTATGGCGCCAGCTAACGCGGGCCGATGAGCCGCGGCCGGGGGCGGGACCGAGGCCGCCGACGTCGACGCGGCGTGGGCACGCGCGGTGCACGCTGGTAGCTGTCACCAGGCCCTCGGCTGGCGGCCTTGGTGCGGCTGCCGCGGTTGCCAGGAGAGCGGCGCCGGCGGGGAGCAGCAGAGCCCGCGGCAGGTAACAGCGTCCCCGCCCCCGGCGCGGTCGCGCGGCGAGCGGCGGTGCGGCGCAGCGTGGTTCGGGAGGGCGTCTCCGCCGCCGGCCTGCGGTGGTGGCGTCGGGGTGTCGCCACCCGGCCCCCACCTGTGCCCGCCGCGGGGGAAGCGGGGCCCGGACCGACCGGGGCGGGTGGTGGGACCCGAGCCCTGACCGCGACCTCGGCGGGCAATGCCGCTGCGGGGCTGCCGGGAGGTGTCACCTGGGCGCGGGCGCCCGGCGTCTTTGTTGGAGCCTTCCAGCCACCGCGTCGCCTTGTCGGTCCGGTGGGTCCCTGTGTGATCGAGGCCCGCCGACGTGCCTGGGCAGAGGGGTAGAGAGCACGGCCAAGTTCACCTGAAGGAAGTCGGGCTAGCACACGGAAGTTGTTAACAGCCTTCACCTTTGATTCCCTAGGCTTTGAAAGTTGAGCCTTGATCATTCCTTCCCCCTTCTCCCCTCCTTACCCTGACGGGGCAGGAATGGCAACGTCTTTGGCCACGTAAATTGTGTCTGTTTATTCTTTCCTTATCTTCAGAGTTCAGGGGAGTTGAAGAAAAATCAGGTTTAGAGATTGTAGTAAAAAAACACCTTTGGGGGGTTTTAGAAAAATACAGGAATCTCCCCCATTTCATAGCTTTGAACTATGGAGACAAAACTTCTCATTTTGGTGGCTCAGGCTCTTTAGGTGTTAAGTTCTTGCCACGTTAAGGTTAGTTGTATTTGTTCATGTTAATGTGACCTTTTATGAATAACATAGGCCGTCATTATGTGCGAAGTAACTCACCTGATCACCAATCAACCCCTTGATTCTGCCCAGCTGACGGAAGTTGTAGGTAAATTATAGCCCAGGTCGCCTGAATGCCTTCTTCTTATGGTTACTTTTAGTTAAACTTGGTCATTCCTCAGAATTAAAGGGAGAGCACATCTTTAGGTGTATGTACCTTCTTTGGGGTACCCAGTTTTTAACGAAGAATTAAAAACACTGAAGTAAACACAAACCTGAAAATGTATCACTGTGAGCCAATTGTTAACTGTAAACTAATGGTTTACCTGCCCACAGTTAAGAGCCCTATTTTATAATTTAAATAGTAGAATCAGCTGTGGCCTGAGGATAGCAAGCTGGAGGCCAAAGTTCTGCCTTGTGCTACTGACCAAGTGTGAGCTCTCTAGCCCTCAGTTACTGTGTGTGGTCCGCTGACATGATTTTGTTGTTTTAGTGATGATGTTGTTGGAAACTAGGGCCTCAGGCACTCATGTTAGATTCTACCACAAGCCTGCACTCCCAACCCATTGTAAACTTCTTTCTTGCGGTGCTGGGAAGGAATCAAAATTGTAAATTTTTTTCTTGGGGTGCTGGAAAGGAATCAAACCTAGTACCTTGCATATGCTTGGCCGCAGTTTTTTTCACCCATTAAAGAGATTTTGAAAAGACCTTGGTTTTCCAAATTGCTACTTCCCCTCAGCCCTCTACTAAACCAATAGCTTGCTTCACCTAAACATGCTGCGCATCGTACCATGTGGGAACACACTGGACTCAGTCAAACCTAACTTTTGTTTTAGTGTAGGAGATCAAACCCAGGGTATTTCCAAAACAGGGCAAACACGCTACCACTGAGCCAACTCCCTGGCCCCCAATTTTGACTTTGGTCTGCTGATTAAAGCAGCTCAGAAGGGTCACTGCTACGCTTGCATGCGAGGTTTTCAAAGGAAGGCGAAGGCAGCCATTGCCGATGTAGCTAACCAGAGAGCCCATCTTCTGATGCAGCTTCTGTAGGAATGCCTACCTCACATGCATGAGGCCCTGGGTTCCATTCCAGTAGTGTTAAAATCTCCTAGAATAAAATACCACACAGTACTAATTTCAGAATGACTTTACTTGAGGAATGGCTGCTTCCAAGTTGACCCCATGCATTTGCCCATTGTTGCTGTCCAAGGTGTCTCAGGTGTGAAGACCTACACCCCTACACCTCCCTTGTATAACAAAGAACTGCAATTTTCTTGGTAAAAAAGTAATATTAAGGATATATACATCCTTTACATTCCTAAATCTTTCATTCATAACAGATGAATATCGTTTTTCCAATCACTTTCTGCTGCTGCTTTCAACCATAATTCATGTTGTAGTTTGATGTTTGTGGTTATTATTGAATGTCTGTTTTAAAGTTCTAAGTGAAGACTTGTTGGTAATGGTTTTACTTTCACTGTAATGATTTCCCCTTCTAGTTAGGCTTTCTAAAAACAACGAGATAGAAAAGGGACCTAAAATTTATTCCATGCTTAATAGTTACATGATTTTAAAATCTCAGGTAATCGAAAAGAGCTAAAGGCCAAAAGAATTCCGAGACTATTATTTCTGAGCTATTTGGAAACAGTATATAAATGTTAAAAATGCCATCCTTTTGTTGAATTTCTGCGAAGTATTATGTTAAACATTTTGTCACTGTTAGAAAACACCTGACAATCAGAGAAAAAAGACTTTAGATCGAAGTTGCTCTCCCTGTTCTTAGCTCTGTTGGTTTGGGCCTCTGCTCACGTAGAATGCATGGTGGGGGCATTTACCTCATGGTGGACAAAGAAGAGGGACCTGGCAAGATTCAGCCCATCCCTGCCTTCCCCATCCAACCCCCAACCTACTTCCTGGCTTCACCTCTTAAAGTTTCCACACACAAACCCTACCCCTCCTCACCCGCTTCAAATAGCAGCAGTAGCTTGGAACCAAGCCTTTTGGGGGTGTTGCTAGTAGTCAACCTTGCCAATATTCTGTCTTCTTTATTACTTGGTATAAATGCTATTAATGCACACGTCAGTTTAGGGGAATATAGAATATTTAATTTTGTTTGTTTTTCAAGACAGGGTTTTTCTGTGTAGTCCCGGCTGTCCTGGAACTCCCTCTATAGTCCAGGTGGACTTGAACTGAGACATTCACCTGCCTCTGCCTCCAGAGTGCTGGAATTAAAACATGTGTATCACCATGCCCAGTTTAGAATATTTAATTTTAATAGATAAACTTTTTTAAATATTTATTTATTTATTATGTATACAATATTCTGTCTGCATTATGCCTACAGACCAGAAGAGGGCACCAGACCTCATTACAGATGGTTGTGAGCCACCATGTGGTTGCTGGGAATTGAACTCAGGACCTTTGGAAGAGCAGGCAATGCTCTTAACCCCTGAGCCATCTCTCCAGCCCCCTTAATAGATAAACTTTAAATGAGGTAAGTTTGGCCTCTGAAATAAAACTATTTAGTAGATGAGTAAAGCTATTATTTTTGTTTAGTAGCTAACAGTTTTTATTGACAGTTTATTGTAGGTACTTTAGATTCCCATGTTTTTAAACTGTGACATCTCTTTTCTTTTGATAGTATTTACCTCTCTTTTTAAGACAACTAAGCCTTAAACCTCAGTGACTTTACATTTACTTGTCAAAGATAGTATCAAATTTCTTAAGGAAAAAATATTATGTAGTAATATACATCTATTTAATGGTAGGGTTTACTGGGTTTTAAACCATTTATCCAACATTAAAATCAAGATTTAGAGTTTGCTACCAGTCAGACACATATTGTTCAGAGTTCTCTTCTGTTATGCTTGCCTGACTTACATTCTTCCAGTCCTACCTCAAATACCACCTTGTCCATGATCCTCTTTTGATGACCTCATTTTCAGTTATCTCCTTCTCTGACTTGCCTGTACTTAAGAAAAGGTCTTCCATCCTTCACGGTGGCTAACTAGCTGATGATGACATGTACTTCACAAATACCCGTGTCTTGACCAAAGAGGTGATTTAATGTAGTATTTATGAAATGTTTTCCTTATCAAAAGTTTGGCCATATATATTTTCCCTTTAAAAATACTTCTGTGCATCAATATGATTATTTTTTAAAAGACACTTGAAATACCCTTTAGTTAACAGTTGATAGCACTTGCCATAGACAGAAGGCAGACATAAGTAAAAATAAAACTTTAAAAAAAAGTGTTGTTGAAAACTTCTATCTAGAAACACATGCTTCCTGAATGTTGTATGCCTTGAAACTGACTGTTCTTTGTTTAAAAGGGAAAGTAGCCAGAATTGAGTGTTGTTATTGATACCATCCTGGCACCAAACTTAGACTTGGTGTAGTCAGAGGAATTGGAGGAGAATGAACAAGGACTATCTTCCTCACCTCAATTCACTGTTATTCTCCCCAGTCTGAAAAATCCATCAAGTTATCTATTTGGTGCTTGGTGGCCCAAAGTTCCATAAATATAAGCAGAATTTTGGCCTTCTTTTGAAATCTTTTCTGTTCACAATGTAGGTAATAGCTTCACTGAAAATTCAAAATGTGAGAATATACTTTAAAAATTACAGTACAAATAGAAAACTTAATATAATCATTATTGAACCAGACAAATGCCTGTATTTTCAAAACAGTCTTAATGGTACTCTATCACATTTATAATAAAAAGCTAGAACTGCATTTTTAGTATGATAATTCATCTTTAAACCTTCTAATCTAAAGGTAAATCCTAGAAACAGGGCCCTTTTGTTAACCAAGTGATCAAGAGGGAGAAAATATGCACCTTTTAAAATGGCTCTTCTGTGCACTTTAGAGGAGACTCTTGAGGGAAGGGGTCTGAGAGTAGAGACGGTAATGACCCTAAAGTGTGCTCTCATTCCTTCTCTGCCCGTCTGTCACTCACAGTTTATGTGCTGCTGAAAGTTGTTGCCTCTGGTGTAATGAGAAATATTCCTGTCCTTCACAGAAACTGGCATGAAATCTGTTCTTTCGTATGGACATTTTTGTGTTTCAGGTGGCTCTGAGAATTTGTAGGCATGTGCCTAAATTTTGAGCCAGATGTTTGCTGTTATTTTGTGTTAAGGGACAAAGAGCTTAGGTAAGTAGACCAGTTAGTAGAGTTCCTGTTTTCCAAACAGTTGTTCAAAACAAAACGTGTAGATGCAGCTCTCACAGGTGATTTGCTCCTCAGCCAGAGGTTAGATTGCTGTTGGTATGAGGTTTGGAGATGCAGCCTCGGACTGGAATTTAGAAAAGCTCTTTAATCTGTGTCATAAGAAAAATTGGACCCCTGAAAAGTGGTCTCTTCATTGTTTGTCTACTAGAACATAAAACAACAGTATAGGTGCCACAGATGGGCTGTCAGTGAGTGACAGCTGACAGTCCCAATGACTCTAAGTGCACAGCAATCCTAGTTCTTTGAATTGAGCAGGTCCATAGCCTACATTTTTAGTTGTTTTGGTTGTGTTGTGTAATGTTAGGAAAAGGGACCGTAAGATATCAGTGGTCTAAAAACCTTTTCAATATATTTTCATAAGATTTCCAGATATATTTTCTAGAATATTTTGTATGCCACAAATACCATCCCAGATCACTAATTATGTTTTTTTTTTTTTTTGAAAACAGAACTGGCACAGTGTCTTTTCCATACATTCTTACTTATATCTTACCATATGGGACTTTAAATATTTTTCCTGAAGATTATTTTCCATCTAAGAAAATATCAGAATATGTTACGTGCTTTAAAACTACTCTGTGTCATTTGAGTGTTCATATTTCATTGACTTCCTTATTGTGTACAATGACATCATCAATTGGAAACTCGACTTTGAGCCTGAGTGGGGACTCCAGCATCATAATTATTTTATGGTATCAGAATCCTCAGCATGCCTTCTCCAGGCCTACCTGATTCTGTAGCTTGATGCAGTGTCTTTAATGTGATCTGATAAGTGCTATTTATATTACGTCTTTTAGAGTACAGAATTTATACACCTTTTTTTTTCATTTCATAGATCATGCATTTATTTTATGTTTTCCAGAATACTGAAGCTTAGAAGTAACTGAATTTCTGGGGGTTCATGTTAGATTTGCCAATCTCTATTTCAGGGAACTTACTAGGAAACAAAGGTCTTAATAATCATTTGCTCTCATCATACTGTTTGATCATGCATACAGAGTGGGCAGCAAAGCCAGGAACACTAAAACGTGCATCTTTTCTGAAAAACAAGGTGTGTTCAGTAAGAACTTACCTCAGTGAGGACTCCTAGTAATTGAGGACACAGAGTCTGACCTAGTCATCTTTTGTAGCCAGGCAAGGCTTCCAGGGCAAGACTGGGTTACATTCGGATAATTTATACCTTTAAGACAAAAGAAAGCTGCTACTTGTGAATAAATTCTTCTAGTTAGGTATTGCTGCATACCAAATTGTATTGGTTCCTTTTTTCTCACTGTCCTAAGAGGCAAGTTAAAGGAGGAAGGGTCCATGTTGACTTACAGCTGAAGGGTACAGTCCATCATTGTGGGGAAGTAAGATCACAAGAGAGTGAGGCAGCGGGTCACTTTGTGTCCAGAGTAGGAAGCAAAGAGATTGATAGCTTTTCCTTCTTCAGCCTAGGGCCTCACTCCACGAGATGATGTCACTGGCATGGTGGTTCTTCCCTTCTCTTCAGTGGAACCTTTTTTGTAGATTCCCATACAGTCAAGGCTTGAAGTGTGTCCTATAGTTCCAAATACAGCAAACTGACAGTATTTAACCATTATCTAAATCATCTCAAGCTGTACTGACTTAAACACTATCCTTCACAATTCAGTTTGTTTGGTTGGTTGGTTGGTTTTGTTTTGTTTTCCTAAAAGGACACGGGAGCTTGGCTGGGAAGTAATGCCCCACCTCCACCCGTTCTGATAGTGCAGTTTGCTTGTTGGTCAGAGCTGCAAACATCAGAAGGTTTGATTAAGTCTGGCAGATCTACTTTTAAGGTGACTTACTTGTATGACTAGCATTTTTCTTTCTGGCTGTTGGGGAAAGTTCCTCCCTAAGTCTCTATAGCACTGGTTCTCAGCCTTTCTATTGCTGTGACCCTTTAATATAGTTCCTTGTGCTGTGGTAAAACCCAGCCATAAAATTATTTTCATTGCTACTTCATAACTGTAATTTTGCTACTGTTATGAATTGTAATGTAAATATCTTTGTTTTCTGATGGTCTTAGGTGACCCATGGGTTGAGAACCACTACTCTACAGGGTTGCCTGATTATTCTTATGACAAAGATAGTAACTCCAGAATGAGTGATCCAAGAAACATCAAGGTAGGCGCTGCCTGGGCAGGGGTGTAACTGATTTCATAAGTAGCATTTAAGACACAGATGCTAATGGTTTTGTTTTTGTTGTTATCGTAAGATGAAATAGGAAGGAAATACCACATTATTGTTGCTTTATTCATTCATATTCCACCCCCCATCTGTCTCTCAGGAACACACATAGGATCAAACCCAGGGCTTTGCATGTGCTTGGCATTGAGCTGCGTCTTCAGCCTCTATTTGTTGTTCTGTAGGGACATTATTTAGTCATTCTGTTTAAAATTTTAAAGTATCGCCATAATTAGGAAAACCTTCATATAATTTTAAAAGTATATAATGAAAACTCACTTTCCCATCCTTCATTTTCCTGATTTCCATCTTCCCAGAAGATAATCAACTTTACTTTTGAGAGGTATCATATATACACAAATTGATATATACCTGCCTTTCTTATGTAAGTTTTAACTTTAACATTTCTGCATCTTGCTTTTATTTTAGTTTTTGTATCTTGGAAGCATTTTCTAAATCAGTACATAGACTTTATTCATTCTTTCTGCCACTTGAGCATGCTATTAAAAAGCACTGTTGGTCTGCTATTGATGATTTTATTGATTATGCAGTCTGGTAAAACACTTGCTAGGAGAGGATGTGAAAACTAAAATTATAGATGAGACCCTTCTGTCATTGGGATTGTGACTTGGGAGTCACAAGGCAATTACGGCAAAACAAGGTGAACTCTATGGGAGAGGAACAATATATAGCCAAAGTTTAGGGTTGGAGAAATGAAAGAGAGGATGGGATGGTCAGGAAGACTTCTCAAACTACATGATAATCTGAAATCCGAAGGATGCGTTGGGGTCTAGTGTTTCAGACAGAAGAAATACATAACAAAGGGCAACCTCCTCAACAAATGGTGTTAGAAAACCTGTATCAGCAACCAAAGACCTCAACATAAGACATGAAACTATAAAAACTCATCCCAGACAAAAGCCTAGGAGAAAAACTCTATATTTAGTCTCAGATAACACATCAAAAGCATAGGCAATCAAGACACAGCAGGATGAGAAAGGAGACCGTGGAACAGGAGAAAATAGGAATCCAGAGGACACAAAGAACTAAATTCAACTACACACATCCCAATTAAAAGATGTCATAAGTATGTGAAAAGACGTTTCTCCAAAGATCTCAGTGGCCAATAAACATGAAAAGAAGCTCAGTGTTACAACAAATGAAAGCTCCGGTGAAATACTACTCATGCCCCTTGGGGTGACTAGTTGCAAAACAAAAGACTACCCAGAAAATAATATTAGTGCATCTATAGAAAAGTTAGAATCCTTATATTCAGTGGATAGCCACATTGGCAAATAGTATGGTAGTTCCTCACTTGCCACACAAGCATAAGAACTGCAGTTTGATTCTCCAGCACCCACTAAATGCTGGCTGGGCCTGGTGGACTGCCTGCAATTCTGCTTGGTACAGAGGACTCCCACAGAGCAGGCTGGCCAGCTAGACTAACACATAGGTAAACTTGAGGTTCAGTTGCGAGATGCTATCTCAATAAATAAGGGGAGAACAGTTGATGAAGCCTGTCAGCCTCTGAGCTTCATATACCTCTACACACAAGTGAGCCTACATACTTACAAACACAAATGCACACTACACATATGAAAATAAAATTAACTCTATAGTCCAGGAATCACACTTTTTGAATGCATAGGTAAATAGAAATTGAAAGTAGAGATGCTTGTATGCCAATGTTTGTAGCACTACCTGCCATTAAGGGAAGCTGAGAGGTGGAACTAGCCTAAATGTGCATTTGCAAATTAATTGATAAAACAATGAGAAGTAGAACTGGGCAGTGGTGACACACATTTTTAGTCCCAGCACTTGGGAGGCAGAGGCAGGCAGATCTCTGAGTTTGAGGCCAGGATGGTCTACAAAGTGAGTTCCAGGACAGCCAGGGATTGTTGCACAAGGAAACACTGTCTCAATTCCACCAAACCCTCAAAGAAAAGAAAAATGATAAGTGTTCTGCTGTTGTTAAATGTATTGATCAGGGTTGTCTAGAGCAGTGATTCTCAGTTTTCCTAATGCTGTGACCCTTCCTTTTAGAACAGTGCCTCATGTTGTGGTGACCCTAAAATCATTTTTGTTGCTTCTTCATAACTACTTTTGCTACGGTTATGACTCATAATGTAAATATTGTTGGAGAGAGGTTAGTTGAGAACTGTTACTCTGGATGAACAGAATATTACTGATATATTATAAAGGATGATTTCTTATATTACTTACACAATAGAGGCTAGGTAGTTCAACAGTGGCTGTCTGCCTGCAAGAGAGGTTGAGAAACTGGTAGCTGCTGAATTCATAATCTGCTGCCCCTGAGCAGTGCCAACCTCATACCGAAGGCCTAGAGGATTGCTTTTCAATCCATTGGAAAGCCAAAGATGGGTTCTGATGGCATTAGTAAATACAATGGGAAGGGCATACTTATTAGCAAGAATGGAAGAATATGCAGGCAAATAGCATTGCCTTTTCCTTGAACCTCTATATCTGGACTGCCATCAGAAGGTACCGTCCACTAAGCTGGATGGTCTCCCTATCATTAATCTTTCCTGGAAGTATTCTTAAAGACCAACACAGAGGCATGCCTTTTAGTTGATTCTAGAGCCAATGAAGTTGGTAAGATTAACCATCACATTGGAAATGTAAACTGATATAGCCGTTATAAAAATAGTAATGATATTCCTGAGAAAACTAAACGTATATACATCATCTGGTGTAGTAACCCCCTGCTGGGACTGTATCCAAAGGAAGGGGAATCATTATGTTGAAGAAGTCCCTGCACTTGAATGTTTATTGAGGTATTATTCACGCTAGCTAAATATGGACTCAGCCTAGGTGTCCATCAGCTGAGGAATAGATTTTTTAAAATGAGATATATAATCTCACTTTAAATATATATATATCATTTTAAAAATGTATATATATACACACACACAAACTTGAATATTATTTAGCCAAAAAAATAAAGTTTTTATTTGTTCCAACATAAACCTGAAAAATAGTACATCAAGTAGAATAAATCAGGCACAGAAAGACAAAGTAGTACATATTTGCTTATATGTGGAAATGAAAAATTAATTTTATAGAAGTCAAGAAAAGCATTTACAGTCATGCATCATCATTTACAAATAGAAATATACTAAAGTACAATAAACTTTTAATGTTTGCTCTAGCTAGATCTGTATCTGATTAATATTTTTGACCTCTGAGATTATCATAAATCATTTTTTTCTCCATTTTACGTAATTATACACAATAAAGATGATTCTAATAAGGCCCCTTATAGAACTGATGCAGAAATGAGCTCGTCAGAGAAGTTCCCAACCGCTTTCAAAATGTGATAGACAAGAAAAGCAAACAAGACAACTTCAGATTATAAGAAATATTGGCTGAGGAATAATGTGATGTTTTAGGTAGAATGAAGAATATGAGCCTTGGGGCAAGGCAACTTATACTAATCAGAAAAGTTTTTTTCTGACATTTTGCTATAACTGAAAGAGCAGAAGTTTTTTTCAGAGGTGTAACATGTATAAAAACGCTTACAGTACAAAACATGGTATTTTGGTGAACATAGGATATTATTCTAACATCAGAGGAAATATCATTGCAGATTTTCAGTAAAGAAACAACATGCCTGGCTTCTCTGTGGAAGATGTATCAGAGACCAGGAATAGAAGTGGGTTCAGTAGGCATCTCTAACTGGTTAAAAGAAGAGGAAAGAAAGTGATAGCTGTACATTGAAGGTGCATCAGTGAGCAGATCTCCTTGAAGCTGTGAGACTAGAAGAAATAACATGGGGGGATGCGGATTGTAGGGTGAGCCTTGAAGTACTGCCACAGTGAAGAGTGGATAAGAGACAGGGACTAACCTGGACAGAAATGGGTGGCCAAGACATAGGTACCCACCCTGAGTAGAGTCCAGGAAGCCAAAAACAAGGTGTGTTTATTATTACTGAGTAAGATGAATGGCGAGAAAGGTGGCTGTCGACTTGCTGACATTTATATGATTTTCTTCCTGGAAGGACTGTGTCATAACACATTTTTGAGCAGGCTAGATTGTAAACTGAGGGTAAGGCAATGAAATATTGAATGTAGGAAATCCTTTCATAAACTTCTGCTGTAAGAGAGAACAGAGAGCCAGGACCTGTGGAAGTCTAGAAAAGGTGAATTTTGACTTCATACTCAGAACTGGGTATGTATGTCTGTATAGAGGAGCTGGTATTGAAGGGAAGTGAAATAATACAGACTCTGAGCACATAGAAAATGAAATCTAGACCACAGCAAAGAGTGAACCTTTAGTGGAAAAGCCTTCTGTTCCTAACAGGGAAAGCAGAGAATGTGGGTGTGGGACATTGGTGTAGGTTTGCTGAGGAACTGAAAGCATTCCTCATATTTCTTCATCTCCTTCCTCTCCTTCCTCTCCTCCTCCTTTTCTTTCTCCTTCCTCCTCTTCTTAGTTAACTACATTGTGTTTTGATTTTTATTTGTTTGTTTGTTTGTTTATGTGGTCTTGTTCTCCTGACCAGACTTCTAGATTCAAGCCATGCTCTGCCTCAGTCTCCTGAGTAGCCGACACTACAAGCCTCTGCTCCCATACTGCACTCTCTTCATTATATTTGAGATAGATCTCTGGTAATGAAGGAAAGAAGACATTGTTAGAGTTTGGGGAAAAGAAGATATAAAGTAGTTGTGCCAAGATGAGAAATTTACGAACAAAATCACTAGGTTAGGATAGTGGTACAGCCAGCCAAATAGACAAGATGATATATCTCCAGCATTATTCCAGTTCAGGTATTTAAAACAGCAGGCGAGCAGAAGCAGAGTTGGAGGTTTTCTTGGTAGAAGTAAGGGAGGCTCTTCTTTTATAAAACGCTTTGAGGAAGGTGTTTTAGGAGAAGGAAAAGTTTCATGAGAGTAAAGAATAATTGTTTAGGCAAACTGCTTGAGTTTATATCTGACTCTGCTATTTCTTGACCTGCATTTTTATTTTTCAGTTTTCTATGTGTAAATGAAAATACTAATAGTATCTGTGTCAGGATGAAATGAAATAATATGAGCTAAATATGCAAAGCACACAAACAACAGTGTCTAGAGCTTAGTAAATGCACTATAAATTGTCTCAGATGCTGCTACTTCTGCTGCATCCGGAAAGCTCTTGTCTTTGAAAGATGACTAAGGTTGGAACCTGGGACATATGCAGAGGAAAGGCTGAAGATATCTTGGTCATTTGTGTACAGTTTGAGATGGCAGTATACATACAAGTGGTTGAGTCATACTAAGGATGTAGGGCATAACCTTTATTTGTGAATTCCTTCAATATTTTGTTTTTTTATCAATTTTTTTAAATTATTAAAAAAAATCTTAAAATTTTATCTTCTATCATCTTCCAGTTCTCAGGCATGATTAGTTTTATAAGTTTCTTAACTGAATAATTAAAGATTATTTGCTGTCACATCCATATTGAAACTCAGAACATTTAACCAAAGTGAAATAGTGAAATATACTAATTATCACATTCAATTTCCAGATGATAGCAATTATTGAATGATAACTTTTCATTTAGCCAAAAACATTTGGTAAGATCATCTAATTAATATATAGTTTTTGTTTTTCCTTTCATGGCCAAGCAGGGCTGGTGTTTGTCAGAATTCATCTATATACTTTTCACTGTGATAAAACAGTCCTAGGTATATCTGTAGAAAGGTGAAATTGGGCTGGAGAGAGCTGCTCTTGTAGATAGAAGACCTGAGTTTGGTTCCTAGCAGTGCATCAGGTGACTCACAACCTGCTAGTATCTGTAGATGCTCTGATGCAGAATTTAATTCATTAAATTTTCTCCTTTTATACCATAAAATATAAAATAAATCTTTAGTACCTGTTTTCACAGGGCCTAATTTACCAAGAGAAAACTTTGACTTTTTTTTTAAAGATAGCTATGTTGTTTCATTTTTAATTTTTTGAAAGAAATAATGACACACTAATCATGATTTATAGCAATTCTGGTCCGATTTGTCTGAGTTGTTAGTTGGAAAGAAATAACTAAATTTTCAAACGGTGCTATAGATCAAATCAGAAAACCATTCATGACTCCTGACATTCATGACTCCTGAAAGATTTCAAATGCCGTTATGATTTGCTTGTTTCACTTTAAGAAAAAAAAATCAGAATTTATTTATTTCAAGCGCCTCATACCTGAGGCTATAACAGAATACTGTATACTGAGTAATTTATGGAGGAAAGATTTGTTCAGTGCATGGTTCTGTTGGCCTGGAGGCTCAGGGTTAAGACATCACATCTGGTGAGGTCTTTCATGGTGGTGGGAACTCATGGCAGAGTCCTGAGGCTGCACCTCACATGGGTTGAGGAGCTCATGTAAACCAGCCAAAGTGGTTCTTGTAACAGACCTAGTCTTGGAATAAACCAGGAAACCTATGGATAGTTTTACTCACTAATTTTGGGTTAGTTAATCCATGGATGAAGACACAGCCCCAATGACCTAATGATTACACCTCTTAATATCTCCCATTAGGAATTGAATTTCAACATGAATTGTGATGGGGACATAATACCAAGTTATATTAAGTAATTGTTTCATAGGAAGATTGGGATTTTTAAAACTTACTTGTGGAAGAGATAGAAGTGGTCATATGGTGGTCAGTTTAAAAAGGATGAAAATGTTCTGTATCTTAGCTGGGGTGAGGATCTTGATTGTATCTAAGTATGGATGTACCCGTCACTCAAATCATCAAATAGATGTGTAAGTGCAGTCATTGTTCCTTCTCTCCAAGGAAGCAGTTCCCAGAGCCTCAGTTCTACTCATACTGAACTGCAGTGACTCAAGTTCCTTGTGTATGATTGTGTTATATTTACAAATAGCCTAAATACATCCTCCTGTACACTTCTTAATCATTTCAAGGTACTTAAAGTCATTAATATAAATACTGTTAGAATTTTCCTTATGTCAGTTAGTGGATGTTGACTTTAGTGACTTTAGTGGATGTTGGAAAAGTTAATATTGAAATGAAAACATTCCATGGAGGACTTGATGGTAGAGTGCATGCTGGCGTGAAAGAGACTTTGTATTCAGATCCCAGGACCTCCACCCCTCTCAAAAATAAAATAAAGGAAGGAAGAAATTAAAGAAAGAAATACAGATGCATTTTCTTTTTCTGAATGTTTTCATTGGGTCATTGCTTGAATCTGTTGATATGAAACTCATACAGCTTGACTATATAGTCAAGCTAATAAAGTCATAAATAAGCATATTTTTAAACTACATTTTAATTTGTGTTCATAAAACTACTCATGATAGGATAGTGAGTTTTATACTTTGTTGCCAACAATTCAAAGTCACAACCAGTGCTTGCTTACAATGAAAAAATACCTATTTTCTAGTATTGTGTTGATTTAATAGTGAGTGGTAGAAGCAATAACTAGATTGCTCTTAGCATTTTCTGTCACGAGCATTCTGTTAGCTTAAATATATTATTTATTTAGTTTTGACAAGCTTTGAACTAGGTCTTATCTCTTTTTATAGATGAGGAAACTCAGACTTGAGAAAACTAAGTGCTTGGTTCAAGTCATTCATCTGGTAAGGAAACTTATCTAAATTTTATACTCAGGATATCTTGACTAATCTCATGTTTCAAGGTTCTATTTTATTTTTATTCCCTTTTTATTCTCTGGATTTCTATAAAATGTCCTTTTATTAAATACTTTTTGGGATGTTTTGTTGTTTGGTTCTTTGTTTGACAGGGTCTCGCCCATTGGGTAGCCATGGCTTGCCTAGAACTCACTGTGTAGACCTGGGTGGCCTTAACTCAAAGATCCACTTGCTAGAATTAAAGGTTGTCTAGGGGGCTGGAGAGATGGCTCAGTGGTTAAGAGCCACGAGGGGTGCACCCACCCACTGTGACAGTGGAACTGATCTAATGGGAGCTCACCAAGGCCAGCGGGACTGGGACTGAATAAGCATGGGATGAAATTGGACTTTCTGAACGTGGCGGACAATGAAGGCTGATGAGAAGCCAAGGACAATGGCACTAGGTTTCGATCCTAATACATGAACTCTCTTTGTGGGACCCTAGCCTGTTTGGATGCTCAGCTTCCTGGTCCTGGATAGAAGTGGGAGGACCTTGGACTTCCTGCAGGGCAGGGAATCTGGACTGCTCTTCATTCTCGAGAGGGAGGGGGAATGGAGTGGGGGGAGGGGGAGAGGGGGAGAGGAGTGGAGGGGATGGGACGACGTGTGAGAGGAGGGGAAGGGAAACAGGGAGGAGGTGGAAATTTTTTTTTGCAACAACTAAAAAAATAAAATAAAATAAACAACAACAAAAAAAGGTTTGTCTACCACACCTGACTCTTTTTTTTAATATTTATTTATTTATTATGCATACAATATTCTGTCCAGACCCCATTACAGATGGTTGTGAGCCACCATGTGGTTGCTAGGAATTGAACTCAGGACCTTTGGAAGAGCAGGCAATGCTCCCAACCGCTGAGCCATCTCTCCAGCCCCACACCTGACTCTTATATTGAATATTTGGTGCAGTTTAGTATATTGTTTGATTTGCTTTGGTTTGCTTTAGTTTGGTTTCTTTGTGCCTCAACCTTTCTTGGGAAGAGGCATGTCATAGGTTTTCTTGGCATGGTACAGGAAGTGTTCCCTTTGTATATGGTTTAAACCAGTGGTGTTGTGACTTGTGGGAACATACTTTTTAAATAGAATATGTTTAAGTAAATATAAAAATATAAGTAAATACTTTAGAACCTTTATGACAACTATATTACAACAGCTAACCACATGATTGTTTCTGTGGGTCATAAGTTTGAGGACTTAACTACAGATAGCATGAAAAATATTGACTTAAGCTATCCTACCATAAACTAGGAGAAAAATTACCAAGAACTAGAATTTGTATTATATATTAGATTAAAAAGTTGAGAAGTGGCATACCTGTTTGAGTTCAGATGTGTGATTAATTTTGTGGTTAGCTAACTGAGGAAACTGGACCTAGTGGCTCATTCATATCTATAATTCCAGTATGCAAGAGGCTAAGGCAGTAGAGTTGCTCTGAGTGAGAAAGCATCCTGGCCTACACAGTTTCAGGTCCCACGGTTATTCTCTGGCCTCCACATATATACACACACGTATGAGCATCTACGCATACATGTATTCCCTCAACCTCCACTAAATAAAAATACATCTGCATTTTCTTTAAGATTAATTTTTTTATGCATGTGTTTGTGCACATGCCTGTGGGTACTAGTGTAGATCAGATTGTGTCAGATCTCCTGGAGTTACCAACTATGAGCAGCCTGATAAGGGTGTTAGCAACTGTACTCAGGTCCTCTGCAAGGGCAGCAAGTGCTCTTAACTGCCAGCCTTTCATTCCTTCCAACCTTTATTCCATGAATGAATATCAGTTTATAAGTGTGTTATTAATTATTCAAAGTCATGACTCTGTTTTAGTATGGTATTTTTTTTATCAAAAGCATATTATTTAGTGTATGTTTATGGTTGAATTTGAGAAAACGTTAGAATAAATTAAATATGATTTATAAGTTCATATCATCATATGGTTCATTGTAGACATTTTTCACTCATTAAAATCAGTCTTATGAGAACTCTTAAAGCAAATTCTTATAAAAACAGAATATTTTGTTGATATTTTATAAATGTCAAACTATATCTATATATTAATATGAAAAGAGAACCTCCACACATACCCAAATAAGTAAATAAATAGATCCAAATTTAAAATTTTTTTAAAAGGTAGTCAGAGCATAGGACTAAAAATGATTCTTAGTGGCTTTGGTTTTGTTTTTATTTCAGACAAGGTATTATTCCTCAGCACTGTTCTTTTTCAAAATTGTATTGTTCATTTTTTTTATTTTGTTGAGACAGAGACTCTCAGTGGCCTAGAACCTGCCAAGTAGTCAAGAGCTCTGAGGATTCTTCTTTCTCCACTTTCTCAGTACTGGAATTGCAAACACATACCACCACACCAGGCTTTTTAAATTAAAAAATTTTAAAGTTATGTGTTGATGTGTGAATGGTGTATGGGTATGTGGAGGTCATGTTGGCAGCTAGATGGAGGTGTCTTGCTCAATTGCTTTTCCTCTTATTTTTTGAGACAGGGTGTCTCATTGGATCCAGAGCTTGAAGTTTCAGCTAGAATAGCTGGCCAAGGAACCCACAGGATCTTCCTATGACCGTCCTTACCCAGCAGTGGTATCATTGGCACACTCCTCCATGACCGGTTTTTACGTTAAGTCCTGAGGCTCCAAACTTGTTTTTTAATTGCATAGCACTTTATTCACTGAGCCATCTCTCCAGCCCATTGCCTGGCATTTTGGCGTGGCTTCTGGGAATCTCATTCTTGCAAGGCAAGCACTTTACTAACTGCCCCTAGAATATTTTTTTTTACCTGACTCAACCTTACTGCAAGGTAAATGTATTCGATTATAAGCACTTTCGCTGGTTATTAATTATTAGCTTTTTAAATAACGCATTAAAATTTGTCTGAAGAAGACATCAATAGCAGTATTGTTTAAAAATTATATTATCCCGTTTCCAATTTCCAGGTGGGTTTATATACTTTTCTTTGGGTCCACCTTATTACTTAGCTTCTTTAGGATCATGAATTGTAGGCCCAATTCCTTAGTTTATAGCTAGTATCCACTTATGAGTGAGTACATACCATGTTCATCTTTTTGGGTCTGGATTACCTCACTCAGGATAGTGTTTTCTGTTTCCATCGATTTGCATATGAAATTCAAGATGTCATTGTTTTTTACTGCTGAGTAGTACTCTAATGTGTAAATGTGCCATATTTTCTTTATTCATTCTTCGGTTGAGGGGCATCTAGGTTGTTTCCAGGTTCTGGCTATTACAAATAATGCTGCTATAAACATAGATGAACAAATGCTTTTTTAGTATGATTGAGCATCTTTTGGGTATATGCCCAAGAGTGCTTTTGCTGGATCCTGAGGTAACTTGATTCTCAATTTTCTGAGAAACTGCCATACTGACTTCCAAAGGAGTTGTACAAGTTTACATTCCCACCAGCAATGGATAAGTGTTCCCTTACTCCACATCCTCTCCAGCATTAGCTATCATTATTGGAAATTGGAAACGGATGGGATTGACTGGCAGGGTTGGGAGCATGGGGGAGGAGGGAGAAGGGAGGGCAGCAGGAGTAGAGGAGGGGAGAGTGGGAGGGCAGAGGAGAACTTGAGGGAATGGGATGGCCGGGATGGAAGAAAAACAGAGACGAGAGCAAGGAAAAAGATATCATGATTGAAGGAGCCATTATAGGGTTAGAGGAAGCCTGGCTCAAGAGAAATTCCCAGGAATCCAAAAGGATGACCCCACCTAGGACCCAGGCCCGATCTTGATCTGCTCAGTAGTCAGACTGATAATTATCTTGCAGATCACCATAGAGCCTTCATCCAGCAACTGATGGAGGCAGAGGCAGAGACCCACATCAGAGCACTGAACTGAGCTCCCATGGTCTAGTTGAAGAGTGAAAGGAGTGAGAATATGAGCAATGAGGCCAAGACCATGATGGGTACGCCCACTGAAACAGTCTGCCTGAGCTAATGGGAGCTCACCACCTCCAGACAGACTGGGAAGGAACAAGCATAGGACCAAAGTAGTTCCTCTGAATGTGGTTGACAGTTGCATGGCTGGAGCAGACTGCGGGGACACTGGCAGTGGCACCAGGATTTATCCCTACTGCGTGTACTGGCTTTTTGGGACCCTATTCTCTTTGGATGGGTACCTTGCTCAGCCTAGATATAGTAGGGAGGGCCTTTGACCTTCCAAAAGGCAACTTGCCTTACATTCTCTGAGGATTAGAGGGGGGGGGGGGGGGGGGGGGGGGGGGGGGGGGGGGGGGGGGGGGGGGGGGGGGGGAAGAAGTGAGAACTTGGATTGGTTTTTTTTTAAAAAAAAGAATCAAATAAAAAAATTATCCCTCTGCTTATTGATAAATTACCCCTATTTTCATAAATAGAAGTTGCTACGAAATTGATTCTCAGGTTAACCTTCTAATACACTGAATATTGATTGTATATCTTCAAAATGAATATATTCTAACTTAAGTTGGAAATCTTGCCAGGGAAAGAAATTGTGTCCCTATCAGCAAAATTTTTGCATGTGTTTTTATTTACTCTTTTTACTGCTAATAAAACACACTGTTAGATTTACTTATTAAAATTTATTATAAGTTAAAATTTAATATAATAAAGATTTATTATATTATGTACATATATCTTTAGAAAAGCTAATACTTTACTATTCTGTTTACTCTGAAATATTTTGGTTGTGTTCATTCCATGAATAGTCTTCAAATTTTAGAGGTTTTATCATCGAAAGTTATGGCTTTGTTTTCATGTGTATTGCTTTTTTTTTTATCTAAAGCCTATTGGTTTTTGTATGCTTACAATTAAGTTTTTTTTTTTAAAAAAAAAATGGTAGATAAAACATGCCTTTAATCTCAGCTGTTTGAGACCCGTTTGGGCAACGTAGCAAGGCCCTGTCTCAGGATAAAATTTTAAAAGGGCTCGGGATGCATCTCCTTGTTAGAGTGTTACATGGAAGGCCCGGGGTCCATCAGTATGGAGAGGTATAGAAGCCATAGCTTGACCATAAAACAGTTTGCAGAACATTTCACTTCTCCTTTTAACTAGTAAAGCACATTGGGTGTGAGTCTCATTATTACAGTTTTCTATTGCATATCTGCATATTTTCATTGTATAGGTCTGTTCACATATTTTGTCCATTTTAAGACGTTGTATTCTTTTAGTGAGGGGGATTTTTTATATACCAGTCTGAGTAATGATCAGAGAGATTGAAAATACACATTCTCCCACTCTCTTCATTCTCTTAGCACTTTCTTGAATCTCTTGCAGCATAAAATTTTAAATATCGATAGAGTGGGAATTTTCCTTTTTTCATATTATTTCTTGGAAGATTTCTTACCTCTAGATCATGAAGATTTACTTCTATGTTTTCTTATAATTCGACATATCATTTAAATCTATGATCTTCCTAAGTTAATTTTTGTACAAGTTTAAGAAAGGAGCCGAATTTTGTCGCAGAATATTCCTTTACACTGTCTGAAGATGTGTCACTGTGATTGGTTTAATAAAAAGCTGAATGACTAATAACTAGGCAGAAAAAGGTTAGGCGGGACTTCCAGGGACAGAGAGATCTTGGAGAAGTAGAAAGGCAGGGTCACCAGCTGGATGTGGAAAAAGCAGAGTAAACAGTACAGAAAGATGAGGTAACAAGCCATGAGACAGAATGAAGATTAAAATAAATGCGTTAATTTAAATTGTAAGAGCTAGTGGGACAAGCCTAAGCTAATGCAAACTTTCATAGTTAACAATAAGTATCTGTGTCATGATTTAGGGTCTGGCAGTCCAATAGAACCTGCTACAAAAATCAGTTTTTTAAATGTGTATATATATATGTTATATTTAAAAGTTTGAGAAATTATTCTTACTTCATCAAACTGTTTTGGCAGCCTCTGGAGCCGATTCTTAGAACTTCCTAGAGGCCAGGAATCAAACTGGTAGGGAAAGATACCGACAGAAGTTAAAGTAAAAATATAAAAAGTGGAAAAGAACCCATACTCATCTCAGTTAAATTCTTGTTATTCGATTAATTAAAGTGATATAAAAAATAGCCCTCAAACTCATTGGCCAATGGGAGAAAATATTCTTTGCTTATGTCTATATGAATTTGTGTGTGTATTACTGGTTTGGGAATCTCGTATAGGGTGACATCAAAGTGTCAAGTTGGGTCTGCACTGAAATCCAGACTTAGCTGATGACAGAGGATCTATTTAAAACAACTCATTCTCATGACTGTGACTCAAAGCATCAGTTCTTATTGTAAGTTCAGCTCCAGAGAGATGCTTGAGGTGTCTTGTCTCATATCTAAGTTATCTAAGGGTCTTTAGAAGCTGAAGTGCTCTTGTGACATATTGACTACTGCCAGTATCTCTTCTGCCTTCTTGTTTTCACTAAAATTGAGGCTAAACTGAGGTACTGGAGAACTGTGCATACTTGCTCTTAAAAGGTAATATCAAAGAATTTGTGGCTGTATTTAAACTACCATAAATTCTTGTCCTTTATACCCAAAGTCAGTTTGATTCCAAATAGCTGATGGTCCTTCATACTTGGTGCCCATTATTAGTTCATACAGTAGATCTTAAGAATAGACACTTTTTTCTTTGGTTTTTCTTTTTTTCTCCTTTCCTATATATTTTGTGTCCCATGTGACCATTTCTACTAGATTTTGCTATCAAAATAGAAGAGAATGTGTACCAGAAGTGTTTCATCAACAAATGTGACAGAAATAACATGTAATAATCAGAAATTTTCTTTATATTCTGAAATAATGCCAGTTTTCTATTTTGAATATTAATATCACCTTGCACACTAGCTGACTAGAATTTTGAGTGCCTCTATTAAAGAAACTGTAAAATTAGTCATTTCTTTTATGATGAGACTCTATGAACACACTTCCATACTTTGTAACCTTGGTTCCCTTGGAATCTCTTATAGGGAATGATTTTGCATGACTTTGGAACTGGTCACTAGCGGGACACGGTGGGAGGATGAACACAGAAGAGCTGGAGTTATTGAGTGACTCCAAATACAGAAACTATGTAGCTGCAATTGACAAAGCACTAAAGAATTTTGAATACTCCAGTGAATGGGCAGATTTGATATCAGCGCTTGGAAAACTCAACAAGGTATGCTTGTTTTACTCATTTAGTAAAAGGAGTAGAAAAAATCAGAAATCCAGTTATACCTGTTTACACAAGTTTTATCTAAATCTTAAAGAATATAAAGTGTAACCGAACCTTATTTTATATATGGCATTTGACTTCATGACTTCTTACTGTGTAGTCAGGCATGCTACTAACACTTTTGCAGTTCTCATTAAAAAAACAGTAGCACTTAAAATATGCAATTATGATCACTATTGGTACCTGTAAAAGCTCAAGACTGGGAAGCATGTATGTTACTGTGAGGACAAGTTTCTGTGACTGAGCATCAGGTAAAGCTCTGGAGTTTATAAATAGAAAGTAGTGACTGCAATATCCTTTCCAAATGGTATAAGTGCATCAACAAGAAATACTTTATCCCTAGGCAAGCCTAGTTACAAGTCAGTACTTTTTACAAAGGCAGTTTTTAATATAATCCCTAGGCCTTAGAACTTCACTTGAAATGAGCCACCTTCTATAACTCTGGCACTGACCAACGCTCAACTTTCTGTTTTGACCCAATAATGGTTTATAATTTCAGTCAAACGTTTTTTACTTCACACACATAGTTCTGGTATGATTATTGGTCTTAGTGATTGGGGATGCTTCTAAATATATTGAAAAAAGCAGGATAGGAAATGAATCCTTTTAAAATAACTGTTTGAACATCAAACAGCCCCATGTGCAGTTATTAGGGAAAAAAAATCTTAAGATGCATAGCTAGGACAATAGATGGCAAGGTATTTCACTCTACAGATCGTTACCCTGATAGTACAAGAAAAAAAACCTTTCATTTTCATTATGCCAAGAACTTATATTAAAATGGGGACATATACACTTCTGTGTCACACATTATAACATCCACAAAAATCACTCCATAGTATGACTTCACTTATAGGAAGTTAAGTTCTTTGTCTTGCTGAAAAATTGCTAAGAGTCCCATTTTGAAGGCTGCTTGGGAATTATTAATATGAATTAGACTAAGAACATAATTAGCTTCTTATACATTTATCAATTTGTGAAAATACCTCACTGTATCTAAATAACAAAAATTAAGATACTAAGATTATAGATGAAAGTAAGGTAAAACGTAGTAGAACAACCCAAGGATTTTTATAGGCATCTATGTATGTGCATACAGAGAGAGAGAGAGAGAGAGAGAGAGAGAGAGAAAGAGACTGGCAACTCTAGTGCTGACTTCTCTACTGTATTGCCTTTGACAGTTTCTCTCTCTCTCTCTCTCTCTCTCTCTCTCTCTCTCTCTCTCTCTCTCTCTCTCTGTATTACCCTCGCCTTGGTGGGGGAAGGGCAGGCAACATGATTTTCTGTCTCATAGAAAATAGCTGCAAAAATCTTGTTGCTTTTATTCTGTACGTTTTATACAAAGTGTTCTTTCATTAAAAGTACCTTAACAACCAGGAGGTGGTGGTGCACGCCTTTAATCCTAGCACTTGGGAGGCATAGGCAGCCATATATCTGAGTTCAAGGCTGGCCTGGTCTACAGAGCTAGTTCCAGAACAGCCAGGGCTACACAAAGAAACCCTGTCTCAAAAAAAAAAAAAAAAAAAGGCAAAAGACCTTAACTGAAATGTTAGCTTGTAATCGGTGTGTTTTTAATAATGTAATTCTTTTTAATTTTGTTTTCATTTCAAATGTATACTGATATAACTTTCAAAAGCTGTCTTTGAAATATATAAGAAAATAAAAATAAAATAAGACATTTTTCTCAGTTGCTCTGAAATTATTTTCTTCAAGGTTTTACAAAACAATGCCAAGTACCAGGTAGTACCCAAAAAACTGACCATAGGCAAACGCCTAGCTCAATGTCTGCACCCAGCATTACCAGGTGGGGTTCATCGGAAGGCACTTGAAACATACGAAATCATCTTCAAAATCATCGGACCTAAGCGACTTGCCAAAGATCTTTTTTTATATAGGTAAGAGTAATTTTCTTAATTATGTACAATATAAAAATATATTTCTAGCCAGGTTGGTACTTGCTTTTAGTCTCAGCACTTGGGAGGCAGAGCCACTCAGCTCTCTATAAGTCTGAGAATAGCCTGGTCTACATAGCAAGCTCCAGACCAGCCAAGTTTGCATGATAAGACCCTGTCTTCAGATATATGTATGTATGCATGGCTAAACCATTTAACCTTTCTACAATAAAATTTTGAAAAAATGTTTCTTACATAAATGTTACATATTTGAATTAAGTGACTTAGAAAAAATAAAACATTTTTCGATTTGTTTTTTTATTTTTAAATATTATTCATAAAAGTTATTCAAAATTGTTGACACTAATAAGGTTGGAAGCTAGCCTGAGGAAAATAAAATACCTTGGTTTCTCGTAGCTTTGATATTTTTGACCATCTTTTGCTTTGGCTTCTATGAAATGGCATTTTTCTTTTATCTTTTTCATTATCCTTTATTCCCCTTCCTCTTCTACCCCAGTTCAATACCTGCCATTTCTTAGGGCTTAGTTCAGACAGGCCTTCTTATGTACTTACTTTATATTTTCTTGTTAAACAAACATATCCACACCGATATTTATCTTCTTTATCTTACCATATGTATTTAAAGTGTGTAACGTGATGACATGAGATATGTACTCTAATGAAGTAGATTCATTTGTCTCTCATCACATAGTCCTCTGGACTTTTCTTGATGCTTATCTGTTACTTGTATCCTTAGGCCTGCATCTCCCTACTTCCTCCCACGCCTGATAACCATGGTTTGTTTCTTATGTACGGACTCCAAATTGATGTCCCAAGTGCTGGCCTTAGCCTTAACCTCTAGACTTGGTCATCACATATATGTGTATCTTTAAGAGCCATTAAAATATTACCTATTTAAAAATAAATCTATGCTTCCGTAACTTGCCCTTCCTGCATTGTACTGCATTGTCACCATCAGTCCCTTTGCACAAGCCTAAAAAGTGAGTCATACATTTGTTAATAGTGTCTATATTCTCCTACCTCCTGTGCAGTCTCCCTGAAAGTTCTGTCTTGCAATGGTTGGGAGTGGGGGTGTCAGACTAATTCTGTGTTCTTGTGTTTAACCTATTTTTTTCTAAAGTATTTTTTTATTAATTAATTAATTTATTTATTAAATAACCTATTTGTTTTTAACCTATTTGTGATTCATCTACAAAAATGGAAATGATACAACTGGTCTCATAGGATTGTTAGTAGAACTAAAAGTCAATATACAGAAAGTACTTACAACCATGTGCATATTACTCTGATGTGTTTCCAAAGCATCTGTCTACCTCACTGGCAGCTGCCAGTCCAAGTGAGCATCAACTTTACTCTGGGCTTTGTCATTGGCCTAATACTTGGCACAGTCCTTAGCTTTTTATATTCTCTTCTTCACACAGTATTAGAATGATCTTTTTAAAATACATTAAACAAATGATGTTACATATGGCTTCTGAGATTTCATGTGCTGGGTTGAAAAAAATTCCAAACTAAAAGAATCTAATGTACAACATAGACTGTCTGTATGATCCTTAATTGTGTAAGGATTCCTCTCCTTTGGCAAGCAAACAAGCTCTTCAGGGGACTTCAGCTGGACATCCTCTTCCTAGGAATACTATCAGATCTCACAGGCTGAGGACCCAGGGAGACTGCTTCCAATTTTAACACCAAGAATAAGTCCAGACCTCCAGACTTTTGACCTCTTTAAGTTCAGTTAATTTGCTAGAAATAAAATTCAGAGAAATATATTTATTGACTATCAAGAAAGATATTTTAAAGGACACAGGTATGCAGCAAAATGAAAGTCCTGAGCACAGGAGTTTCACTTCCTTATCCAGAACTGAGGTACATACACTGCCTCCCAGAAAGTGGATGAGTTTCTGGTTCCCTTCCTGGATGGGTCTATGTATCCAGAGTTCAGAAACTCTGAAGCCTCTATTCTTTGAGGTTTTTATGCATATACTTAAATACATAGGCAAGATTAAAGCATGAGCAACCATATAGCAAAATGTGTGCTCTGGTGCTCACTGTTGACACACTGAACAGGGAAGCCAGCACGGTCTGCCTGTCCACCTTCTTTTTAGCGCCTCTGTGTAACATTGCCTCCTAAAAGGTTTAGGGAGGATCCTTTTTGAAACTGAAGCCTTCTACTGCCAATCAAGGTAGATGAATGAATTTCTGTACAGCTACATCCAAGTCAAAATGGCAAGGAAAAAATAATTTCTACAATCTACCTTTGAAAAGAGAAAGTTCAGTTTTTATAATCTGGCTTTGGGATAAAAAAGAAGCTGATTTCTGAATCCTAAAATACCATAACAAACAAAAGACTGTCCTTCCATCATCTTCATTGCTTTAGAACACGGATGGAAGGCCAAATGCTTTTGTTTCTTTTCTTTTTTATTATTTAAGGTACTCTTTTGCTCTAGTTACTTAGTAAGTTTAGTAAATAATAAGTACTATGAAAGTGAGAACTAGAAACTATGAATGATAGCCATAGTTTATATATCACAAAATTTATATCACATGTAGAAGGGTCGTGTCACAGTTCAAGAGTATGGGGAGAATGCCGGGCGATGGTGGCGCACGCCTTTAATCCCAGCACTTGGGAGGCAGAGGCAGGCGGATCTCTGTGAGTTCGAGACCAGCCTGGTCTACAGAGCTAGTGCCAGGACAGGCTCCAAAGCCACAGAGAAACCCTGTCTCGAAAAACCAAAAAAAAAAAAAAAAAAGTATGGGGAGGGGGTAAAATATAAAATGGAGATTATGTGTCTGTAGGGGGATGGATGGATAGATAAGATTAGATAGATAGGTGGATGGATGTGTTGTAATAGGAGCGGCTGGCTACGTTCCTCCATCCGGCTAGCTTTACCCTGAAATAATTATACGGAAACTGTATTCTTTTAAGCACTTCCTGGCCTATTAGTTTCAGCCTCTTAACCCATTTCTAATAATCTATGTAGCACCACGAGGTGCGCTTACCAGGAAAGATCTTAACCTGCATCTGTCTGGAGTGGGAGAACCATGGCGACTCCTTGACTCATCTTCTTTCTCCCAGCATTCTGTTCTGTCTACTCTGCCTACCTAATTTTTTGTCCTATCAGAGGCCAAGCAGTTTCTTTATTACTTAACCAATGAAACAACAGATAGAAAGATGACCCTCCTCCATCATGGATGGATGGATGGATGGATGGATGGATGGATGGATGGATGGATGGATGGATGGATGTGGATGGATGGACAAACACATATATTTGGATATAACACTGTAATCAAATATGTTCACTTCATACTCTTAAACATTGATGCAGAATGATGGCTTCAAGCTGAGAGCTGGTTAAATTTGGATTTGGAGGTTTGTTTATTGCAATCTGTTAGCGTCATGGAGAAATATTTAAGTACATTGGGTTTGAAGCAAAGATGTCAGCAGAGAAAGACAGAAATTAAGGAGATAGAGTTGTAAATGACGCTAGCCCGTCTCAAAGGTGGGTTACAACCCCAGGCACATATTTGGCAGTTGCACAAAGACAGAGTATGACTGTATCTTCAGGTCACACAGTTCCTAAAATTTCTGGCAGAAAACTGGCCAGTCGAACGTGACTTCTACTTCCCTATAAACTAGGAGTGATTGAGAATCTTCATTTATCTTCAAAGCATTACTTGAATGTAGAGCATGATGCAAGGGATTTAAATACAGAAACCTCTTTTACCTCTTGTTCCTGATACAAATAGTTCAGATCTAGTAATAAATACTCCAATAAGTTATAAAAATAAAATAGGTTTACTATCCTACTCTAGTTAGCAGTTAAGTTTCATTGAGGAACTGACATAAACTGAGAGCTGGATGTTTAAGGATCCTCCAGTGCTTATAAGGATGTAGGCAAGAGAGTAGGGGTTGTGTCTTTGTGATGGGCAAAGGCCTGGACCCTACAGAGGGCATGGAAGGTTCTCAAAGAAACCGGCAGAAAACGCTTCAGAATGGCTAAGTTGGAAGTGCAAGAACAAAATAGGTGAGTACACATGGGTTGTACATATGCAGTAGCCACAACTTAAAAACTGTTCAAAACTGTTGGCAACAGGAAATCTATGAGAGGTTTTTACTGCAAGTAGTGGCTTCAGGGCAGTTTTCAATTCTACCTGTTGAGACAAGGTGATGAAAATATGGCAATCTCTCCTAGGTAATTACACAGATGATATAGGAAGAATTTACCCAGGCATTATCTAGATGAGAAACCTGAAGAAAGAACATGGACAGTATTAATGGAGGAGGTTTGATTTATTTTGGTTTCTTTTATTCAAGGTCTCTCTACAGGCTCTGGCTGTCATGGAACTCACTATGTAGATCAGGCTAGTCTTGAACTACAAGAGATCTACCTGCCTCTACCTCCTGAGTGCTGGGATTAAAGCTGTGCACGACCAGCATGGATCTTGGGGGAGACATTTTTATAGTGGGGCAAACATCACTCCTAGACTTTTAGCCAGCCAATAACAGAGATGCCATATTCTAAAACACTAGTTGCAGAGGAGAAAGGACAGGGTTTTGGAAAAATGAGAATTCTTGTTTGGAAGTGTAAAATATAAAGACTGCAATGGATAGGAAGCTGCAGGGCTTATGAGTATGAAACTCATTAGAGAATTGGTTTAGTTTAATCAATATAGAAGTCATTAATAGATACTATTCTATCATTTGCTATGACCTGTTTCATCAAAAATAAAAGATATGATGTAATTGCATATGAATTAATGTTGGTGCTTTTTTACATCTTTTATTTTTTGACAGTTCTGGATTGTTTCCTCTACTTGCCAATGCTGCTATGTCTGTGAAACCAGCACTGCTCAGTTTGTATGAGATATATTACCTGCCTTTAGGAAAAACTCTGAAACCTGGTCTCCAGGGATTGCTGACTGGTATTCTTCCTGGCTTAGAAGAAGGATCAGAGTACTATGAGAGGTAATATGGTTCTACAGATTATGGATTAGTCATGGATTAGTCAGCAACCATCCTTAACTGTGTTTAGGTGGCAAAAATAGAAAATCCCAAGTTTAAGTTGTGAGTAGATGTAATGACTGAAACTTAAGTAAGTGTACTGACTAATTATGCTAGTGTATTTCAGTGATTTCAACAATACCAAAAGAATCTAATCCTGAAAATACTGGATTATCTTTAGAGGCTAAATTGAAAAGAATGTATATATTCTTTTCTGTCATTATCATTATCATGTGTCTCTGTGTGCCTGATGTGTATGGAAGTTAGGGGACAGCTCTGTGCAGGGGATTCTCTTCTACCTTCATGTGGGTTCCAGAATGGGAGTCTGCTCTTCAGGCTTCCATGGCAAGTGCCTTTACCCCTGAGCCATTCTATGACCCATGTTATTTGCTATTATTAGTTTACCTACTTGCTTATAATGTTAGAAGTATAATATAAAAGTAGTTCATTTAGTTTAGAAGTAAGTTTTAAATTATTCCTTTAAGGGAGGTATATAATCAGTGCCATTTAATTCTACTAGTTGTAATTAAAATTTTGTAAAGAAATTAGGTAATCCTCTTTCTGGTTGCAGTGTTCTGTGATTTATGTTTTGCTAAGTATTCTATATGAGTACTATAAAATGTTTATAAATGTATATTTTAATGCATAGATAAACTGAAGACAAAGATTAATGTTGCTATTAAATCATTATCAGAAATCATCTGACTCTACTGTAATACAATAGACTTCTATATATTGAATTATCTTGTTTAAAAAAGTCAGTCATTAATGTCCTTAGCTTAATTTTTGTCATAGGTCTAATTTACTTATATTATTGTGAACTGTGTGTTGTGATTGCAAAAAGAATGAAGCATTTCAGAATGTCTTTCTTGTAGGAAGTCAGCATAGGTATGCTGAGATTGGTTAACTAATTTTATATATGTGACTTTATTGCTTGCAGTAACTTAACAACCTGCTGAAGTAGACAGGTGCTGCAGTGCTGTTCTCTGCATCTTACAGATGGAGACTGAATTGAAATGATTACATTTATCCAACTGATACACAGTAGAATCAGGACTTAGACCCCTTCTCTGACTTTTGAAGGGTCTTCTTCCAGACTAGCTCATTTGTTTTCAGAGTGGAGCACATGACTGTCTGTGGATGCTGTCATTTATTTTGGAAGAGAATAATGATTTCTCTTATCTGACACTGAGTGTTTCCTTCTTTCACCCTTCTGTTATGCACCCCAGAACAAACACACTGCTGGAAAAGGTTGCTGCTGCAGTAGAACAGTCGGCATTCTACAGTGCACTATGGGGCAGTCTGCTCACCAGTCCCGCTGTGCGCTTACCTGGGATCACATACGTTCTGGCCCATCTGAACAGGAAGCTTTCCATGGAAGATCAGCTGTATATAATTGGCAGTGACATTGAGCTCATGGTAGGTTGTCACATCAAAAGTGTTTCTCTAAAGCCAGGCATTCCAGACTATTCTGAGGGTTATGCCATGGGCAGAATTCCTGTTTTCATGAAACTTGCCATTTTTCATCAGAGAAAGCTAACAACCAAAATACTGAATAATTATTGATATTTTAAAAGATTAATATTTCATGTGAAAGACATTATTATTTTTGCCTGTTAACCCTTTTTCAAGTAATTCATGATTTTTATTGTTCCTGTCTTGCTTACTAATAGAACACTCTTACCATAGCTACATTTATTATAATAGCCTAAAGTAGACCTTCAATCTTACTTTTCTTTATAAGAAAGATGAATTTTAGACAAAATGATATAGCGGAATTCTGCATAAGGTTCGAGGAACAGGATGAAAACCAAAGCAAACAGTGAAAGAGAGAATAGCACACTGACTGTGTTCTTATGTTCTTTTCAAGACTGCTAATGGAAGAAAATCTTTATATGATGCTGTAGTCTTAAAATGAGGGAGGAATTTATTTTCAAAACTTCTTAAATGTTTTTCGATTAATCTTGTTTTCCATATAATTATATGACTCATATTTAATGTACAACTTTATTTAGTGTCTTAGCTAGGGTTTCTATTTCTAAAAAGAGATACTATGACCTTGGCAACTTTTATAAGGAAAACATTTGAGGGGGCTCACTTAACAGTTTCAGAGGTTCAGTCCTTTATCATCATGACAGGGAGCATGGCTGCATGGAGGCAGATGTGATGTTAGAGGGGTAGCTCAGAGTCCTACATCTTGCAGATAACAGGAATTTGACTGGTCAGTATTCTGAGCATAGGAAACCTCAAAGCCTGCCCCCACAATGACATTCTTCCTCCAACAAGGCCATACCCACTCCAACAAAGTGATGCCTCCTAATAGTGCCTCTCCTTATGAGATTATGGGGGCTCATGACATTCAAACTACCATAGTTAGATTTCGTCAAATATTGCTTGCATTCACTAAAATTGGGCCATCTTACATGTATGAATTTTCATATATACATACAATGTATACAATCTCCTAAACGCTACTATAAAGAAGACTAACAAAATTGTATCACACCAAACAACACTAGACCTATTATGGCCGCTCCTTTCCTGTTTTTAGATCCTTGAAAACATTGTTTGGTTTCTGATTTTTAGTTCCACTCCATCCAGACTGTTAATATGAGTTGAAACATACTGCTTACGCCTGTGGGTATGGTTTATTCACAATTTATAACACAGTGGAGTTTAGTCCATGCTTCTGTGTTTGTTGCTTTATATTGCTCCATATTCTCTTATGATTAGTACTGTAGTGTGATTACTCTTTCATCAGTCAGTGGACATTTGACTTGCATCCCACTTAGAGCAAGTATTTGTAAAGCTGTTGTGCAATATTTGCACAAGCATGCTGTGTGGACATGTAATGGGGCATAGGGTAAAAGTCATTGATACTGACGGTAACATTTGTGTGTGTGGTGCTCTCTGATCGGCACAGTATGTTTTCTCTTTCTTAGATAAATGAAAAGTTACTGTGGAAAGCATTTCCAAGCATGCTAAAGGCTTTCTTATTTCAGGTAGAAGCAGTAAGTACTTCAGTGCAGGACTCGAGTGTACTTGTACAGAGAAGCACACTGGACCTCATCCTCTTCTGTTTTCCATTCCATATGAGTCAGGTAAAACTTGAATGCTAATGTTTTCAACAAAGACATTCTTTGATAATCATAGGTCTGTGATGTATAGTCATTTTAAAGGTACCATATTAGAATATTTTCTTCATAAGTATATAGAAAACATTCCTTCTTGATGAAGTAGAAATTGTATTTTAAAGAAAAATACTAAACTGTTTGATAAGCATATAGTAAATGAAGGAGATTATTTTATACATTTCAAAACAATTCTAAACTTTAAAAAGAAGGGAGTGCTCATTGTTAACTCTTAAATAAGGAGCCTTTAGACCGAGGCCTTCAACCAAGCTAACATATGACTGATGTTACCTTATTTTTACTTTGGTGGCTCCACCATTACATGCCAGAACATTAAAGGAGTTAGCCATTGTTTGAGAACCAAATATTTGCCAGGCGGTGATAGCACACACCTTTAATCTCAGCACTTGGAAGGCAGGGGCAAGCAAATCTCTGTGAGTTTGAGACCAGCCTGGTCTACAAGAGCTAGTTCTAGGACAGGCTCCAAAGCTACAGAGAAACCCTGTCTTGAAAAACCAAGGGAAAAAAGAACCAAATACTTAGTGCCTGTGCCATTTGCTACTGATTTCACTACAGATACAAGCAACTGACTTGACAAATCACAAATGAAGTGTGTCATTACTGAGATTTAATTTAATCAATATCCTTAATTTGATCTTTTAAAAGAATAAACTTTAATTTAAAATGAGACTTAAAACACCAGAATATATACATTCAGAATGGTGGAACCAAATACCATAAATAATAAGACACAGAGATTTTCTTCTTTGAAAATTAAACTCATACCAGCTGTAGTAGCACATGCTTTTAATCCAAGCACTCAAGGGGCATAGGCAGGTGCATCTCTGGTTTTCATAATGAATTCCAGGACAGTCAGAGCTACATAATAAGATCCTGTCTCAAAAAAATAAAATACATTTCTAAAATGGGATTAGCAGGAAGGACTTTGTTTTTCTCATAATGACTGCTCATTATGACTCAGAAGTTTTTCATTTAGCTAAATTTTCTTTGCTACTCTACTTTCAGTTTTTTAACTACTTCATTTAATTTGAATAAATAATAACTGAAGAGTTTTATAGTTCATCGAGTACATTATCACTAGTTGACATATAAACCACTTCTAGTTTCTATTTTGAGACTCTCACTCTTAACCATGGGCCTTTTTTCTGCCATTTGGATTTTCACCTTTCCCCTACTGGGAAATTCAGTGTAAACTAAGCTTGCCAAAGCTGTAGCATAGTGGGAACGTTTTTCAAGTCTTATAAAGGAAAGCAATGAGTCAAAGCAATGTGGATAACAACCTAAATATGTACACATAGAAAGAGCATCAGTGACCTTTGCTCTTGACCTTTCTTCCTGTTGAAACATTCTATATTAATAATCCCTCCATCGAGAGGCTCCTCCACAGCACCCAGGAATTAAGTCTTAGGCTTCAACTGATAAGAGCTTAATTTGTAATTTCATTAGCTCAGCGATGAAAACTAAACCTTCCCCATACTTTCCTACTCACCCTTCTCTCTGTCCCTGCCAGCCAGAATTCTACCGGACTCCTGTGCTCCTGGTTTCAGGAACGCAGTCTTTTGGTGTTCCCCTCTCTCTGCTACTCTTGCAGTTCTGATCCTCCCTTACTGTGCTACATTATATAAGGCTCCGAGGCTGGTGTAGCCATCTTTGCTCCCCACTTGACCTTTTTTCATGTCTTGTGTGTAATAAATTCTTAGCAAGTATTGATTTTAATTATAACTTAACAGAGCCTTCATTAACTACCTCAAAAATATGATTGCTGTTATGCTATGGATGGACTGGTAGACATCTTTAACATACTTCAGGTAAAGCTGATCTGAGTGTCTACTATTAAATGCTAGTGAGCTTTTATATATTATAGTGATCTTTTACATATTGCAAAATATGGAGTGATGTCCGCAATATTTACAAATGGCTTCTTAGCCATACATTTGGTAATGGTGGCATATGTCTGTAGCTCCATCATTGAGGAAGATAAGGCAAGATTGCAAATTCAATAGACGTTGTGTCTAAAATGAAAAAAATGTAAATTCTTATCTGGGGAATAGCTCAGAGGTAAAAGCTTCAGGCCCTGAGTTCAATCTGTAACATGTTTTATGTTTTTACGTGATGTTTTCAAATCTATGCATAGAGAGGAGGAGAGAAAAACATTGTAGAATGGCTGAATTGAGCTAACTCATGTATTACTTCACATGCTTATTTTCTGCAGTGAGAACACCTTAACTTTGAGTACAGCACGTTTTAACTATGGTTACCATGATATAGATTTCTGAAAATTCCTCCAGAAATTGAAGTTTTATAACTTTTACCATGTCTTCTGTTCTTTCCTATTTGAGTTTTCTCCTCAGATAAGATGGGGAGACATTGGTGCTTCCAAGATTTTGGGACACTGCCTATAATCTACATGTCTGCTAGTGAGGAGATAGCATAGGAGTTCTCAAACTTTTGGTTGCAAGATGCTATTGCATGTTTAAAAAGTATTGAGGATCTCAGCAGTTTCTTTTTTTTTTTAAAGATTTATTTATTTATTATGTATACAGTGTTCTGTCTGTCTATATCCTTGCTGGCCAGAAGAGGGCACCAGATCGCATTACAGATGGCTGTGAGCCACCATGTGGTTGCTGGGAATTGAACTCAGGACCTCTTGAAGAGCAGTCAGTGCTCTTAACCTCTGAGCCATCTCTCCAGCCCAGCAGTTTCTTGATATAAGTTAGTACTATCCATATTTATCATATAATTTTTAAAAGTCTACTGATTTATCTGAAAATACTGAGTTATCTTACCTGCATGAATGACATTTGTAAAAGTATGTTATAGAAAAAAAAAAGGAATGTAAGAAAGAAATTAGTGAGAAGTAGGGTTTCATATTTTTGTCAATCTCTTTAATAACTGGCCCGGAAGCTCATAGCTGCTTTTTGGTTGATGTATAAGGAAAATAAAATAAAAACAATTCTCACATTGATCTACTGTTTGAAAATCAAGGAATCATTAATATGTTCTGTTAATAAGTACACACTTTTTGATACTATACCAAAGTTATATCTGCTGTTTTACAGTTAATTGCAATATGTAAATATAAATCAACTTTTAGAATTCTCTTCTGTTAAACAGTCTGCAACTTTTACTCATGTATGATTTTGCATCATCAAGTTTGGTTATTTAAAAAAATGATGGTGTACTCAGCTGGGCAGATTTTCCATACATAGACCACCACTACATTAAACTAAACAATCACATTTGTTGCTATTACCACTTATATGTATAACCTTTTTTCATCACTGTCACCTGTGTGAGACACCTTAAGGGAAGAAAGGTTTATTTTAGCTTACTCTTCCACAGATTTAAGTCATTTTAATAGGGAAGGGATGGCAGCCAATGGCAATAGAAACTTACTGCAGCAACTGTGCATTCAAAGGCCAGCTCCCACTCACCACCTCCACCAGCTCATCTGTACCTCCTGAAGACCCCAGAGTAGAACAATGTTGAAATAGGAGCGGCGGGGCTGCGTCCCCGGCACCTGGCCGCCTGCATGGCTAGCTTATGCCCGAAATAATTACACGGAAACTGTATTCTATTAAACACTGCCTGGCCCGGCTAGTTCCAGTTTCTTATTGGCTAGCTCTTACATATTGTTCTAACCCATTTCTAATATTCTGTGTAGCCCACGAGCTGGCTTACCAGGGAGGATCTTAACCTGCATCTGTCTGGCGTGGGAGCATCATGGCAACTCTCACTCAGCTTCTTTTTCCCAGAATTCTCTTCTGTCTACTCCGCCTACCTAATTTTCTGTCCTATGAGGGCCGAGGCAGTTTCCTTATTATTAAGAAATCACTCCCCCATCAGAACAAGAGCTTGGAGGCAGGTGTTTCTGGTTTAAGACACAGTGTCTTTAAAAGCAGTATTTACATTCATTTATTGTGGGTGTGTGTGTGTGTGTGACCACAGCACTGATGAGGAAGTCAGAGGACAATTTGCAGGATTCAATTCTCTTAGCATTTATTGTAGCTGAGGATTGAGCTCATGTTATCAGGGTTGGAAGTAGCCATCTTTACCTATTGAGCCATCTCACCAGCCCTTAACTATAACGCTTGGTCAGTAAAAAAAAAAAAAAAAAAAAAAAAAAAAAAAAAAAATTTCGTAACTGAACCCTTCAGGCATAGTCCTAGTTGCCCATCTTTTATTGAGCCCAAAGGATGACTGATCAGTCATCCCCAAACTGTTCCCAAACCCACGGTTTAATCCACATTGTGCATCCTGTATACCAGCCTAGTTTGGTCAGCCACCTGACTTCAGCCCACTCATGCCGCATCCAACCTTCAGGCCTTCCCCCGGGTGCTTATCCTATGCCAGATCCAGTCTGTCTTAACCCAGAACCCAGATCTGGACATGAGTCAAGCCTGGTGAGTCACTGGCACCTAATATGCCTGCAACATCTTTAACCCTCAGCAAGTGCACAGCCTGTTTAACATCCTAGCCTGAGGTGTAGCTTGCACCTCTCACAGCTGGTCAAAATGCAAAGAACAGCTGATCATGGGTGCCTGGCCCTAACTGATACAGATATAACACAACCCCTACACCTAAAGCTCATAGAAGGTCATGAAAGAGTTGGTGGAAAGATTGTAAGAGCTTGAGGATCAGGACATCTGCTTCAAGATTGTGTCTTCTGAATATGACAGGGAAGCTGTACCCATGAAATTTCAACAAAATGCTTGCCTAAAGAAGACCGGAACAGTAATTGACATGCCTACGTAGATGGTGGGAATTTCACAAGGCCCTGCCACTAGATGAAGAGCCACAGGCAATTAATGACTGCTGAGAGAAGTAGAATCAGTTTTTCCCAGTTGGTTTTCCAGTACTGAGTGGTCACCCTAAAAACATACATACACATACACACAACACTAAATGGTTGTTATTGATGTATTTATTCATTTATAACAGCTAAAGATAAAGATGCAATGTGGGCTGGAGATCACTGACTGCTCTTCCAGAGGTCCTGAGTTCAACTACTAGCAACCACATGGTAGCTTATAGCTATCTGTAATGAGATCTGGTACCCTCCTCTGGCCTGCAGGCATACATGCAGGCGGAACACTGTACATGTAATAAATAAATCTTTTTTTAAAAAAAAATATAAAGAAGCTATTAGCTGGAGAAGGAGGAGGTTGGACTTGGAGGAAGGAGGGAAAGGTAGAAATGACGTAAATACATATGTTCATATATATGAAGCTTAAAAAACTAAGTACTGAAAAATTTTTAACTCAGTGTCTTGAAGCAGTGTAATTTTAACACAAAGTCTTCTACAATTTAATTAGCTTTCTTTTGGAATTTCCAATATTATTATTTATACCAATATTGTTTTCATTTAAGTGACAATATCATGTTGTTTAAGAAGGGACTACTAAATGCCAAAATCTAAAATATCCCATATTTTATATTGGATATAGCCCAACATATTATAAAGAAAGATCATAGTTTGGCAAAAATGGTATTCTGTTTTTTTTGGGTGGGGGGAGCTTTTCAGTTCTTAACAGTAAGACAACCCTTCTACATTATACAATTTCAGTATACAAAATAGTAAAAGTCATAAACTGAAAAGTGTATCTTGAGTGACAAGCTCAAGTTTCAGAAGCATTCTTTTAAAAGACCTGTGAACTGGCTAGTTTCCTTCCTTCTTTCCTTTCCTTCTATGTACTGGAATTGAATTCAGGGTCTACTGCAAACGTATCTACCACTGAGCTATACCATCAACTTGTTTTCCTTTTTTGCTGCTGTTTTTATTTTTCTCCAAGAATGTGGTAGTGAAAATATAAAGATTGTAAGTATGGTAGATGCTTCTACTCACCTGCTTTTCATACGGATATGCCAGATTGTTTAGCTTGCTTCTTACCTATTGGGAGAAATGACAACACAGCAAAAGAAAAAGTAAATACATTTAGATAGTATATGATGTTTTCTTTATGTATGCTACATAGCTGGTTTTCACCCTGTAAGCTGCCTGGAATGGCACCTAGGGATCACACTTGACAAGTTTTCTGGCTTACTGACAGTATCTATAAAGAATGGGCATAATTTGTCACCTGTGGATGACCTGTATTCTCTATCATCTCAGCTGTTACTAATTCTGGGGATGATTCCCTTTCCATAACAGGAAGATTGTATAGAGAGGGTTTGTTGTGAGTAAGGAAGGGTTAGCTCTGTAGTATTACCCAAACATTTTATTTTCACTATGCTTTTGGACCTTAAGAGGTTCAGATACTTTTTGTTGTTGTTTTAATTTTTTTATTAGTTCTTTGAGAATTTCATACAATGTATATGATAATATTCCTGCCTCCAACTCTTCCTAAATCTAGTCCCCTTCCCAACCCATCAATTTCTGTGTCGTCCCCCACCCCCAACCAACTCATTCAATTCATTCTGTGCTGCCCATATACTCCTGAGTGTAGCTTTGCACTGAAGCAGGATTGACCTTCTAAGCCTTACCCTGAAAGAACACTGACTGCCCTCTCCCAGAGAGTGAACTGCCAACAACTGCAGCACAGAGACAGACGGGGACGTGGGCACAGAGTCCCATGTCTAGTTACAGAGCTACTGGCGAATGAGAGAGAGCTGCTGGGGACTTTTTTACAGAGTAGTTTTAAATTGGTCATTTTCCAAGATCAGATTTTAAGATTCCCAGATTACACATTTAAGTGATTACCCGGTGATGTTCTTTTGAAATTCATATTTTGTGTGTGCTTCAGTTGCACATGTGCAGACAACTTTTAGGAGACAGCTCTGTCCTTCCACCTCTCAGGTCATCAGGTTTGCATAACAAGAACTTTAAGCCCTTGAGCCCCCAGTAATACCCTTAATGTTAACAAATTTATTAGCAATCTTCCATCTTTTCTTTTAATATTTTAAACATCAAATTAAAGCTAGAGGGGAAAATCTGAAGGAAAAAGTTAAAGCTATTAGAACAAAAGGACTCTATTTGGATTGTATTTGTGGATTTTTTTTCCATCTTTGAGGTATTACAAATAGAATTTTAAAAAGAAAAAAGAAAGAGAAGAGGACTGATTGCTGCTAAAGTCTTCTTGAAGATTTTAAAGTGCACTGCTAGTGTTGAACCATTTGTTCTCTTTACAGTCCTCGTTTGTGTCAGATTGTACTGTTGATGGAGAGGAAAAGAGAACTTTAAACGTAATGTTAGAGTGAGTGAATGAGTTTGGTTCCAACTGTAAAACTGAAGTTGGAATTGGGCAGCTGGGCACAGTGGCACACACTTACTAGGGAGGTAGAAGGGAGGTAGAGGCCGGCAGAAAGAACAGAAGGTCAGAGTGGAAGTTGAGGGCTGTCCTTTGCTGCTTAGGGAGTTTGAAAACAGACTTGTAAGCTCTGTGAGACTACCCAGAAAGAAAACTGAGTCATGTTACCTTTCTTCCTGTTTCCTCACATGTGAACTAGAAGTAATAGCTCCTGTATTTGAAAGATTAGATGAAGCAATGTTATGTAAAAAACACCTCTCTTACACTCTAATGTTCTAAGAAAACTTCAAGGTATTCCTTTTTTAAAAGAGTAAAAACAGTAGTATATCTCCATTAAGTATAACTACATTCCTTTTTCAGGCCACTCGACCCGATATGATCAGGATTTTGTCAGCAGCCCTTCACGTAGTACTAAGGAGGGATATGTCCCTGAACCGAAGACTTTATGCATGGCTTCTTGGTAGGTATCTAATGAATATGCTTATAATTGACAAAAAAAAAACTTGTCATGCATAACTGTTCTGAAATTGTATGAAGAAACTAAATATTTATGTGTAAATGAACAATAAAAATAAAATACTGTGCCAGAAAGATAGCTCTGTGGTTAAGAATGTCTGCTGCTCTTCTCGAGGACCAGGGTTTGGTTGCCAGCACCTGTATCAGGTGGCTCAGAACCACCTGTAATTCCAGTTTCAGGGGCTCCAGTGCCCTCTCCTGGCCTCCAAGGGCACATGCACTCATATAGCACACACACATGCACTAAAAATCAATCAGTCAATCTTAGGTGGGGGGACTATTAATGATGACATTTTTGATCAAATTTCAAAACCCTCTTAAGGGGCTATGTTAAGGGAACATAAAATCATGTTCACTTTAGCAAGATGTCGTTCCTGTTACACATTATAGTTAATGTTAGTATATTAAAAAGATTAAGTGAATAGACAAAATAAAAATAAAATTTCCAAAACTTTCAAGTCATCAAGGAATCATAAGTAGTAATTACCACTGTCTTACAGATGACATCATTGTGAGACAGTGTGTGTACATAAGCCATAGAACATTTATTATGTACATGTAATCCTCTATCTTTTTATGAATGTTTTGTCTGTCCTTACAACCTCTTACTAGAGTGAAAGGACATTTGATGACTTTCCTTAGATATTGTAAATCCTCAGTTATTTTACTGTAAGATTTGGGGTAAAATAAGAAGATAACTTTGGAAGAATACTATTAGACTCATCTATTGAATTGGTTTCCCTTTATTAAACTATCTAAAATGGTCTCTCTTGCTGACACTGAATGGGCTACTAATTGGGTAAGTGTTTAGTGCTGTTTTTGAGATATTTTAGCATTTAGTGAACAACAGTTTTAAGGCTTCCATTTTAATTTTGTGATTTATTCCCATGGAGGTTTTGATAACAACGGTGCTATCATAGGACCCAGGAGCACAAGACACAGTAATCCTGAAGAACATGCCACTTACTATTTTACAACCTTTTCAAAGGAATTGTTAGTCCAGGTAATGACTGTTTTCATTATTCTTTGCTTCCTTCCTGTTGAAAAAGCCTGGCAAAGTCCTGTTTTAATTGAATTCATAATTGAAGAAGTCAGGACAAGACTCAAAAAAAACTTCCAAAAAATAACTGTAATAGACATACAACTACAGCACAAAGGTAGTCACAGCTGGACTCCACAGGAGGACAGCTTTTCACCTGTCTGCTCTTGTGAAGGTTGGAGCATTTCAAAAGGTGCCCATGACCATGTTTCCTGTGAAACTTTGGTTGGATTGGGCTTTTGCAGGTTAGATATGGTAAGACTGCAACACACATAGAAACATTAAAATTATCCATTTATTTCCTACTATATTTATTTAAGGTGCATCAAAATGCTCTAAGAAACTGTATCAAGAAAACAAATGATTGCTCAAGCGGTTTTCTTCATTTACTTATTTGATTTTGAGATAGGATCTTGCTGTGTAGCTTAGGTGGTCTTGAACTCAGGACCTGCCCGCTTCTGCTTCTAAAGTGCTAGGATTATAGGTGTGTATCATAAGCCCAGCTTGAAGCATTTTTAAATGCAGGAAATTATACACTGAATTTTAAATAGCTAAGAAGATAATTACATACTATACCCCTTGGTGATAAGATGGCATAGTTCATGTCTTAAACTAATATCTTCATCTAGATGGCCAACACTCGATTTCTCAGTACACTTCTCTTGATTCTCCTTTGTTTTTTTCCCCAATGAAAATTCATGATCTAGATTGATGGACTTGTAGCTCCACACTCAGAGAACTGAAGCAGGAGGATGGTTTGTTGTCAACCTAGTCTTTGTAGCAAGGCCTTTTCTCAAAAATAAACAACAAATTAATGCTTATGATTTAAATATGTTGCTTTCTCTCGGTAAGTGAGTCTACCATCTTTGTTCCTGGCAAAGAAAGAAGACATCGATAAGAACAGTGCAGGGATGTGAATCTACATTTCATGGATGTAGTTAAAAATAGCTCTTTAAAAATATATATGTATATATATTACTAGTTCCTAAATCATTAGTATGCTTTTTTTTTTTTAAAGGCCATGATAGGAATCTTACAAGTGAATGGATTTGGAGAAGAAAGCACTCTCATGCAAGATCTAAAACCTTTTCGGATTTTAATCAGCTTATTGGACAAACCTGAGCTAGGTAATATATGCCCAAAACATAAGCGGACATGTGCTTTTGTGTTGTTTCATGATAATAGTAGAATGAAGACACTGGGAAAATTGCGGTGTTCTTTTAAATACAGATTCTCAGATTCTCAACAGTTTGTTAACTGAAGTTAAAGATATGTAGCTGGTGTTTATGTCAGCATCAGACCTGTGCCTGACACTGTAGGCAGCAGAGTCGGCTTCTTAAAAGATGTCATCTCATCTCCTTTTAATCATTCACTAAAATGGAAACATTGTTGATCTGGCATAACTAACTTAGAATTTGAGGACTGAAACAGAAATGTGAGTTATATATTTCCTTCATAGTCTTCTTGTTGCTGTTGCTTTCTGTGGTTTCCAACATTGTGTGCTTATTATTTATTAGATCTACTAGAAAATGAACTATAGTACTTAACATAAACTAAGAAAAGGCAATTATCTCTTATAAAGTATGTAAATTTTCTAAGTATATTCAGGTGTTTTGGCTATAGTTCCCCAGCTCTTAAAAGTGATTTTTTTGTGTGTGTGTCAGGAACTTCAACAGGGTCACTTTTGAGGGTTTCTGTGATGGTGATGAAGCTCAGGACACTTTTTAAAGAAGATAGTGGTAACTGTGAAGCAGTCAAACTTATTTTTCTGATTTTGAGCATTATTTAGCAACAACTTTGATGTGGCAAAATCTACTGGATAATTGTTCTAAGAGCTGCATGGTGTACCTTGCAGATGTTTCTCTAAATCTTAAGACAGTCCCGTAAGCTGGGCGGTGGTGGTGCACGCCTTTAATCCCTGCACTCTTGAGGCAGAGACTGAGGAATCTCTGTGAGTTCAAGGCCAGCCTGGTCTACAAGAGCTAGTTTCAGGCCAGTCTTAAAAGCTTCAGAGAAACCCTGTCTTGGAAAACCAAAAGGAAAAAAAAAAAAAAAAAAAGACCTATAAAGCTAGTTATACTCTCCTCATTTGGGATTAGGAAACTAAGACTCAAAAACTAAAGAGCCTGCCTGTCCAAGGTAACAGATTTAACCAATTTTTTGGATTATGGTCACTTCTATTAAGGTGACTTTATACTTAAACTCTATACTTAAAATAAACATTTATCCCATTACTTACTATTGGACCATGTTTCAAAAGTTTACCTTTGGGGGCTGGGAAATCTCCTCATAAAGTACTTTTTTTCAAAGCATACTTTAATTGGACTATTCTTCAGGTCATCATGATTTGCTAACCCTAAATAACTGCTGCATATAATTTATTGTATATTAATTTTAGGACCTGTAATTCTAGAAGATGTTCTAATTGAGGTGTTTAGAACATTGTATTCTCAATGTAAAGCAGAATTGGATCTTCAGATGGAACCACCCTTCAGCAAGGACCATGCTCAGTTAAGCAGGTAGATTGCTAAAAAATTAAGAATGACATAAAAATAGCCTCAATTATTAATGCTTACGAAATGGATTCTAGTAATATAAATTAATATAATATGATTATTAGTAATGGTTATGATCTTACTCTAAAGTTTTTATTATAGTGAATAAAATTATCACATTCATAGTATGAAATATAATTAATTGCACTCACTATTCAGGCAGGTACTTTATTTTTTTTTTTAATTTATTTATTTATTATGTATACAATATTGTGTTCGCGTGAATGCCTGAAGGCCAGAAGAGGGCACCAGACCTCATTCCAGATGGTTGTTAGCCACCATGTGGTTGCTGGGAATTGAACTCAGGACCTTTGAAAGAGCAGGCAATGCTCTTAACCGCTGAGCCATCTCTCCAGCCCTCAGGCAGGTACTTTAAACAAGAAGAGTAATCACCATTTGATAGTTGAATGTTTCTTAATCATATCAGTTTAGAAAATTAATTGAGTATTTGGGCTGATGAGATGACTCAGTAAGTAGAAAAAGGCACTTGGCTCCAAGAGTGAGAATAGATTATGTCACCATTGCAGTCTTCCTCCTGCTAGACAGTATTCTAGCAGTGTGTAATAATGTGTACTACCCCAGTAATACTGCACTCAGTTTTGAAAGAAATATCAATATTTTTAATTGTTTGGTTTCTTTTATTTTTTAGTAAATTAAGGGAAAACAAGAAAACAGCCGAGCTGATTAAAACTGCGAATCTTCTTTTTAATTCCTTTGAACCTTATTATATGTGGGATTACATTGCACGCTGGTTTGAAGAATGTTGTCGGTAAGTTAACAGCTTCATTTGTTGTAGTCCAATAACATTCAAAGCTAATATTTAGCTTTTAAAATGTTCTTTTATATGTTTTTTCCTACCGAAAAATGTTCATTATTTACCCATAATCTAAATTTACTTTGTCAATTTAGGATATAAAAATCATTGCTAACATAGTCTTAGAACTGGAAAGGAGCTTAGAAATGATGATCCACTCCCCAGCATAGAGTGTTCCTGTGTCTGGCTTGCAGCAGCTCCCCTGTTTTTGACTGTGGAGAAGATAGTAGTCTGCATCAGCACATTTTCACAGAACTATTTCTGTTTATCAATAGGCCCACTGTGTGTTTTCAGAGACTTAGAACCATCCCATTTGGTAACTGATAAGCAATAATAAACACACCGCCTGTTAGGGTAGAAAGCCTGAAACAGTCTGAAATCGCTAGAGTGCTAGTGAAGCAGAGTGAAATCTCTATCCGGACTCCAAACTTAGCTCTTTCATGCCCTAGTTAACTTCTAAAGCATGAGAAACATGTATTCCAAAGTAGGCATGTCCAATCTTGAGTCTAGAGAATTTAGAAATATATTTGTCTATGAATCTCTAAGAATTTGGGGATTTACTTGCTTGTCCCATTGGCAGATATTGAGAACCCAACTGAAAAGCATCTGCTAGGCATATTAGATAATCGCTGACCTCAGAGACTTTATAGTGGTACAAGTAAATACACACATGTCTGCCCCGGGAATAGATTAAAAGTTGAAAATGCCTCATAGGTTAAGGTGTCAGGATGGAGAGGAATTATTAGTATCTTTGCCCACCTTGTGTTTTCTACACATATAGCCACCCTTCTGTACTAATCTATATTCACAACACACAACCATGGTTCTTGAGCCAACCTGGATTATTTCTTAAACATTCCCCACCTTTTGTGCTGCTGAGCCTTCACTGTGCTATTTGTTACATACCCTACCTCCTTTGTTCTTCTGGAACAATCCTGTAGAGGGTCGCTCACCTGACAGTAGCCTTGGCTCTCTCAAACCGCACATCAGAATCTGCTATCCTCATACTTTCATTGATTTTATATATTTCTCTACCTGTTTATGTTTCTTGCTAGTCAAATACAATATAATTATATCTTGAGAATATAGGGCAGTGTTTGGTCAAATAGGATTAATATTGTTGTTTCTTGGGTTTCATCTTGGATCAAAAGAGACTTCCTGTAAAACAGATGTTTGATCTCAGATCTTGAAGGAGAGTTACATTCCAGATATGAAGAACATATGTTGGCATAACAGCAACACAGAAAAAACACTTGTAAACCAAGTGTCTCAGTTTAGAAATCAAATAAAGAAACATTTATTTTTACTTGGAGATATATCCATGGTGACAGCAGTGCAAATCTCAACAAGTGTGTTATATCCAGAACACGTAGAATCCAGAGTAGCCATTTCAGGGACCTCACTTTGAGATGTTTTCTTGAAAACAGTGTGGTGGTGTTCTGGGACAATGGGAATGAACATTTTAATGTGTCCCAATCCTGACTTGAGTCTTATTTGTTAAGACAGGGTTATAGTCACGTGTCTTCTATCATGTGATAGTGTGTTTGATAAAGTTGATTGTTTTCCTTTTAGGAGAACACTGCATGCCAGACTTCAGGTTGGGCCTGGAGACAGTAGTGACTCATCTGAGTTACAGCTGACCAATTTCTGCTTACTGGTGGACTTTTTGTTGGATATTGTCTCTTTGGTAAGACTATCTTGGTAAAGAGAAAAACACGGAATTTAAAGAGCATAGTTTATATATTTCATGTTTAATATAAATGTCATCTTCAGAAAAAATCTTATCTTTAAAACTAAATGTTTTTTCTTTGGCATAGCTTTTTTCCATAACATCTTCTAAACATTTTTTCTCCTTGGCATTTGTGTATAGAATACATGGAATCTACTTCCCAATTGCATGTTGTAAAATCTTATGTTTATTGGGTGGAATTTTGATGCTGCGTTTATATTTGTTAACAATGTTTTCTATTATATGAAGACCATTGGAATTGTTTTCCCTTGTGTTTTCTCTCCTCAACTTTTTGCTTTCTCATTTTGAAGCCTACTAGAAGTATGAGGGTGCTGTGTCAGGTATGGCATTCAGCCTGTTTTTATTTTAACTGATTTTATTCACTTCCATTAGAATGTTATTAATATAGCTCATAAAATTGGGGTATCTAATTATATAATGCTTGAAGTACTTGGTTTAAGAAATTGGGGGGTGGGGGGAGTTTGTGACCACGCTCTTGTCCTATGGACGATATCTGTACCTGTGGAGGCCAGAAGTTGAAAGTGGTTGTCTTCCTGAATTACTTTTTGAGACTGGGTCCCTGGAGCTTGCCAGTTAGACTAGTCTGGCTGACTGCTGTCTCCCTGTCCTTAGCACTGGGATTGCAGATGTGCACCACCTGACCTGGCTTTAATGTGGGTGCTAGGGATCCGAACTCAGATCATCTTCATGCTTTCACAGCAAGCACTTTAGCCCCTAAGCCCACACCAGACATTGAGTGCACATCTTCTGAGTCATCAGTATGAAAATGCCTGTGAGCTGTTAGGAGCATGATACCCATAAAACATAAGCAAATATAGAGCCTTACTTGTATGAATTAAAATAAAATAGCTTTTATATATTACATTAAATCTTTCTAATTTTCTTTTATTTTCAGGAAACTTACATTGAAATACAGACAGAACACTTGCCCCAGTTACTACTCAGGATGATTTCTGCCTTGACAAGCCATCTCCAGACATTACGCTTGTCTGAGCTCACAGATTCTTTGAAACTCTGCTCAAAGATCCTTAGCAAAGTCCAGCCCCCACTGTTATCTGCTGGCACTGGGGGTGTGGTACAGTTTCCAAGTGGGCAGAGCAGCACAGTCAAAGAATGGGAAGACAAAAAGGTAATTTTAGCTGGGGTTCTTAGTATCAGATCAGTTATGTTTTTTAGTGCAGAACATTTTTTAAGATAAGTTGTTTAAATATCAGTGATCAAAGTGCTTTGGCAATAGAATCTTGTTAACTTGGTCATTATATAGTTGATTGTCCATGTCAGTACTTTACAGTAGAAGTAAAATACATATGACATCTAATTTTAGGAATTTAAAATTTTCTGTTTGTCACATTAAAAAGAAGCTGATGACATTGTTTTACTTAGCCAAATATAACAAATACATTATCATTTCAATATGTAATGTATACAAAATTGATATCATAGTATCTTTATGCAATTACCAAACTTGTAGCAGGAATTCTTGATTTTGTAAAATTTATATAAAACAATTTAGTCATATTCAAGTTTTTATAAGCATGATTCTTTGATGATAGCTATGTTATCTTTTTATTTTAGCTTTAAAAATTGAATGCCTTAGTCATATGAGCTACAGTGTGAAATATCTAGTAAACATAAAAGCATTACCTATTGTCTGGGTAACAGGCCTATGTATAAATTTTATTGATTCTTTCACTGCACCGAATTTTTGGCATGATTTTCCTGTAATCTATAATCTTTTTTTTAAATTTTTAAGTACCCATATGTTCAATATTTTGAAATAGAGTAAAACTAAACTCTTTGTACATATTCACACATATATATAAGCATATATATAAGCATGCAATATATAATTTTAATGTTTTACACCAATAGCATACTTTAATACCAGTGAAATCCTAATTGAAAAATTAGTGATTTAATTCCTTTCAGACTTAACACTGATATATCTAGTACGGGCCAATGAGATGACTGACGCAGTGAGTAAAACCACTTGCTGTCAAGTCTGATGACCTGAGTTCAGTCCCCAGAACACACGTGGTGAAAGGGAAGAACTGACTCCCTAAGGGTTGTGCTCTGACTTCCAACATACACACCCACACAAACACATATTCATAATAAATGAATGAAACAATTCAATCCAGTAAAGTATGAGTGGAGGTTTTCAATTGAATTATATATTAATTACATTAGGTGTAATCACATTGGCACTATATTAATATAAGTATTTGAAAATTTCTAGAGAATCAGGTTTGTTGTCTGTAATCATATGCTTATATAATTGCCCCCTTTCCATGGATAGCCTGTTTAACTTCTCTGCAAAATAAAATTTGTGGGTAGTATATACAACCTTTCCCACCAGCCGCTAATCCTGAAACTTTTTTTCTCATTCTGTACTAATATATCCTTCATAATGAAATGAAATTTGATCATTTTAAATATATTTGGGGTTATTCTACATAAACTAGAACCAGCCTGCTTTCCAGGTTGGTCCTTTCCAACCTGCTCTTCATATATGTATAATATATTCTGTCTCTACCATGGTAGGAAAGTCCTTTCATGGGACTGTCAATACACGGTGCTCTAAGATTTTCTCAGAAATAAAACTAAAAAGCGTTTAACTGATAATATGCTGAATGAGACTTATGGGAGCTGGAGAAGACACACCCTTACCATTTTTTCAGTAACATGTTCAATATGTGGAAATTCATATTTATCTGAAAACCTTTATTGATGATCATAGGTATGGTAAATGAGACTCTGTTTAGTTAAATCCAGGACAGTTAAATAATACAATCTAAATTATGATGTAACATTGAATATAACTCCCATATCCACCCATATTTCTGTTCATCCTTCCTTCTTTCATGCGCCTTAGCCATAATATGTTTTTCCAATCCTTTTTTCTGAAGCACAATTGTATAATCTTAGATATATGAAGGTTGATAATATTTTCTGGCTGAGACCATGTTTTTTTGAAATGTATGTGAAGGGCTGCTGCTTTTAATAACGGTGAGCCTAGTTTGACAACATGGCACTTAATATTTTTTATAATATTTTTGTATTGGGCATCTACTCAAATGGCCTAAATACCCTTTCTATTTTTAAAAAGAAATTCATCATAAAAACTATATATCCACATAATATAGTCTAAACCAATAAATATTATTCATGTATGCAAGTTTAATTGGATTTATAGATTAAATTCTATTACCTTAGTATTGTCCTTTGTATTAATATAAAAATAAATAGGAATAAGCTAATGATAGTTTTATTACCTGAATAAGTCTTCTTTTGTAAAAAGCACATCATTTAAATGGTAAATAACCTTTCAAAGGAGAAAAATAAGCAAATGAATTCAATCTGCTAGCCACTATAGACTTTGACACCATAATATGAAGAGTTGTACTGTACATAGTAATACTGTGGTCACATTAAAAATAATAATAAATAACCGAGTTGAAAATCTCCCTCTCCAAAGATCTGTGTTAACAACTTAGCTTTTCTACTGCAGCATTGGGCAAATTTATTTTAAACTCCCTGAAATTCAGTTTTCTTTCTGTTGTTGTTTGGTTGGTTTTGGTATTTTGAGACAGGGTTTCTCTGGGTAATAGCCTTGGCTGTCCTGGAACTCACTTTGTAGACCAGATTAGCCTCGAACTCATAGAGATCCTCTTGTCTCTGCCTCCTGAGTGCTGGGATTAAAGGCGTGTGCCTCCATGCCCAGCTTGAACTTAAGTTTTCTGTCTTTGAAACAGAAAAATTACTTTGTTCATGCAGTATCTTTTATGAACTAACTGTACAATCTATATAAAACAAGCAATTACACATTTAATTACAGATAATATAGATGATTAGTGTAGGGCCAAATTAGAGGTATAGGTGTAGGATGGGGGCATACCTAGGAGTCAGGGACTGCTTCTTGAAGTGGAGCCCTAGAGAAATTGTTGGGGTGGAGAAGTATGAAAAGAGAAAGCACATGACAGGAAAAAACAGTGGCAAAGACCCTAAGGCAGAAAGGAACTCTATGCACTTGATGATGCAGTTATAAGAAAGGCAGGAGCCAGGTTAACAGAGCCTTGTTCGCTATACTAAGGCTTTTATTCTTTGTCTTAGGAGCAATGGGAAGACAAAGAAGGGGAAAAAGGCAAGTGCCAAAATAAGATACATGTTTTAGAAACTTACTATGGCTGCAGTGTGGAGTATGGATCTGAGAAACAAAAATGGAGGTGGGGAGACCTGCAGTAGTGCAGGTGAGAGGTGGTGTTAAGTTGGGCTAACAAGATACGGGAAAAAGAAGAAATACATTTAGGAGCAAAATTTTAAAGACACTAGTGATAAAATAATTAAGGATAATGAGTGATCACCAAAATGTGTGCTTGCTGGGCATTAGGTACTCTGCCAGTTTCCCTCTATATTAAATCCTTAAACTAACTGTAAAATGTAGAAACTTGTTGTTATAGTAGTCCTTTTTATGAGTGTTCCCATTTCCATAATTTCAGTTGCCAGTGAGTAGTCAATGGCCAACCTAATGTTTTATGTGGAAAATACTAGTAATAATTTACAAGTTCTAAATTCTTTGCTGCTGTTGTTTGTACATTGATGGAATCATCCACTGTCCTCTTCAACATGCAAAGCATCCTTTTTCTGGCATAGGCAATCTGGTATCTATCCACCCTCCTTTCTTAGTTATCAGATGGATTCTGTCTGGGTGCTCGTTCAAGCAGCTCTTATTGAGTAGCAGTGTTAATACTGCAACCAAGTACCTGCATCATTCATCTCACTTCTCATCATACTGTCACATCATCTTAAGAAATATAACTATGATATAATAAGATATTTTGGGAGAGTCCACGTTCATGTTAGTCTTATTTTATTAGAATTGTTTTATATGATTAATGTTGTTAACATTTCTTCCTGTGCTGCCTTATCATGGGTCTGTGTATATCACTGGTTCTCAACCTTCCTAATGCTGTGATCCTTTAAAATAGTCCCTTATATAGTAGTGATTCCCAGCCATAAAATTATTTTGTTGCTACTTCATAAGTTATTTTTCTACTGTTATAGATCATAATAGACATCTGATATGCAGGATATCTGATATGCAAACCCTGTGATTGAGAACCACTAGTTTGTATGAACAGAAAAAAAAACAGTTATGAAGTTTTCAGTACTAACCACAGTTTCAGGCATCTACTGCGGGTCTTAGAATATATACATACATATACACACACTATATGTATATATGTGTATATATAGTATGTGTGTGTGTATGTGTGTGTATCCCTTGCAGATAAGAGGACACTGATGTGCACAAATTAGGAACCCAAGGTTTGAAGACTATCAAGTTCATGGCACATACCTAGCTGACTTAGAACTCACACCCTTAGCCACCATACTGGTGTAGGTATAAGGCAAGTTGAAAAAAGGTGTGGAGAAAATACTGTGACTTGTAGGCTTCCATCTTCCTTGCTTTAATGAATGATGGTGTGTTATTCACTAAAGCAGGAAACACTGGGTTAAGCCCAGCTTTAAGTAGAAGTACTTAATTCGTGCATTAAAAAGAAAATATTCTGATGATCTTACTCATATTATCCTCTGTTGCAGACATGGAACACATTCAAGGGAATGCACAGCTTTATTTACACAAAACCAGACAGTACCTGACTCTGCCCCTAGTCTAGAAATGGTCATTTGTCTGTATTGCCATTGTCTCTTTCTAGATTCTAAACTGTTCCCTTTGGCCCTGTGCCTAACCCATGATCTGAATATGTGAGCTGAGCAGTCTTCACTGAAGGGATCTAGGTGTAAGGGCATGCAATGACACTTGACATACTTGAACAGAGATTTTCATTCATGTGGTCCCAAATACATCCTCCATTAGATTTTATTTATAATACTTAAAATGCAAGATTTTTAATCTTGTATTTCTTATTCTTTGCATTGTTTAGACATTAAGAAAGATTGTTTATGAAGAAGATAGAGTAGTCATTTGAAACAAGGGTACAGATCCTAAAGATTGTACATATATGTATGTTTACCTCAGGACCCTAACAAGTGTGGTGCCACATGCCTCTACTCCTGACACTTAAGAGGAGAGTTTGAGGTAGAATTGAGCCTGGGTACATGACAAGACCTTGTCTGAAAAATCAATCATTAAAAAAAAAAAAAAGCCAGCCTTATATGACACAATGAATGATAAGTACTTGGTGAATGAGTTTATCTTCTTGTATTTTTTGGAACCCTATTACTGTTTGCTATTGATTATCAGAAACTTTAGTCAATGTAGGAACTGCTTTGATTCTAGTATAAACTTAAGCTGTATATAAGTAGTCTATAGCTTTCTCTGAAAAGATCACCCTTTCTAGTCCTTAGTATCTATATCCCTACTCAACCTTTCGCTTTGTTTAAAATCATCAGGTATCATCAGTTTCTGTAGAAAATCCTGCTGAAGTATTTGAAGATGGAGAAAACCCACCAAGTAGTCGATCATCAGAAAGTGGCTTCACTGAGTTTATACAATATCAAGCAGACCGAACTGATGATCTTGACAGAGAGCTGAATGGACAGGGTACAGCTACCATCCCAATGGGAAGCACATCTTCAGAGACAGAAACAGCATCCACAGTGGGATCTGAAGAAACTGTTATCCAGCCACCTTCCACCTTCACTCAGGGTGCAGCAGCCCGAAGTGGGAAGGCAGCACAAAAGACTGCGATGCAGTGCTGCCTGGAGTATGTCCAGCAGTTTCTTACCAGACTCATTAACCTCTACATCGTTCACAGGGACTCCCTTTCTCAGCCTTTGGCTGCCGACCATCAGGGAGATATCCGTCGATTTCAAAGAGACACTTCAAAATGGGACAGGGATTCCCAAGGGGATGCAAAAGAAAGAAGTATATATACACCAAAAACTTCAAAAGAATACCTTTCTGCCTTCCTTGCTGCCTGTCAGCTCTTCTTAGAGTGCTCGAGTTTCCCGGTCTATATTGCAGAGGGAAACCATACCTCGGAGTTACATTCTGAGAAACTTGACACTGGTAAGATTGTTTTGCTATTTATATTTTAGTATTTTATGCAATGTCCATGTGTGTGCATGTGTGAATGTGTTAGAGAACAACCCCGTGGGAGTTGGTTTTCCTTCCGCCATGTAGGTTCCAGGGATTGCACTCAGGTTATCCGGCTTGGTGGCAAGTGCCTTTTCTCACTGTGCCATCTCTTCAGACTAAATGAAATCCAGTCATTATGGGGAAGTTACTGTTAGGAGATTGTGATTTACATGGCTTTCACATTTTGCTTAAAAGCTAGAAACTGAAAGTAAAAGTCTGGGAGAAACAATGTAACAATATCACTTCTCTCTTATGACATCACATGTGTTCCTGTAGGACAGTAGGCATTAGATAATATTTGTTGATAAGGTGCTTCTAAAGATAGGAAGTTAGATTATATTACTTGGCATATGAAAGTATATATTTTTAAAAGTTTGTGAAATTCTTATTGTTGCCTTATTTTTCAAAGTTATAAAGACTATTTGAAAAACCATGATTTTAAAAGATCAAGACCTGAAGTAGTGTTGTTTGTCATTTTGAAATTAACTTAAATATACATGAACTGATTCATGCTGTTTTTTGTTTCAGACTGTGAACATGCACATCCTCCACAATGGCTCCAGACTCTCATGAGCGCCTGCAGCCAAGCAAGTGATTTCAGTGTTCAGAGCGTCGCTGTGTCTCTGGTCATGGACCTAGTGGGATTGACTCAATCTGTTGCCATGGTCACTGGGGAAAATATCAACAGCATGGAGCCTGCTCAACCCTTAAGTCCAAACCAAGGAAGAGTAGCCGTAGTTATTAGACCTCCCCTAACACAGGGCAATCTGAGGTATATAGCTGAGAAGACTGAATTTTTCAAGGTAAATTCCAAGAAATCCAGGTTGTACATGGCTAAGAAAGTTTGCATATATGATGCTTGATTTGTGGCACTGAAGTAAGAAATGAAAGAGTTTCAACTAAACAAGAAGAAAGCCCATTTATATGGTAGATATTTCTGTAGTAAGTGAATATTTTGCTTCTTTTACTAGAGTAAACCCTTACTTTTCTAAAACTCTATGGCAGGTTGTTCTGATTTTGTGTTGTTTGATTACCTTTGGTGCACGGTGTCCCTCAGGACCAATAGTGCACACTCTGATTTTACCATAATGGTACAGATGCCTTCCCAGAGAACATCAAGTATCTTTAAGCTCACTGCCTCCTACAGGTGGATTCTTTATACATTCAGGAGTTTTTAGAGTCAATTTCAAGTCATTACCCCCTACCTGATACTTCCTCCTGCTAGAGTAGAGTTGATTCTATAATATTATGGTAAGCCCTAAAGACTCTTGTCTTCTTATGAATGGCATAGATCAAAGACTCTGATAGCACATGGAGTTCTAATCTGACTTCAGAAAACTCCATGGACTTGGGATGTAGCTGAGTGATAGCATGCTTGCCTAACATACATGAGGCCATTTTGCAATCCTCAGCACTAGAGAAGAGGGAGAAAACTCTTACAGGTTCTTAGATATTTGAATATTTTAGTCTGTAACATGTGAGAATGTATCAGACTTTATTCTGGTGTTACTTCATTAAACACCAGTAAAGTAATCAAGAGTTCTTATCTAGGCCATGGAGAAACTGCCTGTTACATTGCTGATTTTAGAAGAATTTGAAAGGAGTATCAGCCAGAGAGTTGGCTCAGTGGCTAAGAGCACTTAAGGCTGTTGTAGTGAACCCAGGTTCAGTTCCCAGCACTGAGTGGAATTCACAACTCTCTGTAACTCCAGTGCCAAGAAATGCAACACCATTTGTCACCTTTATGGGCGCCAAGCAGATAGATGGTGCACTTACATACTTGCAAGCAAAACACCCTCGTGAAATAATTCTAAACAAAAATGTTTTTTAATGTATTATAAAGGATTCTAATGTTCAGTTAGCCAGAAAGTGAGCAGCTGAGTTTGACTTTTATAAAGATTATATAATCAGTCACTTTCACATCTTTTTCTGTAGCATGTAGCCTTGACATTATGGGACCAGATGGGAGACGGGACACCTCAGCACCATCAGAAGAGTGTGGAATTATTTTATCAATTACATAATTTGGTTCCTTCTTCTAGCATCTGTGAGGATGTTATAAGTCAGCAATTAACCCATAAAGATAAGGTAAGTCCTTATCCTTCACACACAAGAGCATGCACGTGCACACACACACACACATATTGACAAAAAATAAATTAAGGGACCGCTCTAGGAAAATTATTATACCTCATATCAGAATAAATAATAATAAAGAACATAATGTTAAATGTGAGTAATAGTGTTCATTTAAAAAAATCTTAAATTCTAATTTGTGTCCTACCATATTCTTTCAAAATTGTTCAGAAATAAAATTTTAGAACAAATCTTGTGTTTCATTTTCTGTTTTACAATATGTATAAATATATAACAAATAAAAACCTGTTATTTTTAATATACAACATCTCCTTTTTAAGAATAATTCTTACAAGTTCTGAGTAAAGATACACATCCCTGAAAAAATTCAAACAATATTGAATTTTAAACATTTCCCTTGGTTAATGTATAAATATAAGCATCATAGAAAAAGTCATGTCTTAAGCTTATAGATAAAGCAAGCACTCTTCTAACTTATCCCATGTAGGTTTTTTTTTTTTTTTTTTTAACAATTAAAGTCTTATTGGTTGGGACTTTGCTTGAAGCATTTTATAAATATTTGAGGACGAGTGTAAAAAACTGACACCATATTTTCACTAAATTTAAAACACATTTTTTTTTTTTTTTTTTTTGGTTTTTCGAGACAGGGTTTCTCTGTGGCTCTGGAGCCTGTCCTGGAACTAGCTCTGTAGACCAGGCTGGTCTCGAACTCACAGAGATCCGCCTGCTTCTGCCTCCCGAGTGCTGGGATTAAAGGCGTGCGCCACCATCGCCCGGCCATGTTTTTTTTTTTTTTTAGAAATTCATTTGAGTATGATTATTTTCCTGAGAGAAAATAATTTTTAAACTCAATTGTTTTATTTAAGAAGAAAGAAATGTTTTGTATATGCATAATATAATGGCATGCATGTTTTTAGCTGTCATTGTTTTCTGTTACACTATCAGTAGTCACATCGGTAAAAGTCTAAAGTAACTCTTTGAGTTAAGGTGATGTTCTAGTTTGGTTTCTGTTGCTGTAATAAAACATAATGATGACCAGCTTAGAGGAAAAGGTTCATTTGTCTGATACTTCTAGATCATACTATCACTGAGGGAAGTCAGAGCAGGAACGATGACAAGAAACTATGGAAGAACATTGCTTTATAGCTTGCTCTCTGGATGCTCACAGGCATATACTTAGCTAGCTAGCTTGCTTGTGTGAGTGCTTATGTCTTCCTCCTTCTCTCTTTCCTTTTTTTGAGACAGGGTCTCTCTCTGTAGCCCTGGCTGTCCTGGAACTCACAGAAATTCACCAGATTCTGCCTCTAGAGTGCTAGAATTACAGGTGTGTGACACTACACCCACCTTTACCTCGTTTTCTTGTATATCCCACAACAACCTGCCTAGGGATGCTTCCGCAATGGGGCTAGGCCCTCCAAGATCAATTAGCCAATGAGACAGTGCCTCTTAGATGTGTCCACAAGCCAGTCCGATCTAGGCAGTTCCTTATTTGAGGTTCCTCTTCCCTGATAACTCAGGGTTGTATCAACTTCCAGTAAAAACTAACCAGCATAAGTGACCCTTTAGGCTAAATATTTTTGTCTATATACAAATATTTTGTTTGATTCTACTTCCAAGTTATATAACATACTAAAAATTCATTGCAGTGTATACTTGAGCACTGTGGCCATTAAACTTGGTACTTGTAAACAGTTATACTGATTTTATTATTAAATAATTTTATTAAATCACTTAATATCTTCAGTTGAGAAGAAAATAATTTAATCTCCCATTTTTCTCAGAAAATAAGGATGGAAGCACATGCAAAGTTTGCAGTTCTTTGGCATCTAACAAGGGATCTCCACATAAATAAGTCATCTTTTGCACGTTCCTTTGACAGGTTGGTTACATTTTATATTCCCATCTTACTGTTGGTTGTCTTATTTGTTGTCTTTTCTGGAAGTCTCTGTCAGGATAGAATAGGAGATGAGAATTTATTAGTTTTTTAGAAAATCAAAGTTCCAGTAAAATACTTGGTAGTGTTACCTAGCCAGTAGATTTTCATTTCTAATGTGTGGAGAACCAAGTGTCTTCCTTTCAGACATTGGGCCACTGATCATCAAATCCCTTTTATGTGCCATGTGTCATTGTATGATGGTAGGAATACAGAGAACACCCAGCCTTTTTGAATCTATATTCACACTGTTGAAATACTAGTCAGCCATTCTCGATCCTCTGCCTTAACTGAAAGTACTACCAACGCCCCCCTCCCATGGATTCAAAATATTTGTCTCCAGAGATGCTTGTTCACATATAGACCCAAAAGTAAATGGAGTAATTCATGCTTCAGATATTAGATTTGCATTGATTTTGGGCTCATAAGGTATCAGAAAATAGTAATCCTACCTTCAGGTCTTATAAAAGTGGCCATAATCCTTACTGCGATTACAACCCAACTTTGGATTAACCAGTACTTTTCAGCCATCTTCAGAGGAGTTTCTGTTGAACTATCTGGTCAACCCATATAATGAATGAGACCTTGAGCCAAGTGCCTTACAAACAAGTTTCTAGTTTGGCAACCACCTGTTCTAATCTGACAGAGAAAGCAGTTAAAATCCACTGAATTTAACTTGCTAACCCAAGATTCCACAGAGGATTTGGGTATTGGGTTTTCTGGTTTCAGACTAGCTCAGACCTTTTATGGGATGGCATTACTTGAATTTCGTGCGTTCTTTTAACTCCTGGAGAGAACTGAGAGCAGAGTAGCCCTCGCCACTGTGAAAACTTTAGTGCATAATATCAGTGAAATATGTTACTAAGCAAGACTAAGTAAAATGTGTCTTGTAAAAGTAATATATACTTGTAATATTTTTCAATGTGAAAAGAAGAAAATGTTTTCTTAACTAGAAAAATTGCTAAAAATATTAACTACAGAAAAAGTCATGCTACAATTAAAAGTGTTTTATTCTTTGTTTTTATTGTCTGTGTTTAGGTCACTATTCATCATGTTAGATAGCCTTAATAGTCTTGATGGTTCTACTAGCTCTGTGGGGCAAGCCTGGCTGAACCAAGTGCTACAAAGGCATGACATTGCCAGAGTACTGGAACCGTTATTACTGCTTCTACTTCATCCAAAAACTCAGAGGGTTTCAGTGCAGCGTGTACAAGCAGAACGTTACTGGAGTAAGACTTCCTGTTATCCAGGAGAGGAAAATGACAAACATTTCATGCAAAATTTTACCTGCAACAATGGTAAAGCTCATAAAGTTTACTTCTAATTAGACTTAAGTTATTCAAAGAAGTGAGGTGTGACCATGCAGTGATTGTCAAGAAAATTGTGTGTGGGATTTTTTTTTCATGTCTTATTTCCTCCCTTCCTTGTCTGTTAGAGTCTCATCTAGATGGGTCAAAATACACTTCATCAATAACTGTCTTTGAGCTTGTAGATCTTGTTAATAAGCTGAGTTTCTCAGAGAAGGAATCAGCCACAACTGTAGCCAGAGACAGTCAATTTTTTATGACGTATTTTTGAATTTATGTAGCAATTCAGATCCTGCAAAGGCTCAGTAGATATTTCATGGGGAGGCCTATAATGCACACTTTATGTATGATAAGTCATGAGTCATTTTTCCTTATCTTTTATAGACATCACCTTGTGGGCCAGCTTATTTTACCAGTTGATTTACAGTTGATGTTCAGAAAGCTGTGACTTTCAGTTCCACAGCTGGTAAATGGTGATGCTGCAAACTATCATGCTTCTATTCCATTTCTAGTGTTTCTGCTGAGTCTGGGGTCCTCTATTTAGCTTTTATGTGCTTCCTGTGGATGTTCTAAGAACTTGCACTACCCTGCTTATTGCCAAAACATTCAAGTGGTAGCACTCTGTCAGCCAGTCTCTAACTATTGCCGGATTCTCATTTCTCCTATTCCAGTCTCAGACTTCAACTGAGGTACCAGCACTTTGGTGGCATTTAACTTTACTATGCATACAGCACCAAAACTTCCAAAACTTCTTCTGAAACATAACATAGTTCTGCCCTACATGGTGTGCAATGGAAGAAAAATATGTTTTTGTGGTCTCTTACTCATTTAAAACTCCTCTTGGTTTCCCATCTGACGCAGGCTAGATAGTTCATAAGTATTTGTTGAATTTGTACTAAAACTAAGGAAGTATTGATACTTTAAACTATATATCATTTCAATTTTAACCAGTATAAATAAAGGGGTTTATTATATAAGGAGGAAAGAGTAATTTTAACCTGTAATTTTAAAGAATGTCTTATTTTAGAGAAAAAAAGGTAAAATTTATGTTCTGTCTATTAAACGTACTTTTGTCATTAAGCTATAAATTCTAATGGTCATCTACATGATTATCTTATTTCAAAGTTCTAAGATAATAGTAAACTAAAATTTTAATCAGAAGATACAGGTTGGTGATGCAAACAAATATTATAGTTTTTGAAGTTGGTCTGCTTTTTATATTTTAGTTATCTTAATCATTTTTTGTGTTTTTCTCCTTTTCTATTGTGTCATATGCCAGTAAGCCAAGTGCACCTCATTGCATCGAAAGGAAATGGTGAAAAGCATCTTACTATGGACGAAATAGAGAATTTCAGCCTCACTGTTAATCCATTGAGTGATAGACTTTCCCTCCTAAGCACCAGCAGTGAGACGATTCCAATGGTTGTATCTGACTTTGACCTCCCAGATCAGCAGATGGAAATACTTCAGAGCTCTGATTCCGGGTGTTCTCAGTCTTCTGCCGGAGACAACTTCAGTTATGAAGTTGATCCTGAAAATGTAAATGCTCATGAGGATTCTCTTATGGCAAAGGCAAGCTCCCCAGATGATGACGTTCAGCAAGTCGTCTTTGACCTGATATGTAAAGTTGTAAGTGGCCTGGAAGCAGAATCCGCATCAGTTACATCTGAGTTAGAAATAGAATCCCTGCCACTAAAGAGCGGTGATTTAGATGCAGGTATAAAGGCCATGAAAAGTGACGATCAGGCCCCTCAACACAGTCAGCATGCTTTGCTGAGTGACGACAGCCCTCAGTTTCTGTCTGTGTCTGCAGAGGAAGGCTGTGAGTGCTTGGCCAATGGGATCTCTAGAAACAGCTCTTCTCCTTGCATTTCGGGAACAGCACAGACTCTCAATGATTCTTCTGTTTCCACAGAAACCAAATCTAGACAAAGGAGTCACAGTAGTATTCAGTTTAGCTTCAAAGAAAAGTTAGCAGAAAAGATCTCAGAGAAAGAAACAATTGTTAAGGAATCAGGTAAACAACCAGGTGCAAAACCCAAAGTAAAGCTTGCCAGAAAAAAGGATGAGGACAAGAAAAAAGCTACAAATGAGAAACTGAAACAAACAAATGTGTTCTTCAGTGACGGCCTGGACTTAGAGAACTGGTATAGCTGTGGTGAGGGTGAAATTTCTGAAATCGAGAGTGACATGGGCTCTCCAGGATCACGGAAATCTCCCAATTTCAACATCCATCCTCTCTACCAACATGTGCTCCTGTATCTGCAGTTGTATGATTCATCAAGGACTCTGTATGCCTTTTCTGCCATCAAATCCATCTTGAAAACTAACCCCATTGCTTTTGTAAATGCCATTTCAACCACAAGTGTAAATAATGCATATACTCCTCAGCTGTCACTGCTTCAGAATCTACTGGCCAGACACCGAATCTCTGTTATGGGCAAAGACTTCTATAGTCACATTCCAGTGGACTCAAATCATAACTTCCGGAGTTCCATGTACATCGAAATTCTTATTTCTCTCTGCTTATATTACATGCGTAGCCATTACCCAACTCATGTTAAGGTCACTACCCAAGACTTGATAGGCAATCGAAACATGCAAATGATGAGCATAGAAATCTTGACTCTCCTCTTTACAGAGCTAGCAAAAGTAATAGAAAGCTCTGCAAAGGGTTTCCCTAGTTTTATCTCTGATATGCTATCTAAGTGCAAAGTTCAGAAAGTGATTCTTCATTGTTTGCTATCCTCTATCTTCAGTGTACAAAAATGGCACAGTGAAAAAATCGCAGGTAAGAACATGGTTGCTGTGGAAGAAGGCTTCTCAGAAGACAGCCTCATCAATTTCTCAGAGGATGAATTTGACAATGGCAGCACACTCCAGTCACAGCTTCTTAGGGTGCTTCAGAGGCTGATTGTTCTAGAACACCGGGTGATGACGATTCCTGAAGAGAATGAAGCAGGTTTTGATTTCGTTGTGTCTGATCTGGAACACATCAGTCCCCATCAGCCCATGACTTCTCTTCAGTATTTGCACGCTCAGCCCATCACTTGTCAAGGCATGTTCCTCTGTGCAGTGATCAGAGCTTTGCACCAGCACTGTGCATGTAAGATGCATCCACAGTGGATTGGCTTAATCACATCTACTCTGCCTTACATGGGAAAAGTTCTACAGAGAGTTGTGGTTTCTGTGACACTACAGCTGTGCAGGAATTTGGACAATCTAATTCAGCAGTACAAATATGAAACAGGATTATCTGATAGTAGGTAATGACTGATTTTAGCTTTGTTGTCATTTTGGACATTAATTCAGCAGTAAAAATACAAAACGTGGTTATTTGATGGTAGTAAAGATTGATTTTTAACTTTGTTGTTAGTGACATTTTCATAAATATGTCTCCTTAAATGTCACGATTTGAGTGAAACATAGAATGCAGCACTGGCAGAGTTGGTATTTAGTTGCATACGGCCCTCAGTTTGATCCCTAGCACTGCCACAAAGAAACAAAAAGCGTACTAGGAGTAAATGAAATAGTGGCTGTCAATATGTTATAAATAGTAAGCCAATTTTAAAAATAAGAAAGTTCAGCTCTAGTATTTGAGTATCAATAAGATACATAGAATAGAGATGAAAGAAAACAGTTCTTTTTTCTTTCAAGCAAGAATTAAAGTTAAATTAGATGTTCTTTTGACTTAACTGAGCAAAAAAAAAAAAAAGTTTTTCCAGTCCTTGTCCAGTATATTATCTAAATACAAATAAATTTGCAGCTGAAGTGAATATAAATTTTAAAGTATTTTCCCCATCTAATTTTGTTATTGGTTTCCCCAGTTTGGAGGTAAAAACTCTGTGTCTCAGCCATATTCAGAACTGATCTGTGAAGAATTAGGCAGATGTTTAGTAGACTGGTGTCTGGTTCTCCTCTAAGAAAACCTCCACTGATGTGTTTGGCATGCCCCAGTAGGGGGTTCACAGTGGCTTTATTTCTTTACTTTGTATATTGTTCTCTTTTAAAAAATATATATATTTTTTTAATTTATTATATATACAATAGTTTCTCTGCGTGTATGCCTGCAGGCCAGAAGAGGGCGCCTCATTACAGATGGTTGTGAGCTACCATGTGGTTGCTGGGAATTGAACTCAGGACCTTTGGAAGAGCAGGCAATGCTCTTAACCGCTGAGCCATCTCTCCAGCCCTGTATATTGTTTTCTAGCCAAACAACTCTGGTGCAGTTAGATCAGCTCACTTACAGATTAGGAAATAGTAAGTCCCTGATGTTTTCTTTTTTTATTATTCATGTTTATTGAGTGCCTACTGTGTGTCTGGCACGTGCTAGGCACTTACTAGTGGTAAACTGAAGTATGCTTTCACAGACCTTCTGTTTCATACATTTTTTTCAGGCCTTTGTGGATAGCATCAGTTATTCCACCAGATATGATTCTTACTCTTTTGGAAGGAATCACAGCCATTATCCATTACTGCTTGTTGGATCCGACTACCCAGTATCATCAAGTAAGATTTCAGAGACATTTGTGGTCTTCTTAAAGATGTGCCTCTCAGTAAGTAACTGTTTTTCCTCTGATTGATAGCTCTTGGTCAATGTGGACCAGAAACACTTGTTTGAAGCTCGCAGTGGAATCCTCTCAATCCTTCACATGATCATGTCTTCTGTGACTCTGCTCTGGAGCATACTGCACCAGGCAGATGCTGCAGAAAAGATGACGGTCACTGCATCTGCATCTGTTACCACAATCAATCTGGGAGCCACAAAGGTTAGATGACTTAAACTTATCTGTAGAGCACAAGTATCTGTTTGAGGACTTTCTTCACAATGAGTTGCTAACTTAGATCGTGCATGTGATATTCCATGAACATTGAGTAGTAAACAGTTGTGTTAATTATTTTAAGGGATGTAAAACAGTAAAGTTGTGAAACTGTCACCGTCCAGTTTTCAGTTATGTCTTTTGTTACAGAAAATTTCTTTGTGCATGCACGCTCTTGCTCATCTTTCCCATCCCCAACCCTAATCAACAGCCAGTCCATTTTATTTCCATATATATTTGATTTTTCTGGATCTTTCATAGGAGTGAGTTTATATACTATTTGTTCTTCTGTGTCTAGTATCTTTCATACCCAGTGACTGCTGCTAACACGAAGGTTTCTCTACTATTGTTGAAGTAAATGCTTTATCTAGTTATTAATGTTCGTGTGTTTTATTTTACTTGTAAAATGCTTAAATTGTTTTAGAATTTAAGACAACAAATTCTGGAATTATTGGGACCCATTTCAATGAATCATGGTGTTCATTTCATGGCTGCCATCGCGTTTGTATGGAATGAAAGAAGACAGAACAAAACCCCTTCCCGAACCAAGGTATTATGTTCATAAGTAAACATGTGGTACCTGGTAAAGCCCTGCTTTTGTATTTCATTTTGTATGTGCTGATTTTTAAATTCTCCATTGGTTAAACTGGAAAAGTAAAAGCTTGTCTATAGCTCTTGATAATGACTTATGTCTATAAAGTTTTTGTTAAAACTTGGTATTAGCCAGGTGGTGGAGCACGGCTTTAATCCCAGCACTCAGGAGGCAGAAACAGGTGGATCTCTGTGAGTTCAAGGCCAGCCTGGTCTACAAGAGCTAATTCCAGGACAGTCTCCAAAGCTACAGAGAAACCCTGTCTGGAAAAAATAAATAAATAAATAAATAACTTAAAAAAAAAAAACACTTGGAATCAAGTGTGAAAGATAGTATTTTAGGACTCGAAAACTAGCTCAATGCTGGAGCACTGGCCTTGCATGCACAAGGCCATACATTCAACCTCAGCAAGAAAAAAAATGGTATTAAAGAGAAAAATAAGCTATGTTATCAAATTTGTCACTATATTTCAAATAGGAATTATAATGTTGTATATTTTTTAATCTAGTGACTTGGGGTAGAAAGCAAATATTAGAGAAAGATTTTTATCTTTGCTGTTGTTTTTCATTATCTGATGATGTCTTTTAAGTTGTTAATGTCTCTAAGTATAATTCCTATGTTGGTTTTGATTGGATAGCATGAGTGAAAATTTTATTTACTTTGTAAGTTTTAAATCGGGGAAGGGTGTTTTATATTGGAAATAAATCATAGTATATTAGAGTAATAATGCTATTAACTTATTTACTCTCATGCAAAATGCATGATTGGTGTACTTACAAGTCTCTAACCTGTCATTTCTTTCAGATTCCACATTACATATGTATTGACATTACTGAAGTATGAAAAATAAACATTTCTGCCATTTTTAATTATTTTGCATATGAGGATTTAGTAGTAGATGCTATATGGAGGGAAAAGATAACTTAAATTTTTTTAAGTGATTGTATCTTAATTCTGTAACAAAAAGAAGTAAATACCTGAAGTGAATTGTAACCTTAAAGATAAGAAATATACAGAAGGGAATTGTAAAAAAAAAAAAAATAGGGTGTGGTACTAGATATTTAATACCTTCTCGCAGAATAAACAAAAGGAGGAGATAACTATTATAGAAATAGTACAAGAAATTCCTTAGCAATCAAAGAAACAAATTTTAGTCCATGCTCATCACTGAAAAGATACCTACGTAAAATTCAGTATGTTCTTTCAGAAACATTGTGGGTAAAGAGAAGATGCTAAAATAAAATCTTAAAAAGAGAAAAAAAAATAAGAACTATCACATTCAAAGGAATAATGTTAAGACAACCTAGCAACTTACGGGAAAGTAGTCTGAAGATATAGTTCCATAGCAGCGACTCTTCCTGTAGACTTTGTCACTAGTCTGCAAGGCAGTTAGTTCACTGCAGGATGACAAGGAGGAGACAGCACTTTGACCTTCCAGTCCCAGGCAGAGCCAAGAGACACCTGAGCAAGAATGTCTGCAGGTGTGGGGGGAGTGCCACGGGGACTGAGAGGAAAAGGAAAATGTATGAGATTTATTGCTTAAAATCTTAAATATGTGAATTAAAATTCACCACTGTCAGAACTTTAGGGATGAACTTTTTCGTGTGTGTCACACAACTATGATACAAATTTGTTAAGTCAGCAGATAACCTCATGAATGAATTTTTTTTTTTTTTTTTTTTTTTTTTTTTTTTTTTTTTGGTTTTTCAAGACAGGGTTTCTCTGCGGCTTTGGAGCCTGTCCTGGAACCAGCTCTGTAGACCAGGCTGGTCTCGAACTCACAGAGATCCGCCTGCCTCTGCCTCCCGAGTGCTGGGATTAAAGGCGTGCACCACCATCGCCCGGCCATGAATTTTTGATAAAAGAAGCAGATCACAAACTTTGTAGTACCTCTGTGGCGGGGGAGGGGGGACACGTGGTATAGGAAGGAAACCTCAATAGTACAGTCAGGTCAGCCATGAGTAGTTATTTGAACCTGGGCACTGACCTAAGTGCAGTCATGATAATTACTTTAAAGGATATGGAAAACTGTCTTAGACAGTTAACCTTTGTCTTCTGACTGAAATTTCAATTGTTAATACTAAATTTGAAAAAAGAAAAAACATGAAATAGCGAAAAATAGCACTCCATGATAATACAAAGTAACAAGCAGAATGGATTGGCTCCTCCTTTAAGGTACATGGTACTTAGAATAGGCCATGATATATTGGGTTTGGTTTTTATTTTCCCTATGACTTGTCTTGTTTGATTGTGATATACTTTGTGTATGGATGCACACATGCCACAGTTGCACACATGTGCATGGTCAGAGGACAGCCTACACGAGTTGGTTCACTCTTTCCACTATTGTGAACCCTGTGGATTGAACTCAGCTTGATGACAAATACCTTTATGCATTCAGTCATCTTGCTAGCCCTGATTTTTGATTTTTATTAAGATTCATGTTTTGATTTTATTTTATTTTTTTAATATTTATTTATTATTATACAATGTTCTGTCTGTGTGTATGCCTGAAGGCCAGAAGAGGGCACCAGACCTCTACAGATGGTTGTGAGCCACCATGTGGTTGCTGGGAATTGAACTCAAGACCTTTGGAAGAGAAGGCAATGCTCTTAACCGCTGGGCCATCTCTCCAGCCCCCATGTTTTGATTTTAAAAGTTAAATTTTATCACAAGTATTCAAGAGACATCTTTATATTAAGAAAGGGTCATAAAACTGTCCTTCTGTGACTTCTCTTAAGAAATTTACATAAGCAACACCCCTGCATAGATACTGTGATGTGTTCTCCAGGTGATTCCCGCAGCCAGTGAAGAACAGCTTTTACTAGTAGAACTGGTTCGCTCCATCAGCGTCATGAGAGCAGAAACTGTTATCCAGACTGTGAAAGAAGTTTTAAAGCAGCCTCCAGCCATAGCCAAGGACAAGGTAAGAAAGCTTTGCTTTTGCTTTTGTTTAGAATTCAGTTTCAGTAGTAGAGAAATTTTTTGAATAGTGATTTCATTGTGATTATCACACAGCACTCTTTTAATAAAAAAAAAAACTTGGAGTTCCTTGATAGTCTAATCATTCTTGTATCCAGTTATGAACAGTTAACTGATTTTTCTCTCCATGTGTAGATCAGAAGTGTCAGAAGTGGGACTAGATTCCTAGTAAGGATTATTTTCTCTCCATTAGAAGAACACAGAAGCCTCAGACTAAAATCTACTTTGTAGGTTTCACAGCTTTTTTAATGCTTTCTTTTCCAGTGAGTTTTCAGTTTTGTAAACTCCCAAAGCATTGCCATAATCACTGTTCCAGACAACATCATTTCTTGACCCTACATAAAACTGTGCTTTGCGATTGTGAGGTCTGTGCTCCAAAGCTAGTGAAGAGAGGTGTCAGGATACTGGGAGGTGAAGAGAGTAAACAGATACAGCATACTTTTATGTTAGGGAATATTATTTTAAGGTGTATTGCTTTTGTTTATGCTGTGTAACATTTGTTTAATGCTGTAAAGATGTGTTGCTTTTTTTAATGCTGCATTTGTTTAATTCTGTGAGACTGTGATTCTTTGCTTATCTAAAACACCTGATGATCTAATAAAGCGCTGAATGGCCAAAAGTGAGGCAGGAGAAAGGACAGGTGGGGCTGGCATGCAGCGAGTATAAATAGGAGAAATCTGGGGAAAGGAGCAAGAGAAAAAGTGGATGACGCTAGGGGCCAACCACCCATCCAGCCATGGAGTAAGAGTGAAAGTAAGATGTACAGAAGAAAAGGCCCAGAGGCAAAATGTAACTGGCATCATTTAAGTTTAGAAAAGCTGGCAAGAAATAAACCAAGCTAAGGTCAGGCATTCATAACAAAGAATAAGCCTCTGAGTGTGATTTATTTGGGAGCTGGGTGGGCCCCCAAAAAGCAAAAAAGACCAAAAGATATGCACAACATTTTGGCACCCAATGTGAGACACCAACTGTTGTCCTCTTGGAAAAATTGTTTCTGCCTTTTTAAAGCCAAGACTGTCGTACCAGCAACTGCAGCTCCTCTGCCAAGGCATCATCTTGCTTCACTGTAAAACTAATTTTCTTTTGTTTATAGAAACATCTTTCTCTGGAAGTCTGCATGCTTCAGTTTTTCTATGCTTATATACAAAGGTAAGATGCTGATGTAGACCTTTTTCTAATCAGTTGCCACCTGTACAGCTTCAGAAGCTACAAAGAAAAGCACTTGAGTTCTTTCCAAAAGTAGTGGGTTTGCTCTTGTTACTGTTGCTTCCTTTGAAGGGAAAGGAAGAAGCTCTACGGCAGAAATGGTGTGGCTGTTAATCCTGGGCATGCTAATGAGGGAGCTGGGCAGATCCTGCACTCCAAAGATGTGAACAACATGTGGTTAATAAATAGTGAACCTGCAGGCAACTGACAGCTTTCTCTGGAAATCATGTTCGCTGCCTCTAAACTAACTACTATTTTGATTGGTAGAGGTGAATGCATAGCAATCCATTTTGGTTGCCTTTTTGAGAAAGAAAAAATGGGGGGCTGGACATTTTGATCCATGCCTTTAATCCCAGCAAGCAGAGGCAGGCAGATCTCTATGAGCTTAAGGCCAGCCTAGTCTACATATTGAGTTTCACGATAGCCAGAGACCCATAAATGAATAGAATAGAATAGAATAGAATAGAATAGAATAGAATAGAATAGAATAGAACAGAACAGAACAGAAGCTTGCAATTATCTTCATGTTTGGTGTTCACTTTTGGTATTAGCTGACTCTGAACAAAAGCAGTATTCTAATACAATTCTTCCTTAAGAACTTAAATCCTAATCTTCCCTAATGGAGCAACTGTATTAATTTGTGACTAACCTCGGTAAGTCGGGGTTTTGGTGTATTTAAATTGATGATGACTTAAAGCAAGACCTGCATGAAGTCTTTGCTTAGGTACAGGTGGGGTAAAGGTTGGGCTGAAGGCAGAGATCCAACTCAGTTTTTTGCAAGTGGGAGGCTGGTGTGCAGCACAGATGGACCATTGTTTAAAAGAATTAATGCAGTTATATTTTGTTTCTAACACTGTATGTGATAAGAGATCTCCATTGCAAATTTTAAATTAAGAAATTATATCAAGTATTTAAATGTGCTTCCTTTTCTTAGTAGAAAATAAGAATTTTTAAATTTCCATTTCTATTTTTTGGGTGGGGGCGGGTTTCAAGACAGGGTTCTCTGTAGCTTTGGAGTCTGTCCTGGAACTAGCCTTTGTGGACCAGGCTGGCCTCAAACTCACAGAGATCCACCTGTCTCTGCATTCCAAGTGCTGGGAGTAAAGGCGTGCGCCACCACCGCCAGGCAAATTTCCATTCTTTAATAGTCTATAAAAGTTTAAATGCATCAGATATCTTAGAACATGTGTTAAGGGTTGTAAGAAGACATGAGAAGATTAAAGTTTACTATGGTTTCTATCAAACTAATTTATATTTCAGAATTCCAGTGCCCAATTTAGTGGACAGTTGGACATCACTATTGGTTCTTCTAAAAGATTCTATACAGCTGAGTCTTCCAGCCCCAGGGCAGTTTCTTATACTTGGGTAAGTAATCTGTCTTAACAATTTTGAAAGGTTAGAAATATAACTCGGTAGAAGAACAAATACTTATTATACAAAAGAACCTGAGTTCAGACTCCAGCGGCACACACACAAATACATCTCTATACATATGTGTACATACATACACATGCATACATGCAATTTTAATAAGGATATAATCCTCACTGTTCTGATTGCTGAAGAACATGTTTTGTGTGGCATGTCATCTGTGTATCTGTTCACAGGCATCTTGAGGTACAGATCCAGACATTTAAGGTCTGTAAGTGGAAGGAAATAGGAAGGAATACAGTGTGTTTAGACATATACAAGCTGTAGAACACGATACAAAAAGATGAGAACCAGTCATCATTTGGGATCAGTAGGGAAACAGTGGGGAAAATGCAGGTGAGTCTGTACTATGCTTAAAGGAACTTTGTAGAAAAGGTGTGCTGAATCCTGCACATAAATAGTCTTGAAATTTTTGTTTTGTTTTGTTTTTAGTATGTTTTTGTGTTCATTGGTGTTGTGGCTACAGGTATGTCTGTGTGAAGGTGTCAGAAACTTTGGAGCTGGAGTTACAGGCAGCTGTGAGCTGCCATGTGGGTGCTGGGAATTGAACCAGGTCCTCTGGAAAAGCAGTCAGTGCTCTTCTGAGCCATCTCTCCAGCCCCCAGTCTTGGAGTTTCTAGATCTAGGCTAACAGATACCTGTTTGTTTGATTATTTGGTAAATGCTAGTCACCTTGCCTTACTAACAGTAAGCATCGCCTTGTGTAGTGTTGTTTGGGAATTCATAATAGACCTGTAGTAAAAACCTGGCACGTGAATCACAGTGGTAAGAGTAAAAAGGCTTTATTGTATACTAAGACAAGCTGCATTATCTGGTTTGGTGATGGTGTGTCACAGGCGGAGAAATAGTAAAAAATTAGGGTGGGCAACAGGAGATGGGTGCTGCTTGGAAAGAAAGTTGAATTTTATTGGATAATATCGGCAATGAGTGAGAGATTGGCATGACTGCAAACTGTGAAGAGAGGATGGTGCTCCTTATGATCAGGGAGCTAGGAATTTATGTCAGTGGGAGGTGAGAAGATGTGAACAACTGATATTGGCATTTAGAAAGCAGGAAAAAGACAGGAAGAGAGCTAGACAAGGAGTTATCAGGAAATATAAAAAACCAGGTGTCGTCTGTGTGGCATCTAGAAATGAAGGTTAAGAAGATGGTGAGGAGTTGACTCAGTGAGTAAAGCACTTGAAATGACAGCTTGAAGACCTGAGTTCTGATCCGCAGAACCTACATAAAGTCCAGTGCAATAGAGTGTCTATACCCTGCACCGCTGCAGAGAGAGGAGAGGCAGAGGTGAGGATCCCTGGAGCTCCGGGGCCAGCTAGTGTTCTGCACACAGTGAACAATGCTCCAAGTGGTAGAAGACAAGGACCCACAGCTGAGTTTGTCTTTCGAATGAACCCCACATGCTCATCATGGCGCACACATCTGTGCAAGTGAGTGCACACACACAGAAAAGATTGAGAGAGAGAGGTGGCACTTTTTGGAAGAAGTTGGAGTGATGAGGATTTGCTAAGAGGCTGGGTTGGAGATTAGAAAAGCACTGATACTTAGGAGCAAGAAGTAAGGGTAGAAGGGTGCAAGTGTAGGTGGAGGGGAGAAGGAAGGGGACTTTTTTTTCAAAGATATTTGATCACAAGAAAAGAAAGAAATGAAAAGTGTATTTTAGACGATGAAATATGTAAGAATGTTTAGTAAACAGGCTCTGAAGTTGTACCCTATCTCAGCTCCTTTACTTAGATATGTGACCTTTAAGTAGGGTAGGTCATTTAACCTTTCCTTGGTAAAATGGAAACAGTGATGATGCCTATCTCATACGCTTGTTAAAAAGGATTAAAAGAGTTAATATTTATTAAATTCTTAGAACAGTGCCTGGCCATTAATCCATGTCATTGAAGTGGATAGTGATTCACAAACATTCTAGACATGAGGAGAATCATTTATAGCAATAGACTCAGGAGATACTTGGGATGTGAGCTGAAGAACAGGAAGTAGCAAGTAAGATTCATCATTATTACTGTTTAGTACCTTAGGCACAGATTCTTCTGCTGTTATTGCAAGACATATGGATTCCTTCCATTTGAAGGTTCTTAACAAATAATGATGCTCTTAGTATCATTGTGTCTTTCCATACATAAATGTTAGGGACTAGGAAACATGTACTACAAGAAATTACACTTTTCCTTTAGACTGATAACTTTTTTTTTCTTTTTAAAAATTGCTCCAACAGGGTTCTAAATGAGTTTATTATGAAAAATCCTAGTTTGGAAAATAAAAAAGACCAAAGAGACCTTCAGGTAAGGCATTCTGAATTCAAGGTTGCTATCTAAATTAAAAGTTAAAATTAGGAGATATCACAGAAGATAATTTATGATGTTCCTTCTAACTACTCTATAAAAATTAAGATAGTCTATTATATAAAAATGGTACCAGGGTAGTGGCTTAATGTCTATAATCTTAGGAAGATAGAGGTGGGAGGATCGGGATGCCAGTATCTGCAACATACATGAGTTTGAGGCCAGCCTGAGCTACACAAGATCATTTTTAGACAGGGTGAGGGAGTGGGGGAAGAATATGTATTAGAAAATATCTCTTGTCAGAACATAAAAGACTTCAGAAACCCATGACTCATTTGCATGTGTGTGTGCACAAACGATTCTTCCTTGTTTCTCTAGGATGTGACTCACAAAATTGTGGATGCTATTGGTGCAATTGCTGGTTCCTCTCTAGAGCAGACAACGTGGCTCCGACGAAACCTAGAAGTTAAGGCTTCTCCTAAAATAATGGTGGATGGAACCAATTTGGAGTCTGATGTTGAAGGTATTGTGCTCCTTTCTCTTATTCTTTTGGCATATATTTATTAAACAGTGTTTATTTAGATGGTAAGCTCATCCTTTTTTTCATTATTAAATAGCTTTTATCAGTGAGAAAATACTAATCATTATCTTTACCCGTCTCTTCTCTTATTTAGATATGCTATCACCTGCAATGGAAACCTCAAACATTACTCCCTCTGTATATAGTGTCCATGCACTGACATTGCTTTCCGAGGTAAACATTATCAAGTGTTTTCACATGCACACTGAAGCGAACAGTTAAATAGTACATATCACTGAGAAATTCTGATCTACAGACTGAGTTCCAGGACAGCCATGGAAACACAAAGAAACCCTGTTTCTAAAAAACAAAAATAAGGAAGGGAAGAAAAAATTCTCGTAGAGAAGTTTTTAATTTCAGAAATCATTTTGTGCTTCTAGAAATCACTAGTATATATAATTGCCAAGTATATGCCAATGTGGGGCAATGCCTGTGTATTTGTGTGTGTGTACACATACATGCACATACACCTATGCACGTGAAAGCCAGAGGTTGATTGTCAGCTCTCTCCTCTATCATTCTCCAGCTTTTATGTTTCAAGCAGCCTCTTCACTGACACATGAGAATGGCTGGCCAGAAAGCTTTGAGGATTTATCTGTCTCTGCCCTGCTAGTGTTGGGGTTACAGATAGACTCCACCATTCCCAACTTATGTGAGAGAGCTGACAATCCAAACTCAGGTCCTTACTTGTGCAGCACATACTTGATCCATTGAGTCTCCAGCTCCAGATAACAGGTTTGACTTTGACTATATAGTGATCTTAAGATACTGCTCTCTTGCCCCAGATATTTTTAATTTTTTGAGAACTCCAAACCAATTTCCATAGTGGCTAATTAGTTTGTGCTCTGGCCATTTTTTTTTAAAGATTTTCTGCTCTATTAAATGCCTATCACATCATAGCCCTACATCCTTGCAGGCATTTGGTTTTTAAGTTTTGACAGTAGTCATTTGGACTGGGGTAAAGTGGAATCTTGGGGTACTTTTTATTTACATTTTCTTTTGTTTTAATTTTGGGGTTTGTTTGTTTGTTTGTTTGTTTTCCAAACAGGGTCTAGTTCACTATGTAGACCAGGCTGGCCTTGAATTCAGAGATCTGGCTGTCTCTGCCTCTGGAGTGCTGGGATTAAAGGCATACACCACCATGCTCAGTCTGATTTGCATTTTTCTAATGGATAGATGTGCTGGGCACTTTGCCATGTATCTATAGGCCATTTACATGTGTTCATTTGCCCATGAGTAGCTTTTAGAGACCTTTCTGTATGCTGACCTTTTGATCTGGCAATTGTTTCTTTGGCGTGCAGAAGCTTTTTAATTTGCTACAAAATCGTATTTGCTGATTCTTGCAGTTATTTGCTAAGCTATTGAAGTCCTATTCAGAAGGCAGTTACTGTGTCTAGTTCTTAACGTGTATTCTCTGTTTTCTTCTAGCAGTTTTAGCATTTCAACTTTTAACACTAAGATCTTCCCATTTTTAATTGATCTGGTTTCAGTCTTCTGTGACACCTATGTTTGGGTATGGGATTTTCCCAGTTCTACTTGCTAAAAAGAAAGTCTTTTTATTTTCACCTTTGGGTACCTTTTTCGTCTGGGCTTGTTTATTAGTTTTTCATTCCGTTGGCCTGTGTCTGTTCTTGTGCCCTTATCATACATTTTTGTTAGTATGACTCTGTAATACCGTTTGAAGTCAAGTATTGTTATACCTGCACCTTTCTTTTTTTTTGCTCAGTATTCTGGATCTTCTATGTTTTACTGTGAATCTTAGTACTTTTTGGTTTTTTTTTTCTGTGAAGAATGACATTGATATTTTTATAGAGACTGCATTGAATCTGTAGAGCTTTGCGTGTTTGTGACCATTTTTACAGTATTAACTCTGCCAGCCCATGAACACAGGCCGTCTTTCCATTTTCTAATGTGTCATTTAATTCCTTTCTTCGAAGCTTCATAGGTTTTGTTGTAGAGGTCCTTGATACCTTTGGTTAAGTTTATGCCTGTTTGTGGTATCTGTGTTTTTAAAAGTAGTTTTTAGATTTTTTTTCATTGTGTGTCCTCAATTATATATCGTGCTGTTAAATAAGGACGTTTTTAGATGAGTATATGTTGTGCTTTGAGACTGTCCCTCTCCACTGTCCCTTGTTCCCCCTTTCCTTTTTTGAGGAAGTTTTGCTTCTAGTTTCTTGCCATACATTGATGATTTTATGTATTTAATAAAGCCAAGAACTACAAATATAATTTGTCTAATACTGGCTTAAATGCTTAGTATGATTATCTCTATTTGCAACTGTTGTCCTGAAAATACATAACTTCATTGCTTTTTAATGGCTGTAAAACAGTCTAGTGTTCATAGATGCCACATTTTCATTTTTTGTTCCTTCGTATTAGATACCTAGTTCCATAACAGTTGTGCAGGTATCTCTGTTAGCTGGAAGTTCTTCAGGTAAATTCCATATGTTTGATTCCCCTATACCAACCACATCTAGGTATACGCAACAGAATCCAAGTCACTGCAGCGACACCCTCATGACAATTACACACATGCACCATAGCCAAACCGTAGAATTAGCCTAAGTGCCCATCAGTAGATGAATGAAGAAAGGAAATGTTGTTCACATACACAGTGGAGTCTTTTTCAGACATAATGAAAATAATGTCATTTGTTTAAAAAAATGGATGGCACTAGAGATTATTGTATTGAGTCTACTAAGCCGTTGTCACAAAGACAGTTGCCACATACTTTGTCTCATGGGAGTTTAGGGCTAAAAAAGGTAACAATAAATTTAAAAAATGTGGAAGAGGAAAACGGAGCAGGATAAAGGTAACGGGGTAAATATGATCAAAGTACACTGTATGCATGTGTAGAAGTGCTGTACAAAACCCATTATTTCTTACATGTAATATATAATAAATTAAAAAAGAGAAAAGGGAATTAAATAGGGTAGAGGTTCAAAAGTTGTCAGAACCAAAATGAACTGTGAACTGAAGTTTGGCAGGGTGAATACACCTTGAGGATTCTACAGGGCTGGTAGAATGTTTAGAATGTCCTCGCTGTAAAGCGTAGAAATGTTGCAGCTCCAGTACCATATTGGTCTGGGCTGTCGTCAGACCCTGTATTAGCCACTCATCACCTATCTCGGTGTCTAACCTAACATCCTTGTAACTTTCACATTTTAAAACTTTTTGGAATGTATTACAGTCTAGCATCCAACAACCCCAAAGCTAAAAATGTCTTCAGATAACATCTCAGAATTCTAAAAGAGTTTTCCACACTTTGCTGTGTAACCTGCCTACCTACTTTCCCCCAGCAAAGTATGTGATAAGTGCCTTTGATTTATGGCTTTTTGTGATATAATTGTTCATGAGAATGCCCACATAGAACATGCAATTCAGGACAGCCCCCACCCCCCAGCATCCATGTTTCTGGCCCTTAGTCATTCAGATTTGGCTCAAGATTCTATCTCTCCACCCACACTTTTAAAGTGTATATTTTAAGAAATATAAATGTTTTGTATCTTATTGCAGTGTGGAAGGTGGTGGTAGTTAAGTATAAAGCATGTATAGCAAACAAACCCATTATAGGACCATACAGATGTGAATGCTGAGTCTTAACAGAGGTTAGAAAAAAATGACTGTATGACTGTTGGTTACTGAACTAGGATTTACAAAGCCCAGCCTGATTAGCTTTGGAATTTTCTTAAGCTTCTTTTTAAGTCTGGGGAAGAGAATGCTGAGGTTCCCACTCACTACCACATAGAAAGAAGGTCCTGGACTTTTTATACCTCTCTCCCTCAGTGTAGATTTTCCTCCTTTTAAGTAGCTTTGGTTTTCTTCCAAGTTGGAAATCAGTACCCACGTCTGACCCCAGTTTCAGCATGTAGATAAATTTGTTTCCTTTCTGTTTTGTAGGTATTGGCTCATCTTCTAGATATGGTCTTCTACAGTGATGAAAAAGAGCGTGTTATCCCTTTACTTGTAAACATTATGCATTATGTTGTACCCTACCTCCGAAATCACAGGTACCGTATGATTCCATTAGATTTCAGCTAATTCACACTCTTGTTATTTGTGGTGTCAACTACAAAATGATGTTATTCTTACCATGATTCATTTATAATAGCTAAATTTTAAATTTGCATCTCATTTTTCTTATGGTCCCTTCTGTTTCTTGTTTCTATTTTGGTATCTGAGACAATGAGAACACACATAATTCAAGATGATGACCAAAGTGAAAGCATCATGTGGTTTAATGTGTTTTTTATTTTTTCTGTACAGTGCCCATAATGCCCCTAGTTACCGAGCCTGTGTCCAACTGCTCAGCAGTCTTAGTGGGTATCAGTATACACGGAGAGCCTGGAAAAAAGAAGCCTTTGACCTTTTCATGGATCCCAGTTTCTTTCAGATGGACGCGTCCTGTGTTAATCAGTAAGTAGTCCTCTTCCCACTTTCACTCATTATAGTCGCTTGACAGCAGTCACTGTCTAGCAAAGGTAGGCTTTATAACAAGCGTAAAATCTTAATAACTTATGATAACCCTGTGTCTTTCAGTTGGAGAGCAATTATGGACAACCTGATGACACATGATAAGACAACATTCAGAGATTTGATGAGTGAGTTGTGACAGCCCAGGCAATATTTTTCTTGTACATGATTCGTTATTAGCGTGCACTATTCTTTTGAAAACTATAGGATTAGCTCTTTGTCAAGTTAATTGTAGTATCCTATGGGACTATAATAGACTGAGAAAGACAAACATCCCATGTTTCCTCTTATATGGAGAATATAGATTTAAAGAACAAGTTACAAGAGACAGGGAAGTGTGGGAATGAATAGCTATACCTCCAGCCCCTAAGAGATAAAGACAGACGGCTCACAAATTCTAGACCAGCCTAGCATATATGTATATAGCAAGACTCTGGTAACAGACAAACAAAACCCAAGATACAATAGTAGAATGAGGGCTGTGTAGAAAATGAAGAGAACTGGTGAATGGTGGGGATTAGAGAGTATGAGCAAGAGTAAGGATGTGATGTAATTGTATGGAAGTACCTGGTGAGAGCTCTCATTTTATACAGTGAATGTGTGCAGACAATAACATTACCAAGGATAACTTAGTGGCAAGTGGCCCATCACACAGCCTAGTTACTGGTGCATAATAGGCACTTGATAACTACTGATTGAAGTGGGTGAGACAGAAGAAGGTAGCCAATGGGGGTCTAACCTCTGTGATGATCTACTCTGAATCTCTGCAGTCGTGGATCTCCAGGACAGAGAATGGGGATTGGGGGGGGGGTTGGGAGTGTTACTAAACTGAACTGTAATCGCTGGAATTCCGCGTGTGTACAGTTGTGTATCCCAACTAGTTTATCTGGAAAAGGGTTGTCATAATTAGGAAGTGAGGTTGTAAAGAAAATAAAATGGAGCAATGTGTGACAAATTTTAAATGACAGCCAAGAGTATTTTACTTTATCTTGATTCACATCATGTTTGATGCGAAACTCAGGGAGCCAACCCTTCCTAGAAATGGAATTCCAAGCCAAAGAGAAATTGCAAACATTTTGGGGTGGGAACAAACTTCGTGTGTTTATGTCATAACCAGCAAGACAATATGGCTATAGTGGAGGAAGTCAGGAGCAAAGAACTAATAGAACAGGGACTCAGAAGAAGAGCTTAGTTTCTCCAGAAATTATTTTTTAAAATAATACAAGATTTAACAAAATATTTATGCCAAGTGTCCTTGTCTGTCTACATCCAAATCCTGCCATTTGACCTTGAGGCATGTGTATGCTCAAACTGTCTGCCAGCTTTTCTGCACCAGATAAAAGTCCAGGTCCTCTGCTATATTCCTCTCAGTGTGTATGTCCCTCATTTTAAAAAAGGAATGGTCATTTTCAGATGATGATGGCCTTCTGCTTCCATTCCTTTTTATAGCTCGAGTAGCTGTGGCCCAAAGCAGTTCTCTCAATCTGTTTGCAAATCGAGATGTGGAGCTAGAACAGAGAGCCATGCTTCTTAAAAGATTGGCCTTTGCTATTTTTAGCAGTGAAATTGACCAGTACCAGAAGTACCTTCCAGACATACAAGGTAAGTAATTAAAGCATCTTATCTACTCTGAACTACAGGGACTTGGGAGTGCATTCATCTGGGTTAGGGGCTTTGTTTTGCTGCTCTGTTGTTTCTCTCTCAGCCACACTTGTGGGCTAAGATAAACCACAGGTACGGGTTGATGGACAGTTTACATAGCAAATCGTTTTAGCTTCATTATGTAAAAGAAATCAACATTGGGCTGGAGAGATGGCTCAGTGGTTAAGAGCACTGACTGTTCTTCCAGAGAACCTGAGTTCAATTTCCAGCAACCACATGGTGGCTCACAGCCATCTGTAATGAGATCTGGTGCATTCTTCTGGCCTGCAGGCATACATGGATGAAGAGTGTTCTATACATAATAAATAAAGAAATCAACACTGAATTTGAAAGACACTAAACATTATCTGTGATTTATTATTTGGTTCAAATATCAGAGGAATTCATATACAAAGTCAGATAGTCACTGTTTCACTCTAGGAAAGTTTGTTCCTGTGTTTTAGTTGTGAACAACTTTTAGTTGCTATGGGATAGGAATCCACATCTAATAAGAAAATACTTGATTTTTTTTATTTTATTTTTTATTGACCTGTTTTTCTCTGCTCCCCTCCCTTCTTCCCTTCTACCCTCTCCCACGATCTCCAGGCCCCCAATTTACTCAGACGTCTTTTTCTACTTTCCATGTAGATAGATACATACCTGATTTTTTTTTAAAGGAGATATATTTTTTTAATTTTATTTAACTTTATTTTATGTGCATTGGTGTGAAGGTGTCAGGTCCCCAGGAACTAGATCTTCAGACAGTTGTGAGCTGCCATGTGGGTGCTGGGAATTGAACCCCGGTCCTCTGGAAGAGCAGTCAGTGCTCTTAACCACCGAGCCATTTCTCCAGCCCCATACCTGATTTTTATGTACATTTCATGTCACTTTTTAGCCTCCAATGAAAGTAACACCCTACACAAGATTTTTTTTTCTATCTAACAGAATAGACATTAAGTTTTATAATAATTGGAGTTACTTGGGCATTGAAAATATGCTGCCTTTGTTTCAGAGAGATTGGTTGAGAGTCTCCGTTTGCCCCAGGTGCCGACTCTTCACTCTCAAGTGTTCCTGTTCTTCAGAGTATTACTTTTAAGAATGTCTCCACAACACCTTACCTCTCTCTGGCCTACCATGATCACAGAACTTGTGAGTTAATTTTAATTTATAAATTTACCAATATAAACTGTAAAACAGAGTGGTTAATTTCTCCATGCTTCTGCTTGGAGTAAACAGTAAACAGAAACAGTAAAAGTGAAAGTTTTACTGTTAAGGAGCTTAAGCCTCAAATTGTGCAATACAGACAGACAGCTGTCTTTGAGCCTTGACTTATCTGGTTTAATGTTCAGTCTCCTTGACACATTGTTGGCTTTGTCACAGCCAACAGTCCAGTGTCCCCCCAATGGTACTTCTAGTGAGATACAGCTGAACTGGATGGTTAGGGACTGATGCAAGGCATGTACTCACCCTTCCAGCACAGCAATCATCCCAGTTAAACTCACTTCAAAGATTGTAGTAAAGACTTCCTAAAGTAAACCCTCCCAAGCCCCACTTGCAACAGAGATAATGTTGAAAAACTCCATTTCCACTTGAAAGTGAACATTTCCTTTGTGGTCTGCAGGTGCAGGTATTCCTATTGATGGAGCAAGAGCTCACTGCTGATGAAGATATTTCACGGTAATGTGTGCTTCTGTGTCCGTATGTTCCTCAGGGGAGTTCAGTTACCCCACCTCTAAACACTGCCATTATTTGGGGCTGGAGAGATGGCTCATTGTGAAGAGGATTTGCATCTCTTTTAGAGGACCTGGATTCAATTCACATGACCCACATGGTGGCTCACAACTCTCTGTACCTCTAGTTCCAGAGGCTCTGACACATGGTACACAGACAGAAAGGCAATCAAAAGTCCCATACACATAAAATATCTATTAAAAATACTATTTATTGAATATAATTTTATTTAATCTTGGGACATGATAGACTAAATTATCAGCATTCATGGCCTTCAGCCTCTGCACATAGATTCTGCCTAATACACTTCACTATTGTTTCAGCTACATGCATCATACTAGTTTTGCTAGTTCAGATCTAGTCCCTGCAACTTGGAATAGATAATAAAACCAGTATGGCAGGTAACCTGTGACCAAGGTAATCGATACATCTTCCAAAATGTTCCCCATCAATTTTACAATAGTTTTATTCTTTTTAGAAGTAGCTTACTATTATGTATAAACACATTTTTAATTATGTAAGAATTATTGCTCAATTTTATAAATTGCAGTTTTACTTTAAGAATCATATCTCCATCTTGGTAGCTAGCTGAGGGTATAATCCTTACCATGTGAGTACACATGTAAGAAGCTGAGGTGTGGAAGCTGGAGAGATGACCGAGCAGTTAAGAACTCTTGCTGCTCACACAGAAGACCAGGTTCAGTTGCCAGCACCCACATGGCAGCTCACAACCATCTGTAGGGGATCCAGTAAACTCTGACTCCTGCAAATACCAGACATGCATGTGGTGTATGTACATACATACAGGCAGAAAGTAAGAACACAAGAAGGTGGGAGTGGTACATGTACTTGAAATCCAAATGGGGAAATGGACAACACTAATCACTGGGACTTACTGTCCAGGCAAGCTAGCCTACTTGGTAAGCCACAGGCAAATGAGAAACCCTGTCTCATATAACACAATATACAGTGCTAGCAAAATGACACCCTAAGTTGACCTCTGGCCTTCCCATGCATATATATGTATATATGGACATGAACATGGCAGGCACACACAAAAGACCTTGTGTTTTGAATATTCTATGTTTATTATTACAGAAAGCCCCCCTACCCGTTATAGAAAGCAGTTAAGTAATAAGATTTATTGATTATCCACTTTTCACTTTTGTTTTTCTTGACTGTAATGGAAGTTATGTACCGTGTTTACATTCATAACATTTAAAGAACAAATTTTCAATTTACAATTTAGTCATGATCACTGTAATCACCCTTTTATCAGTGTGGCTGTGGGAGACAAGCCTGGTGCTTTAGGAGCCCTGTGAGCCAAAGGCTCTGCTGCTGACAGCACTGTCTACTTGCAGGACATCAGGGCCATCTGCGGCTGGTCTGGAGACAACCTATACTGGAGGTAATGGCTTCTCCACCTCTTATAACAGCCAGAGGTGGTTAAACCTCTATCTTTCTGCTTGCAAGTTTTTGGATTTGGCTCTGGCGTTGCCCTCTGAAAATCTTCCTCAGTTTCAGATGTAAGTAAAAGAATATTTCTGGAGATACATTTGTTTTGGTCACTGATGTCCAACACTACAGTTCTGTTGAAATAGGAAGCAGAAGCGGCGGGGCTGCGTCCCCGGCACCCGGCCACCCGCATGGCTAGCTTATGCCCGAAATAATTACACAGAAACTGTATTCTTTCAAACACTGCCTGGCCCGGCTAGTTCCAGCTTCTTATTGGCTAGCTCTTACATATTGTTCTAACCCATTTCTAATATTCTATGTAGCCCACGAGCTGGCTTACCAGGGAGGATCTTAACCTGCGTCTGTCTGGAGCGGGAGAATCATGGCGACTGCTGGACTCAGCTTCTTTTTCCCAGCATTCTCTTCTGTCTACTCCGCCTACCTAATTTTCTGTCCTATGAGGGCCGAGGCAGTTTCTTTATTATTAAGAAATCACTCCCACATCACAATTCTTTGTGAAGATTGAAGCAGTCATAATTTTCGCTAAAACCTTACAGTATTGGAAGGAGGGGGGGGGGGTAGCACAGGTACTAGCAGTAAATGGTTGCTGTGGATATATTCCCAGACTACTCACTTAAAAACTAGAGTGCCCTGGATGTGAAGCGGTGGAGTACAGACCCAGAAGCTACAAGTTTAGTGGAAGGGACAGAGCTCAGCACTTGCAGAATATTTTGATGATGGCATATGCAGAAGCTGCTGCCAGCTTTGAGGTTCAAGCAGGCCCAGTAAGAAGTTTAAAATGGAGGCAGTTTAGGGTTAGAGAGGCTCATTATGACAACAGCAGCTGGCCTGTCTGAGGTGTTGAGAGAAGAGGCTAGAAAGAAACTCAACTATGTAAGCATTGTAAGTAAGAGCATCGATTGACCTAAGATAATTTGAAGCCACTGAAGCATTTCATGGATTAAGTGGTGTTATTAGGCTCGCATTTACAAAGCTCATTTTGGCTTTGTAGTGTGGACAAGTCTCAAGAAAGAAAGCATAATCTTAAAAAAAAAAAAAAAAGGTCAAAATTTTAAAGGCTCCAAGATAGGTCATATAGCAATTATGTCTGCTTTTCTTTTTAGTGGGGTTGCCTTAGTGCCGGGAATGGAGTTCAAGCTCCTCATGCCAGGCAAGCACTCTACCTACCCCTAAGCTGTTGAATCCACACACATCCCTTACGTGACTTTGGTAGTTACTTTTTTTTTTAAGGATGAATACATGCTTTTCTATACACAAACACTATAGAAGGACAGGGTACAAGAGTCTAGCAATATAATGGTAAGATCTCCTTTTGATATACTTTACATGTTGCAATAATCACGTTGGACTTTGTTCAAGTACAAACAACTATACAAAAGCAGTTTCCTTTTGAGCTTTCTGTCTACCAGTTAGTAGGAGGCTGAGGTAGGAGGAAGCAAACAATCTGCAAAATACTTTGCCTACTAGGTATGGAAAAAATATTTTTCAGTACTATTTTTTCTCATGCATAAACAGTTGCAAGCACTTTACAAGTTGTCCTAGTACTTACCACTCTGAAATGGTGGCAATTTTTTTTCCTTTAGTTTTCTTGAGACAGAGACAGTTTCTCTGTATAAGCCAGGAACTCACTCTGTAAACCAGGTTGGCCTCTAACTCAGAGACCCACCTGCCTCTGCCTCCCGAGTGCTGGAATTTAGAGGGTGAGCCACCACCACCCAGCTTGAAATGGTGAACTCTTACCACTACACAAAGTCCAGATGAATAACGATGCTCCCAGCTTGACTTAGCTGTCACTTGAGTTCTCATATGTTAGGGCCATGTTGTTTGTACTGAATTATGTGGCTTATCTCCACTGGCACGGAGTCTGTCATACTAACATCAGCGTCCTTCCACTGCTAGGTACCGATGGGCCTTTATACCCGAAGCTTCAGATGATTCAGGCTTGGAGGTCAGACGGCAGGGCATACATCAGCGAGAATTTAAGCCATACGTGGTTCGACTAGCAAAACTTCTTCGGAAAAGGGCAAAGGTACTAAAGCTTTAGAGGGTTCTTAGTATGTTATTTTGTGCATCATTATGTATTCTTTAACTGTGCTATATTAAATGCTACACTCATGAGTCATATAAGAGAAGAAATCTTTCATAACATTTGAAAACACTGGAACCAGAGCTTGAAAGTGTTCCTGAACATTCCTTATGACAGACCAGAGTAGTTAAGCTGACGCCATGATGAAGATGAGATGTTCTGATAGAGAGCACAGTACTAAAGGGGTTTGTAGGACAAATCTGTCAGTTTTGTTTCACAAAGAACAGTCAGAAGATGAAAAGATCACACATTTTAAGTTTTAATAAACTTGACAAAAATATCTCATCAAAACTGAATTAGCTAGATAGACCGCAGTCAGAATAAAGGGTCACAAGCATAGAACCATTCTTCCCCATGGGACATAAAGTACACATCCTAAACTATGGCTAAGTTTTTCACTTTCCTAAATTATAACCTAGAGATAAATCTAATAACCTAACGTACCAGCACTCTTAGCTGAATCAAAAGATTTTTCCAACAGTTATTAACCTTTAGTCACACTTCCTCTTTCTATAGCTCTTGTTATGCCATGTCTCAGTTTTGTATATCCACCCCACTAACGTTCCCTGCAGTTGTGAAAACACTGCTGAGAAGTGTACTAAAATGGGACTGTGAGAAAGGTAGTAAGGGGACTCAAAATACAAATGTCTTTTTATGTGGTGAGACCAAGGAGAAAATGAGAATTACCAAAAGCCTGTCCTGTGAATAAGGTGTAGGAAGATAAATGCTGTGGTTTTAGAGCATGCCCCACATCCTTTCTGACTAAGCACCAGACTGACCTGCCAGTGTGCCAGAAGCAGAAAGGTAACGAGATGACTTGTTCATCACTGGGCCTTTGCTCATTACATCTGTCATCTCCTTAGTTCAGAATCTTCCCAGTCCATAAGAGTCTGGAGGCTGGTCAAGTGGACTATGCGACCCAGTCTGCAGGTGCTCACGTATTCTGTCTTTCAGCAGTGAAGCTGTATTTGATTCTCTACAGAGCACAAGGGAAGAAACTGATTAGAAGCTTTACGTACAGGAAATGAGGAACTTGCTTTCTTAGGAGCCTAATAAAAGGACAAAGTTGTGGACGAAGCCTAATCCAGGGTTTAAGGACAGAACTTTCGCTTTTCTATTACAGAACATGGGTGGGAAACCATGAATGCAGATGCAGTGAACACTCATGGGACTCCAGGCCCATGTCCTTTGCCATCTGCAATAATGGAAATCCTCCTTTGCCCAGAAATTGACCCACAGATAAGACAGCTGTTTGCCCTGGAAAAAATGTCTCATCCAGATCCTTTAAACAAAGCCTTCACGGCCAGATATACTTTTCACTGGAACAAAGGCTATGAGTTCTCTTTCCTTCCACAGGACGAGGAGGACTTTAAGATTTTGGAGGGAATGGAGATGGCCAAGCATCAGGTGAGGGTGGCTATTGATGCTTGTGATATGGCAGCAAAAGCTACAAGAGAGGTAAACAGGAAGGAAGCTGCACTCCATGTGGAGATTTGTGAGGTCAAAGAGAAAAAGGTTTTCCGGAGATGTTTGGTTATTTAGTATTGAGGACAAGTACCTGAGGCCAAAAAAAAAAAAAAAAAAAAAAAAAAAAAAAAAAAAAAAAAAAAAAAAAAAAAAAAAAAAAAANAAAAAAAAAAAAAAAAAAAAAAAAAAAAAAAAAAAAAAAAAAAAAAAAGTTAAGAAAAAACTCTATAGAAGTATTTAAAAAATTATATCATGATTATCATATAGTTCAAAAACTATAGAAGATGTAAGCAGCATTTACTTCCCTACAGGATAAATTTATCTTTATCCACCCTTTGCTTGACATTAATTGCAGTTTGATTTTTTTTAGAGGACTAGAGGGCTATATGGTAAGCCAGGACTGTCTGATGGCATTTAGTGATATGAAAGTCCCTGTTTATCCTTTAATGTAGATTGGAGGCTAAATTATTGCTAATAATAAACTAGATGACAACTGTAGCCCATTTTTTAAATCTTTTCTTGCTTACACATGGCATTTCCCACTGTAACATACCTGTTTTCCTTCAGATTTAAAGCAATCAGTGCTAATGGTGTAGCTCAGTGGTCAATGCTTTTAATAGCCACAAGGCCCAGGGGTTTCATCCCTAACACAATAAATAAATAACTGGATCACATTAGGAAACTGACAACAAATACCAGATAAAGTCAATTTCTTAGAAACATCCTGATTTAGAAGGGAGAGCACCATTTGTGAATGACATGCTTAATTGTCCTTCCTGTTTTCCTATTTCCACTGTTTTCTCCTTGCACTGTAATATGTGATTTTGCAAGTGACAGCACCCTCCGTCCTTTCTGTGGTAGACTACTCAGAGCTGTTGGGGTCACTTAGCTGAGGTCGTGAAGTAGCCAACAAACATATCATTTATTGCAGCTTTGAGACAAAATCTTGTATCTTGAACTCAGTCCTCCCAAGTTGCTACGATTATTATTATGTGTTGCTGCATCCAACATAAGTAGCCCTATGTCTTAATATATAGGAATTACTGGTGTTGGTATTTAGTGAACAGTTTTTACATACGTTCTCATTTGACTTCCTACTGCAAAAGAAAAATTTGCCACGTCATCAGCAAGAACTCTGTGTGTCTTGCACAAGTTTAGCACAGTAAGTAAAAGGCAGAGCTGGACTAGTCTATGTCCTTTCGATCACAGTCCAGCTTCCCTCCTGGGTCTAACCCAACCCCTCATTTCTCTGTGTATCGACAGTAAGTATTAGCTCTTGGACCCTGTAACTACCTTAAGGTAAATTTAGGCCATAAATTGATTTATCAGCAATAAAGTGTACGAAAAGCTCTGTATCTGGAAATCACCAGCTTTTCTATGACTCTTTGTCACAGATCATTTAAACTAAAGTCACCGCAGTCTAGTTGAAAACTATCACGAAAGGGAGCTCAGTGATATCAAACTAGCTAATGGCAGCATCGGCGGCAGCGATTTTAATCAAGTCCGGAACACACATCATGGGTCTCCATTTCTCACATAACATAGACTTCACCTGTTAATGACAACTCTCTTTTTGTTTCTACAGAAAAATCCAGAGGAAGACAGCTCAGGGAGGACACTGGGCTGGGAGCCGGGGCACTTGTTACTCACCCTCTGCACCATGCGCAGCATGGAGCAGCTTCTGCCCTTCTTCAACGTCCTCAGCCAAGTTTTCAACAGCAAAGTCACAAGCCGGTGCGGAGGACACTCAGGGAGCCCTGTCCTCTACTCAAACTCCTTCCCCAACAAGGACATGAAACTGGAGAACCACAAAGCATTTTCCAGCAAAGCCAGGCAAAAAATTGAAGAGATGATAGAAAAGGATTTTCTGGAAGGAGTCATAAAATCTTGACCACCACCGTGGTTCCCCAGAGACGCAACGGAAATGTAATTATTTAAGACACTGTTCTGAGTTGTATAGTTTTCTTTTATATATATATATGTATGCAATAAGACATTCTTCAGGTTGTATTTACTTTAAATATTTGTAAATAAGAGCTTATGTCTAAATGTGGCCTGAATCAAGTTTAAATATAGTTGGCTCATACTGATTATGGTGCCTATGAGAGGTCTATATATGCATATATAGTCCATTGTTCACTGTCTTGGGTTGTCTTGAACCTGCAAAATATACACCAATGTTGTTGTTGTTGTTTTTTTTAATGCTGGTTTCAAGCCTCATTTAATTTAAATTGTTTTTTTTTTCTTCTGTGGTTACCAACATCCTAGTATCAGAATGGTCACTTTGCTGTCAGAGACTTCATGTGGAGCTGTCCCTCCACATCCCTTCTCTTAAGAGTAGCTGAAGCCTGGACCACACATCCTAGTGAGTAGAGCACAGGCCTCTGTTAGTGCAAAGAAAGATGGGCCAACTGACAGTTCTATGCTGCTATGCAAACAAGCCAAGTCATTTCTCACTTTAAAGTCTGCCACTGGTTTATATGAAGTCTCCACTCTCCACATCTGAATCAGATAGGTCAGGGGTTTATCTAGATAAGTAATCACAAAGGCATTGCGAGGAGTTAGTAATTAATACAATTTAATTTCCCAACACCCTGCATACACTGTAAAATTAATGACACTCAAACTGTTATTACAGATTAAAATCAGAGGTGAGCTTCATTACCAAGTCTAAGATTTACCAACTTCTAAACCATTTCTTCTGGTAGCATTTTTTAAAAACAGATCTAAATCCATTAGAGTACTGCCAGTATTGCAAATAGTTTTATAAAAACATTTTAGAAGTCCATTTTTCAAGAATATAAAAATTATCTTCAGAAAGATGGTTGTGGCCTTTCTCCAATGCCTCCAGCCAGCTGAAACACCACCAAACTCACTTCGCCTGCAAGTCTATCGGCATTTTCCTACAAATCACATTAAGAGATTAGTGAGAGATATGGCGCCAAAGTCCATAAATAATAGAAAGTAGGTTGGATTCTTCTAAATAAAGTGAGTTTTCGATTCAGTTAATAAAAATTTCCAAAGTAAAGTAAGAAAACAAGCCCCTTTAAAATCAAGATGGTTATGTACTAAGAATAAGTAATTCTTAGGATTTCCATCAGAGAATACCCATAGTCATGTAACTGTTGGTGTCTCCAAGTCCCCAGTTCAACCAAAGCATGTAAAAAGGGCAAATGATAAAACTGCGGAAAATGCAAGTAGTAAGAATGTCATTAAAAGAAAAATTTAAAAAGCAATTCAAAAGTCCAGAAAGAAAAGCATTACCTGCTGCTTTGGAAATACTAAAATAAACTCATGGACTATACTTTTAGAGGGAAAAGAATGAATAATCTATAATAAGTTAAAATTAGCATGTGTCAGACAAAGGACATGTTAAATACTGCACAGGCAGAACATTATACCCTCAAGAATCTGCACTAAAGAACTGCTTGGGAACAAATTAAGTTGAAACTGTTTAGCTATATATCTCCCGGTACATTCAATCTTAATCTCTAAGAAAAATGTATTCTTTTTCCACAGTGTGATTCCAAACACAATCAAACAGTGCTTTCTCCTCCCGTTCCCAGCTTACTTGTGAGTCTGCTTCTGCATATACTCGGACAATGTCTTCTGTACCAGAGGGCCGGACAAAAGCTCGGGCAAGCTTGTACTTCTTCACCAGGTCATTGATTGCTTCTTGGAGTCCTGGCGGAGTGACTGCTTGTCTTTCAGCATCAGTGGTGCTAATAACTCTCCTGTCGGCAACCTGAGCACAAACATTTCCTGTCTGTTATAGAAGCTTAACCTGTTCAAAATAGTCCAACCAACAGGGTAAGAGGCGGCCATTTCAAGTTACTATCCTGCACAGTGTATCAGTGACGCACAGGGACAGGTGACGGGAACTGAGGTAAAATTTCCTGGTGTATTTAGCTAGAACCGTATAACAGTTTTAACATTTGTCCAACTATTTAAGTAAAAATCTTCAGAATATAAAAAATTAACTTTAGCCAAACAGGACATTTACACATTGACTCAGAGCTACCATTAGACTAGTGGTCAGTAACTATTGTCTCGCCCCAGTAGTTACCGATCAAATTGCTGATACAGCTGTAACAAGTGGCAAGCGATTACAGAAGAGGGCCGAGGTAAGCATCTCCTAAATATGCCGAAAACAAATCCAAATACTTGGTGGCCATTTCTGTGAACTCTAGCTTTAATCTCTAATCTTTCAACAATTCTACTGGAGAATATGTAGAGAGATGCGAATCAAGCACCCATTCATCTGAAATGCCTTTAGAGAGTTCTTCTTTGAGTCCACAGATTCTACTGCTTACATCTAGCTCCAAAAAGTACTGTGGTCTGGTGTGGGGGAGGGGGGGGGCAGGTCTGTCATCAGGGGACTTAGCCAGACAGGTAAGAACTGTGAGGCTTAGTCTCCAAAAAAAGAAAAATTTAAGCATTATGGCATTATGTGAACTAAAAGTTAATTCTGAAGCAACAGTTTCAGTTAAAATGATAACATTATTTATCTGGGTTTTGCTTCAAAACAGTATGAGCTGGGCTGTGAAAGGAGAAACCTTTTTAAGCTAACTAACTTTTAAAAACTTAAAAATTTTTATGATTTTGTTCATATTTTTAAATGATGCATATTCACACATAATACCATTCTTTATCATAAGATAAAGTGGAAGTACAGAAGAAGTTATTTTTTAAAGTGTGAGTAAAGCAGTTTTTGTAAGGCCTTTCTTACTCCCTAAGTAGAGTGTACATACAGACCGAAATGGAACCCACTCAGCAAACACTTGGCCTGGGAAGACTGGAAGAACGCTATAGTCTGAAAGATTGTTTCACGCTTTCTTCACCTTAACTTTGAGTTGTCTGTTAGGAAGATCAACATAAATGGCATCCCACTGCTGCACAGTCAGGCCCTTGAGAGCCAGGATCGCCTCAATCACCAGCATGTCAGAAATGGCATCTCCAGCTGCCTGCAAGATTGGGGAAACAAAGCACACATTAAATAATCCCACACGGATGCTGGCCGCGCATCGGCAAAGGAGATGCACATAACCATGACAGACAACAATGACATGGATCCAGAGCCAACTCTAAGCTTCATTTCATAAAATGGAAATTATAACCTAGCTTCCTGCATTACTGCTGTGATTAGAAGGAAAAGTGGATAAAACGTCTGACCCATATCAGACATGCGGACTCCATGTCTCTCCTGCCTTCACTGTCGCTTTTCCATAGCAGTACTGCAGTTTCAGCTGTCGGACCCAAGCATGTAAATGGTACAGAATTTTCCAAGTTTGTCTTTGAAAAGTTAGCCAAACGCACAAAATACATACTCAGTAGCTACTAAGTATACTTGAACATTTCAACATTTTTCTGACAAAATATCAAGAAAAGGAAGCATAAAAAATGTTATTTCCAGTGCAAGTCTCAACTGTGGGCACCACTGTTAGAAGCAAACCACCCAGCCAGGACTTCACCTTTTATAATTCTACATCCCATGTTCTGACTGATGTTAAGGTAACTCAGAGCCTGTGACCTCACTTCTAACCTGGTTGAACAAGTCGATAATGCTTGCAAGCATCTTTGCAGCTTTTCCTTTCTCGTCTTCTAATTCTTGTGCTAGTCTTTTTATCTTCGTTTCAACTGCTTCGCTAAACAGTGCCTGCAGCAGAAGTATATGAAGTCAGTCACAAACTCCAGGCCACCTTTCATCCAGGGAATCTAGGAACTGAATAGACAAATAACGGCAGCCTAATGTCTGCCATTAATGCTGAAATCAAATCAGAGCACAAAGGGTATTGCTAAAGAAAAAGTTTATGGATTGTAAAACTAATTTAAGATACCACTTTTGACAAAAACTGAATACATGTGAGCTCATTTCCTGAACTCTGCAGCAGGTACCTTTACAGGGTATGTGTGAGGCAACATCAGCATGAGTTCACTGCACTCAACAGTACGGCAGCTGGTGTCAGATACTTACTACCACAGACATTCCTTTGTTAGGAAATGCCACTCCCATCCTCTATAGTCCTCAAGAGGCCAGTATTGACGTGAGTACATAATGCTAATCACTCGAAAAAATGGGCACTTTTTGGTAAAATAAGATGCAGGGTGGTCACCTGGTTTTCCTAAATAAATTCTGACTGAACAGACCTACCCATTTTTTCTGTGAGTCGAGTTGAACAGATTCAGAGACCTTATGGACTTCACCTTAAAAACTGTACCAATGCTTGCATTAGATCACTGAAGTTACATTTCAGCTGCATTTTATAGAAACACATTCTCCTTCTCCTTATATTCATGGCTCTTCAAAAAGCCAAATTGAAATTAGTGAAGAGAATGATTTAAACCACATTCAAATATTCTCATGTCTACCTCAAATCCATTCATGAAAAGAGGTGATATACAGACATTTTTAAATAAAATCTGAACATTAAAATAATCTTAAAAAAAAGTTATACCCTTTAAAATATTGACATTTATATTGAATTATATATGGCTTTTTTTAAAGATTAGTCCTAAGAAAGCCCTGACAACAAAAAAAAAACAAACATAAAACACCTATGCTTGTATATGCTTTAAACTCAGTAAAACTTTTCATCATAGCTACTCTGTAATTTTTCATCATAGCTACTCTGTAAGAAGTGGGAAAATTTTAAGAACATGAACAGAACATTTTAAAATAATTTGTTGGGTTTTATGGGGTGTGTGTGCCTGTCTCTGACTCTGCAGCACCGATCCAACTCAAGACCTCACATCTGGTTACAGAACTAAGCTCGCCCCAGCTCTTTAAAGAACAAATTGGTGCACTTTTTATGGAGGATTGTCATAGCATCTAAGTATACATTCATAGTGTAATTTACTACTACCTAGTCATGTTACCAACTACAAGAGAAATCCATTATTTAGAAAAATGCCAGCTAACCAGTTGACTTCTTTAAGAAAACTTACTGTGCCATGCCCATTTGCTTCAAAGTAAACTCCAATGTCAAACTCTTGAGCCTTGTGATGCAAATGCTTGACACCAGTTTTGGTGCAATAAACAGGTACCTACAACACATTAAAGAAAGACAACAAACTCGGTTAATTATATATCTATTATTCCATAAATAAAACAAGGAATAAAATCTGAAACCTCCCTCTGGTGCTAAAGACAATAAAGACCTAAAACACCCACACAGGGAATGACTGCAAGTAAGTGGCATTGTCTGCTTTGAGAAGGCTGTCCGAGCTATAATATGGAGAACGCAGGACAAAGAGATCTGCATGCTTTCTAATGAAGAGCCAATCCTTCTTCGTAGGTAAATACCCTACACTAATAATGCAGGCTATATGATCTCCCACAATCATTCTGTATGTAGTATACAGAGGCAGCCACAGACCTCACCTCAACAAATGTGCAGGGCGCTATTTCAATAGAACTCTTACAAACAGTGGCAAGTTAGATCAGGTCCCCAGACTATTTCTAACTATTGGCATAAAAAGTTAAGGAAGGACAGTTAGAGATGGGTGTAGTAGCACACACCTTTAACCCAGCTCTCAGGAGACAGAGGATGCCCTGTTCTATAGAGTAAGTTCCAAGACAGTCAGGACTACACAGAGAAATCCTGTTTTGAAAAATGGAAATAAGAGTAACAAAAAGGCCAATCAGACTTTCAAGATTGATCATGGCTAGTAATAAATCACCATGACTGGACCAGCAGCAAAAAATAGGCTATCAATGGTGGGTCTAAAAGATTTAAGAAAAACTGACAAAACTACAAGAGAGACATCCAGTAAGATCAGTATTTGTTGGACTTGAAAAACCATAGGATGACAAGGGCAAAAATATTTAATCCAAAAGGAAAATGGGATAGGAAGTAACAGTTTCTGGTGTGTATTAAGTTTATAAACATACTAGGTACATACAGATGAAATTTCCAAACTAAACACTCATGCACTAAATGACGTCTGGTCAAGATCAGACAATGGATGCTGTAGTGGTACCAGAAGGTCAAGTCTCCTAGCAATACCGTGGCCATCAGAGCTGAATACACTCAATGTTCACACAATGACATAAACTCACATCACACTACTGCGTTTCTCAGAATGTGTCCCAGGACCAAGTACTAACCCCATGAAAGGCCTTGAAGTGAAGCCACTGTGACCATGTATTTAAAGTACGACAGAAGCAAACAGCATCCATGTTTTTTGACCGTCTACTATTCTCTTTAAAAGCAGAAAATTCACATGAAATTTCATTTCTGCTCCTCTAGAAGACTGACTGAAGTGGACAGCAGCTGGCCCAGGCATACTTCTTGGTCCCTTTCACCTGCTGTGCTGACTCACTAATCTGCCCAGAGCCTGCAGGAATTTGGAGAAAGACGTGGGGCACCTAGCTGAAGGAAGTCAGTCACTGGGGAGCTTACTTTTCTATCCTTACTTCCTGAGTGACCCAATGTGCCCATGGGCCTCACACTCCTGCCATTCCTTCCCCACAGTGGGCTGTATGCCTTCATGCACACTGAGGCAGAATAAGCCCTTCCTACCTAAGTTGCTTTCCAGGTCTGTGATCACAGCAATGAAGATATAGGTGTAATGTTACCTTAAGGGTTATGTTTGACAGAGGCATCTTCAGGCCTTCATGAGTTATAAATATAGCTCAATAAGTCTTGGAAAAGATCTGCAATCATTATTAGATCACAGAATTCACAGGTTTTAATATGCTCCAAGGTACAAGTGCACCAGAGACATGTGAGCCTTTTGACCTAGTCACCGTCACCTGGACAGCGGTTCAGCTGTGTTCACTGTTCACATGTGGTAACATGATTATCCTCACAGAATGACCTTCCCACGCTATTCAGAAGTGACCCCAAACTGAAGACACTGCTGCAGTACCTTCATAACTTCTTCAAGGTATCTTGTGGAGCTCCCATTAGCATATGCAGTCTGTACAACACCAATAGTCAGGCTTTCTCCAATCTAGAAGAAAACAATGACACACTTAACTCACCCAGGAGCCTCTGACAAGGATTTTTCCAAAAGAGGAAAAAAAAAAATCAATTACTAAACTTATCATAATGATGACATTAATTATCTCAGGTATTATTTGTTCTTAGAACTGGATGCTTTACAGTCATGATGAAATTCTCAGGAATGCATGCATCATCTGTTTCTAAGGAACCAAGCCTTTACAAAGTTGCATGAGAAAGTCAAGTCAATACCAAGAAAAGCACCAGTACAATACAGTCATCTAGAATACCATCTTTACTGCAACTAAAACCAATGCCCCTGTGCCGAAATGGCTGCAATTGCCACTTAGTTTTGTTTTCCAGCCACAAATATCAAGAACTCCCCCTACCCCAAACCTCCCATACCCCTATTGACACTCAAAGACCCTGGTGTGGAAGTGCTCCCTAGCAAGCCTTGGATGTCTCCCCACCCCACCTTACCTCCAACAGCAGCTCCTTAAGGAAGCTGCTAATTAAGGTGGCTATCTTGTCTCCATCTATGAGATGAAAGCGACCGTCTGCATCACAGTAGTAATACACGATTCGGTCTGCATCCCCGTCGAAGGAGCAGTATCTTTCGTTGGACTGCATTTCCATTCCTAGCACACAGGATGAGGATTAAGTGCATTTCAGACTAAGAAATGAGACTAAAGCTCACTATATAAAATATAAGATTTTTTTCTCTGACACACATAACTATTTTCAATATAGATCAAAATTAACATTATATGCAACAGTACCGCACATCCACTATAAACTTTTCAAGAGATGTTTTAAAAGATTCCTTGCAAAACACAAACCAATGTCTCCAGTTTTAAATACTGGTGTCTGGTAAGTCTACTGGTGCTCTTTTTGAAGACAGATCCTCACTATATAGTCCAGGCTAGCCCCAACTTAAAAGTCACCTGCCTCTGCCTCAGTGCTGGGATTAAAGGTGTGTGTCACAGGCCCAGCTATTTGTACTTTTCTTGCAGGTTAAATTCTAGCAAGGCAAACTTAAAAAAAAAAGGTCCTCAAATCTATTCATGCTAAAACGTGATATTACACTAAAATACAATTCTATTAACCAGTTGATTTGGCTACACAAGTTTCCCATATAATTTTTTGAAACTTTTGAGATTTTTAAAGGTAAGATTTCTGTCCTTTACATATTAGAAATAAAAATCAGCAATAGATAAAATATGTGCTTTGACTTAATAAGTATTTTATCTGCTTAAACTAACAGCAATAAGAAAAGTAATTAGGAGCACAGAATTATAACTTCCAAGAGCTCACTAAGGATCTGCATAAAGTCACTGAAACTTCAGCAACTGTTACATCAGATGTATTAGAAAACCTTGCCGACCCTTAGCAAAGATGCAGCAGACAAAGCCAGACTCTGTTAGCCTTGCTGCCTGCAGGTCAGAAAAACAGCCTGGGGGGAGTGGAGGGTGGATTTCCCCAGGACACAGAGGCCACCACAGCAGTAGAAGGAAGACCTCAACAATCAGATGGATGAAGGTCCAGAACTGAAGGACAGGACAGGTAACGTTAATATCAAAACAAGCACTACAATGAAAAGGTTATATAAAATTAAAATTATACATGCTTGCTACAGTAAGCCAGAACAGGCCACACAAGTGAAGCCAATGCAAGGCACCTGTGGAGTGGTGAGGAGATGGGGTTGGATGATTTTGATAGAGAAATCAGAGTACAGGCAAACACTCAGTGGCCCAAGCAATACATCTGCAAGCCAGGAAAGGTTAGGGTCTGTAAGGGAGCATCTAGGATACTCTTTACTACAATTAAAACCAGAATAGGGTTTTCCTAATCCTCCCATTTGGGGAACACTGAATCCACTGAGGATGTAAAGGCAGTCTTCCATTCCCTTTCCAGCCAGTCTAGTGCAGACAGGAAGACGAAGCTACTTACAACTGCTGCCATTGGACCAGTGATTCTCGGCGTGCTCACTGGGCCTGAGCCACCAGCAAAGCCTAGCAACCCACCAGGAATAGAAATTCCCAGCCTGCGTGCATCCCACCCTGGACAGACTAAATGAGAAAGGGAGCGGCCCCTGTGTGCTGACACGGCACTTCGGTTCTGACGGGACCTCAGTTAAGAGCTGTTGTGCTAATGTGCTGTTTTCTGTGAGCTTTCAGCAAGAGCTGGCCGTGTTTTGAACAGCACTTAGAAACGAGAAGATTTCTAAGGACCCAAAGGTGGCGGGACCAGGACAAGTGCTGTGATTCTTCACTCGGAGACAGCTTAGCTTGAAAGTGAACTGGCTCCAAAGAGCTCTAGGAGCAGGAGCAGACACTGCCGCAACTGGGACACACCACACGCCACTGGGACATACATACCCTGTGGGGGTTTCTGATGACTCTTCACGAAGTCAGCACCACACAGGTGGTTGAGCCTCCCTGCAGTCCCGTCATTAAACAGCTGGACCGACAGGCCCTGGGAGAAGTAGTGCGCCATTTCTTTTAGCTTCAAGGCCCCTATGCCATTCGCACAGTCAACCTTAACCGATCTGTTTTCATCTCCACTGCAGGAAGCCTTCAAAGGAAAAAGCCATGGAAGGAAAACAAGTCACCAAAGAGAAGCAGTATGATGCATGCATGTATGTGTACTTGAAAAGGTCACTTATTTCCCTTTACCTGTCTAATTTAATGCAGAAAACGTGTACAGTCAAACGAATTTCAAAACATCAACACAACAGTGGTGCCACTGAGTGACAGCTCCCAGGAGAGCAGCTGCGTTAGAACCGGGTCCCAGCACAGCAGGACATTAGCGCTCTTTCCTTGACAGCCATCTGATGTGCACACGGCCATGCAGGTGTCTGAATAACACTAGCATTCTCTGCAAGGCACATCATGTCACAGGCGTGTGGGCTTGAGGATGTTTTTTAACCAGTCTTTCACCAATCCCCACACCAAAGCCTGAGTTCTGAGCAGCAATAGCAGTGCCGTCCAGTGAGTCAGTCACCCGACACATCTCCAGGGAATCCACCTAAAAGAAATTCCTTCCCAGCAGGACTTCCTCAAGCCAGGAGCATCTACATTATAATCAAGTTCATCCCACTGAATACTGAGGACCACAAGCAAAGATACCATGAGGTTTCCCAGGATGCACTTTGCCACTATACCATCGCCAACATGCACTGATCAGCTAAGTCCCAGTCGGAGGAAAGAAAGAAAACATCTTGTAACTCTGTAAATGAGGTTGTTGACTGTATCACTATGTTCACTATATAAATATATGTTTATATACGCTGAAATTCTAATCACGATAGAAAAACTGTCTCACCTGTTTGGTAAGTTCTACAAAAGCCTTGGAGAGTTTCTGGCAGTAGCCTTCTATGGTTGCCTTTCCATACCGGCCTCCGGAATTCCGACAATACACCATGTAATGTAGCTGAGGCGTAGTCAACAGGCCATAATCTGCCAAACACAAAAAGCACTTCAGCTCACTTAGTAACAGAAGGCGCTCACACGAATTCATACCTTAAGAATGTTAGCTCCAGACCCCCACCCCCCACCCTCACCCCCTCCACCCCCCAAAAAAGATTGCACTGCTGGTGAAATTGTCCAAAACAGAAGGACTTTGACCTAATAAACGGAATGACTGTATATCTGGTTTTATTTTTCAACACAGGGTTTCTCTAAGTAAGAGCCCTGGCTATCCTGGAACTCACACTGTAGACCAGGCTGGCCAGAGCGCCACCTGGTATTAAAGGTGTGGGGATTGTCTGTTAGCAAACAACCCTACAGGTGGGTTTCTGTTTACACTTTTTGACACAGTCTGCCAGAAACAGGCATTAACCTTCACCCAAAGGTCAGTTACCTAAGGAGCCCAGCACCCAGTTCCAGGTCAGTAGCAGCTCAGGTCCCCACCCTGTAATGTAAAATCTGCTTGATTTCCCACCATTTTGCTCTTCTTTCTGCTGAACCTCACCCCCAGCCCCTCACACACACACACACAGAGAGACAGAGAGAGAGAGAGAGAGAGAGAGAGAGAGAGAGAGAGAGAGAGAGAGAGAGAGAGAGAGAGAGAGAGAGAGAGAGAGAGAGAG